GCCGTACGGGACTGGGTTGTACCGCAGAGTTCAAGGTTCATACGAACGCGCGGCATGTGCAAGAAAATCGTATACGGGAATACAACGTGAGTTACAAACATGGTGTACGCTGTGCTGTACACCTCCGCAAAAGCAAGTGTGACGCAAAAGGGAAAAAAACTGAAAATCTATGGTAAACCAGACGAAACACAAATAATCCATAAAGCGCGCAGCGGGTTGCTACAGAACCGCGCTGCTCCGCTGCATGCAGCCAAGTGCCGCGGAGCAGCGGAGCCGCAGTGGAACCCGGCCCTAACCCAGCGACATACGTGCCATCTCCACGCTCCGCCAGTTCCGCGCCAGCATGATCATTGCCTTGCGAAAAGCTACCCCAAGGCCAGTTCAAACACAGCAGGGTACGGGTGCGGGTCAACCTTCGCGTAGGCGTACCAAAGCAGGCAGTGCGGGTACAGGTACTCGAAAGCATGACACCACGATGTCCCGTAGCGTCCCCAGCAACATTTTCCGTAGCGGTGACGAGTGTGAAGAGGATGGCAGCGTCCCCTGCAACATCTCCCGTAGCAGTGACGAGTGTGAAGGGGATGGCGACCAAGATGCAACCTGTGTAGACGAAGACAGATTCCAACCAGTCCAGAACGCAAAGCGGAGCAAGAAGCAGTGCGTGCTCCAGGTGATCGCAGATGACAGCTGGAAGATGGTGTCGTCAGAGCCTCCCAGGGCGAAGAAAGCTGTGCTGTACGTTGGCAACCTACCAGTCCATCCTCAAGCGTTCCATCGAGACTTACACTGATTTTTGCGATCTTTTTCTTGAGAACGATTCTCACCCTGAAATGACTTTCGGCGACTGACGTGAAAGAACACTCATGACACCCACCTCGTCGAATGGAGCATGCATTGTTTGTGGTGTATGGGTGCAGGAAGGTGGTATGTTCGCGAGGTGCATATCGAAAATGATCCGAAAGACTTTGTGATGGTGCCATTCGGCGGAGAACATTTGAATTTTTCGTACGATTCAGAGCAGTCGGCGAAAACGAGCCAGTAACCTGAAAGGAGGGCGTGAACAGGTGTAATTTTCGACAATGTGGTTGCCCTCGACCCTGCTCTCGGACATTCGAGTAATGGTTATGGCAAAATCGATGGTGCTCCAGGTTTTTCAGACGCATTTCTTGACCATACTCAATTCCGTAGATATACCTGTGCACAGAAAGCACACAAGAGTTCAAACTAACTCCACTGTATTCAGTTCACGTGTTTTCCACAGATTCAAAACCCTCCTGGGACCAGGAAAGTGGACAATACGCTGGAGTATAGACGTGCACACTGCGAACACGCCCACGCGCCACTCCTGCAGACCCGTGTCGGACATCACATACGGGCCATGTCACGGTGCCGCAGACGTAATGGGCGTGCCCCACACGCTTGCGTTACACACGTTTAGATCCTACATGCACACGTGGAGCACAAACATGTCAAACATGCGTGCCGCGGATGCACACACATTGTTCGTACATGCCGGATACACTTCGCATACATCACATGCGTGTGCCACACCGTCGGAGGAATACAAACGAGCACGGATACGCACACATGAGAGTACCTCACCAACAAAGCCTAGCCAGGTTCGCACTCGGTTTCCCTATCAACAATCATTTCTGGCTAGAACAGTGCAGTAGCAATAGCCGAAACAGAGAGAACGCAACACGGGTGGCCGAGCAAGTGACATAAAGCATAAACAAGACAAACATACTTTGTACATTCACATACAGTCAACTTCTCTAATAACCACTGCGTATATATATATAACGACAATTCGCAAATATGACAGAATTTCCATGCCCAGAGCAAAGTGACACACAGCATAAACAAGACAAACGTACGTTGTACATTCACACACTTTTAAAAGTTTGTATACATGTATGTGATTGTATTGATATGCTTTGGTTTTCTTTCCTCAAAGGAGAAGTGACGCGTGCATGGTATATGCATAGACCGTTGAAGTTCGTGTGAATGCATCAGACGCACACATGTACAGGACACTTTGCATTTTTCAAACTGAAACCGTATACATAAGCATGCGTGCACGTGTGTGTGTGTTTGTTTGTGTGCGGGGGGGGGGGGGGGGGTACGTGTACGTGTGAAGAGCAAAAACCAGTACTGATAAATTGATAATGCAGGCCAAGCAGAGAGGATCGCAAAGCAGACAATCACCTCTACATTGTAATCTTCTACAAATAACACATACATGTACATGTAGCTTCATAAGCAGAAAACGAGATACTGTGAGCGCGACAGACTCACACACACACACACACACACACACACACACACACACACACACACACACACACACACACACACACACACACATACACACACACGCGCGCACACACAAACACCCCCCCCCCCCCACAGACTAGGGTCCGGCGGATTCTGCCGGCAGAAAATTGGCAGAATTCGGTACTTTTTCTGGTAAGTTTCATGCATGTTTAGTATGTGGATAAAGAAATGGAGCAGAATTCGAATAATTGCCCGCCATAAGGTTTGTATGGTTCTGCCAATTTCACTGCTTTTCGAGCAGAATCTGCCACCTTTTCGAGCAGAATCCACCGTTCCCTACCACAGACACACACCACGAGACCATAAATCTGAAACGGCATGCATTTTGACACACACACGCACACATGCACACACACACACACACAGTCACACACACAACACACACACACACACACACACACACACACACCACGAGACCATACATCTGAAACGGCATGCGTTTCGACAGGCTTTAGAAGGCCACGAGTTAGGTGATCCACATCAAGGCAATACGCACCACCAGCCCAGCTACATGTACCGATATCTCATACTAGACAGCAACTGAACGCGGCACACATACTACACACAAGAGCGCGTACAGCGGCAACTTTCTCCTTATGCTTACGGTTGTTGAATACAGCATTGACGACACACCGAGACACACAGAGGAACACAAACTAGGGTCTACAATGTGCACACATACAGTACATGTGCATGCACAATGTACATGTATACACAGCTATGCGTTTGCGTGTTTTCATGCTCCCTTCAAAGGTTTATGTAGTATACGGCATGTATGATTTATGTTGCTTGAGTACGCCCACTTTGAAGGTCGAAATTGGATTATACAGGGCGTGAACAGGTGAGATTTTTATGTCTAGCTGTTAATTACCCTTACCTTAGCCCACCAAGGAAATCGGAATGATCAAACTCGATGGTGCTCCAACTTCATTTCGACGTAGAAAATTCGCTGTTTGAACATCTCAATTTCAAAGGGTAACCACTGATTTCGATGTGAAAAACGTTTCCTGATCGCCATAAAAAAATTCCTGCCGACACACACCATAACAAGCTCCAAGTTCACAAACTAAACAGTGGCCACAAACGGTTGCTCGTCATGAAGGTGGTTCGACACTTTCGACCAAATTCGTTCACTTCCGTATTCAGTTGACAATTATTTTTTGCCGTCATCAAGACTTATTTGGGCCCAAAAGCGCAAAAATCAGTGTAAGTCTCGATTAGTGGCAGAGATATGTTTTTTGCACGCTTGAGGATGGACTGTACAGTCAATTTCAAAAAGATTAAAAATCCTGGCGATCGCCCGGGGAGTTTGCCGTCTTACCGTACGCGCGCTCGAGAGCTGGCTGGAAAAACTCACTGTGAACTCGAAGAAATAATCCGCGCGAAAGCATGAAAAATGACAACTCACTCACGTCGGTACATGAACGTCTGGTTTACAACAAACGAGTTCTTCCTCGTATCGATATGGAGTCAGAGAGGACATGTCGAAAGTGTGGTAAATGTTGACGAGCGGGATGGGTCCCAATTCGTTTCGTGCCCAATTTCTTTGAGCTGCGATGCAATATACGCTCACGATGTGACGAAAACGACATCGACACAGACTCATTCCCAAGGCCATGACTTGGCAAAGCTATCCATGTGACTTCAACGACATTTTGAGAAAAGCAGACGGCTGTGAAAGCTGATAGAAGACGACGTTGACTCCTAAATTCAAATAAATTGGCGATCTTGAAATACTAAAATAATTCTCAAAGAGAAATCGATCGATCGATGTGCCGTTGTATTCAACAACACGTAGCTACAGCGCAATGACTTCCGTGTTCACTCACACCGTTTCAGTGTTGTGGGTGTGTTCACATGGCGTGAACCAGTCAAGTGTCATGTCAGTAAGTTCGGCAGGAAACGCGAGCTCCAACAACAACAAGTCGTTTGGCGCAGCCACCTTCTTTGGCTTGTACTTTTTGTACCAGCGTGATCACCAAAACAAGAAAAAAAGTGTGACTTGAAGATAGTTTGGGATTTGAACTCACAACTTCATGGTCAGTAGACAGCATTCATAACCACAAGGCCAAAAAGGAAAGGATAAATCGTGGGTTTTGATAAAAAATCGATACTGACATCCAGGGCAAATTGTAAACCATGGGAAAAGGCCGGAAACCTGGCCGAAATTCTAACTCCTTAACGGCTGTTCCAATTGTTCCGAAACATTCACAGAACAATTTGCCGTGCCCTAACAAGCCAGTCTATGTACTTTGTTTTCCAAATTTACCTTATCTTCATACTTTTTAAGACCAAAACCTGATTGCTAATCTTTTTGAAATGGACTATAGGCGACCAATGCACCGAGGAACGCCTCAGGGAGTTTGTGCAACACAGAGTAGCTGCGGTTGGGACATCTGCGGATGTGCACGATTGCAGTATGCACGAATCAGCAACGGGCAAAATCTCAGCGAGACTGACAGTTGACGCTGCAACAGTTTCTACAATTACCGCTGCAAACTTCTGGCCCCGGCCACTTTATGCCAGGCAATGGCGTTTCAAAGAAAGCAGTGGAGCACGCCATGATAATTCTAGCCCACCTGCCAAAACTGATGATATCACCAAGTCTGACCCTCCTCCTCAGAACAATGATAGTCTCCCACCTGCCGACCCTCTCCTGAGCAATGACCAGTAAGACGTTGAAATTGCTGGTTACGAATGCCTTTGGTATCCGTTCAAAGTTTGGCGAATTTCAGCACACCCTTCTGGCATCTGATGCAGATATTGCTGTAGTCACAGAAACCAAGCTGACCCTGGATAAGATGACGCAAGCCGAAGTGACTCTTCCTGGGTACTCCCCTCCAGTAAGACGAGACCGAACACCACAGGGTGGAGGCGTGGCTGTGTGGGTGAAATCCCACCTAGCTTTCCAAGAGCTGGAAGCTGTTCCAACCCTTGATCAAGAAGTTGTATGGCTTTCTATCCGCATAAGACCTGGCCGCAAAGTTGTCTTGTGTGCTGCCTACCGCCCAGGGTCTCTTCCTGGCAACGATATCAGTATGGTAGATTACTTGGACCAGACCATTGACGTTGCCCGGGTGGATGCACAGCACCTCATCATCGCTGGCGATTTCAATGCGCACAACACTGCCTGGCTGGGCAGCAGTAGAACAACTCCAGCTGGGGAGAAACTGGAGGACCTCTGCGCACTACATCACCTCCAGCAGCATGTGACGGAGCCTACTCGTGGAAATGCCCTCCTCGACCTCATCATGAGTGACCTGGGCAACCCGACGGTCCGGCTCGGCCCCCCAATCGGTAGATCTGACCACGCCACCATCTTGGCAGAATTCAAGACAGAACTATGTCGAGAGCCCAAGACGGCCAGAACAGTCTGGCAATATGGCCGCGCTGACTGGGACAGACTAAACTACCACCTTAGGAGTGTGGACTGGGATGCCCTCATGTCTGAGGATGCAAACAGCAGCTGCACCAATATTACCTCTGCCATCCTAGATGGAATGAACCAGTTTATCCCATCCCAACTTCTCTGTACTCGGCCCTCTGATCCCGCTTGGTGGACGCCAGCTTGCAGCAAGGCCGTGAAGGCGAAACAGAGTGCCTGGAAGTCCCTCAAGAGACGACCAGATTCGCCCCAATGTCAAGCTAACTATACTCTCGCTGTCCACCGGTCTTCTGATTGCCTACGTGATGCCCAGAATCACCATCTAGCAATAGTCCGTGCACGACTCCAGACCGGCAGCCTTCGAGACAAACAGTGGTGGTCAACCATCAAGCAGTCCATTGGAACCTCCCGAAATAGCTCCATCCCGATTCTTGTCGACCCTGCTGGCAAAGAACATGCCACGAACATTGAGAAAGCAAACTGCCTCGGTCACTACTTCGCGGAGAAATGTAGCCTTGGTGCCAATGACCTGCCAGACACACCTCTGCCCCCTATTCGCCTACGCACAGGCAATAGGCTGAAGACCGTACACTTCCGCCCTGCCACAGTCCAGCGAGCTCTCAAGAACCTGGACGCTTCTAAAGCTACTGGCCCTGACGGCATTCCGGCGCAAGTGTTGTGACTAGAGTCTAGACTCTCTTAGTTCCACAACATAACTAACTTCATAAGGACTGGGATTAATTCTCATTCAGTACTACATGACTTACTCTAATCTCTAATCATCAAGAAGCTGGGTAAAACCATAAAGCCATCAAAACAAACAAAAGGGCTAATGCTACGTGGACGATAACGTCACACAAACATACACGTGATATTATGTACAACTTCGTGATGTAATCACGACATTCCCACACACAGGTGGAGCGATCAATCACAAAAGACCTGGTGACCAAAGGGAGAAAGATTATAATAGCGCATAAGAACCGCGTATTTAGGTGATTATTATTATTTGGGTATTGTTAATGTTAACTAGGGCAGTCCCCACAGACGCATGTCTCCTGACAGGCTACGCTAATGATGTGACATATCTTGTGAACCAAATTGCGAAGGTACTGAAGAGCAAGGACACATAAGTCATGGAGCCCATACTACACCCTAGTGCCAAAGTAGTGAGTGGGAGAGCAAGTTGGCAGAGGAAAAGAAAACTCGAATAAAAAGGGGGGTGAACATAATTATACAGCTTGAGTGGATGATAGCTGATTGAGACAGACACCAGCATGGTGAACTAAACCAAGTCTGCCTCGTGCAAATCCAGGACACGTCCTAAGCCTTCGATAGCAGCTCGTCTTACCGGTCGAGAAGCTGTTGCAGGGACGTGTGCGTCGTTGGTTACAGCGGGAGGCTGTGGTTCATTCGACGAGTGGTCAGCAGGTCGAGCAGACTCACACTCCAACGGATATAGGTGCTGTAGTGAGCGCCGTAGGAGCTTGTTATTGGGCGTCCTCACAGTGGCGGAACGCGTTTCTCCATCACGACTAGCGTGAAGTTCGCTGATGATACCCAGTTTCCACATACCTCTGGGCGCGTCATCCTTGATGAGGCACACATGTCCAATCCTTGGCTTCACGGTAGAATGAGCAACCTGTTTCAACTGCGATTGTTGCCGTTCTCGTAGACTGGTTAGGTATTCAGATCTCCAACAGTTACAAAACTCATTCAATCGCTTCTGACCTTTCTTCCACGTAGAAAGTAGCAGTTCCGCTGACGACATTGTTGGGGCGAAATCAGGGTCCTCTTCTACATGCCCTTGGGGTAGACTGATTTCGGCTGATAATGATAAGAAGTGGGCAGGTGTCAAGACCGTATAGATCTCATCGCTTACGTACACCAGCGGTCGTGAATTTACTACTGCTTCAACTTCGACGAGAATGGTTGACAGCTCCGTTGTTCCGAGAACTAGTCTGCCAATAGACTTACGGAGGGCTTTCTTCACGATTCCAATCAACCGTTCATAGAACCCGCCCATCCATGGGGAGAGTTGCACAATGCAAATCCATTCGATTCCATGGGAAGCAGCATAATTAAGAGTGTGGTCATCCTTCACAATGGCTTCCCAAGCAAGCTGTAGAGTCGATTTCGAAAGCAGGAATTGCTGAGCGTTGTCAGAGAAGATCTTGCGCGGTACTCCTCTTCTTGCCACAAATCTGCGCAATGCCATCAGGAACTGTTCTGTGGTCATATCAGCAACAAGCTCGAGGTGGATGGCACGTGTGACCATGCACGTAAATAGGCACACCCATACCTTGTGGATGAGTCCATGTTCTCTGACTGTCATTGGGCCAAAGTAGTCGACGCCAACGTGTGTGAACGGTTTAGACTCAGCTACGCGCTCTGGAGGGTAGGGTGCCATTTTCGGTAGCGAGTACGGCCGACCATTGAACCTCTTGCATACACCACATTTCTTGAGTACAGTCTTGACGGTTTGTCGTCCTCTGGGGACCCAATAGTCATACCTGACTCGCGATAGGGTATGGTTAGTTCCACTGTGCAGCACCATGCGGTGACAGTCATTGATGATAGCTGTGGTTACTGGATGTGAACGAGGTAGAAGGATGGGATACTTCGCTGAGTATGGTAGGGATGAATTCTCCAATCGACCCTTGCAGCGGATGAGGTTATGTTCATCTAGAAAGAGCGCAAGGTTTTGGACCAGCTTGTTCTTGGCGTTGCTTTTGATAGCCTCAATCTCCGGTGTATAGTGTGTTGCTTGAACATGTTGAATCCACAGATGTTTGGCGTTGTCGATTTCAGCAGCAGACAAATGAGTGCCGCATGTGGTCTGTTGACGGCATCTCTTGACAAACTTGATACCGTATGCTGTTACACGGGCTAGCTTCTCAAACGAAGTATACTTGCTCTCATCTATACTCAGCGGTGATGGCTTGCTGCTGGTCTCGGTTTCCGCAGGACCCTCCGCCGCGAATAGTACTGTGGAAGGAGCATCGATGACGTCTTTGGGCCAGTGTACAGGAGGATCTCGAAGCCATTCTGGACCACACCACCAAGCTGTACTGTCTGTCAGTGTGGCTAGCGATGCTCCACGGGATGGTAGGTCGGCTGGGTTGTCGGCTGTACGGATATAGTTGAAGCACACACTCTGGTCTGCACGGATTTCCTTCAACCGATTGGCGATGAAGACAGGGTACGATTTCTCAGTATTCTTAATCCAGCCAAGCACGCACTGTGAGTCAGACCACAGGTGGGTAGCTGAGATGTGAACTGCGCCCAGAAGCTCTTTCTTCAGAAATTTGATGATCCTGGCGCCGATGAGTGCTGCTAGGAGCTCTAGACGTGGTATACTTGTTGCTTTGATGGGCGAGACTCGTGTTCGGCTGTAGATCAGGTCAACTGACGAATAGGCACCGTCAACTTGTCTCACACACAGGTACGCGGCTGCACCGTAACCATCTTGAGACGCATCACAGAAGACGTGGAGTTCATAGGTGACCTTGTCGACGTGGATTTTTGGTCCAATGAAGCGAGGAATGGCAACGTCACTTGCGCAGGACAGATCGGACAGGATATCCTTCCATTCATGAACGAGAGCGTCAGGCAGCGGAGAGTCCCAGTCTACATGTAGCTTCCATATACTCTGTACTAGGATCTTCGCACGCATGATGACCGGGGAGAACAGGCCCATCGGATCATAGAATTGGGCTATGCTGCGGAGGACATCTCTTTTGGTAATGACGGAGTACTGGTTTGTGGCTGACTTTGCCGTCGACAGAGTATCGCGATTGGTATCCCATGACATACCCAGTACCTTCATTACATCACAGCTAGACTTGTCTTCAGGAGCTAGAGCATCTCTGAAGTCAGGATCGTTGGTACCCCATTCACGCAAGTTCATGGTGGCACTGGCAAAGGCGTCCTTTGCCTCTCTGTAGTATGCAGTAGCATCCTGGACGCTGCTCTGCCCGGTGACAACGTTGTCAACATAGATACTGCGACGTACATCATCGCATGTCCCTGTCTGTTGCTGTTGGAGATGGTGGTCAACTGTGGCGGCGAGAAGAAACGGGCTAGCGACAATGCCAAATGGAACTCGGCAAAAGCGGTAGATCACTAGGTTGGCTGTGGTGACGGGTTTTGTAGGATCGCGAAGCCATAGGAACCGTGTTACATTGCGATCTGTCATAGATAGACCTAGCTGAAGGAAGGCCTTCTCAACATCGCTGACAATGCCAATGGGGTGTAGCCGAAATCTCACCAGGATGCCACACAGATCCGGCAGAAGTATCGGACCTCGGTGCAGGCAGTCGTTCAGGCTGTTGTGTTCTGCGCGAGTTCTGGCGGAAGCATCATATACCACACGGACCTTTGTTGTGGTACTGCTGGGGCGAACAACACAGTGGTGGGGGATGTAGTGAATCGGCCCATCCTGGTGATCAAGGTTCACTTCCTCGATAATGCCATTGGCTAACTGCTCTGTGATGGTACAATGATACTTCTCTAGCACTTGTGGTGTCTGCTGGAGTCATTTGACTAAGGATTTGAGACGGCCGAAGGCGAGCTGGTAGTTCTCTGGTAGATTAGGTTGTGGAGTATGGCTATCTTTCCATGGCCAAGATACCATATATCGGCCGTTGATCAGTTGCAAGGAGCTGCGAAAGTGTTCCAGGGCAATGTCGTCCGCTGTCTGCGGATCACTGATGTCATCGGTGATACCAATATCTTCAAGTCGCCAGAAACGTTGGAGATCAAATACTGGGTCTGGCAAGGTGGTAGCATCTGTGAGCATTATGTGGCCCGCAGTGTCATCTGTCTCTGTGTCAGTAGGGCCTGCTGGGACAAATCCCAATTTGGAGTTCAGCAAGACCAGGCCATTGTTGAGTTGGATGTGACCGTTACCCATGATGGAGAAGTAGAAATCCGTGCCGATAAGGAGGTCAATTTCTACCTCCTCACGCTTGGTGACAATGGTGTCAGCTAGTTGGATGTTCTTGACTTCAGGGTACTGGTCGATGTCGATTGGGGATTTGACAACAGGACAACAAATCCACGGCATAACATTGGCGGTTACGGGCAAGGCTGATCCATCTCGACATAGGAGGGAAAACTCCACTCTCGGCAGGGTGACCGTTCGCCGGGACGCAGATCCAAAACTAGCGATGGACAACACGTCTTCACCGACAACAGCTGCGTTGACAGAGGCAGCTAACGATTCATGAATAAATGTGCGAGTTGAGCCGGTGTCAAACAACAGTCGGCAGTCTGAGATGTTGCCTTGCCCGGCGACAGTTGCGATGGCGGTTGGGAGATTCACACCTTTGGACTGGACGTGCACCGTAGCGGTAGTATGTTTCTGTGGCCCTTGCTGCTGCTGAGTAGGATAGAAGGTACTTGCGGCAGCTGACACTGGTGATGAGCCAAATTTCTGAGGGCACAGGGCACGGTGATGGGTCAACAGATTGCAGTGATAGCAGGGTCTTCTAGCAGTACAGTCCTTTGCCCAATGTCCCTTCCGTAAGCATACAAAGCAGTGGTCTTGTAGCTGCTGCTGTCTGGTAGAAACCGTGTTGAACGTTGGGCAGGTGTCCGAGAAGTGTTGCAACTTGCAGAAGAAGCATCTCGGAGTGGCGCGCCGCACAGAGCTAACTAACGTGGCTGCCGTGGCCGGAGGTTGGGAGTAGGCAGCATGAGGCTGTGCGGAAACAGGCGGTGGTCGTGGCAGAGTGCTCTCTGGTTTGCTGGCTGTGTCTCCTGCCAGTCGCTCGGCCGATTCACGGACCTCCAGGTAGATTCCCAGCTGTTTCCGCAGCTCATCAACAGTCCAACTCTGATTGTGGGGTTTCTGTGTCTCAAGTTGTACGATGACGCACTTTGGTAACTTGGAAGTGATGACAGGAATCAGCAGTTCCTGTTGCACACTTTGACCTTCCGCTTGCAAACAGCGCAAATTAGCCTCCACCTCGTTGTAAAATCTCCGCAACATGTGAGGTTTATTTGATGGCGCTGGCATTTCAGTAATTGCGCGGTATCGGGCTGCGATGATGGCATCCTTCTTGCCAAAGCGATCCTTCAATAATCCTAACGCCACGGGGTAATTTGAATCGGTGGTGGGAATACCGGCAATAACATCCAGGGCCATGCCTGTCAAATGACTTCTCAAATACGACAGTTTCTGTACGGCAGACAGGCTTTGATTTGTACCGATCGCAGATTGAAACATGTCAATGAACTCAGTGAAATGAAGTATGTCACCATCAAACTTCCTGATTGTGAGCACGGGCAATTTTACAGATCCATGAGCACTCTGTGCAGGCTGTGCCGAGTTGGCCGCCAGCTGGCCAACCGTGCTGGTGTGCTTCCCAATGGCTGACAGCAACTGCTGTGTTTGTTGCTGAGTTGCGGTGTGCATTGTCAGCAGCTGCTGGACGTCAATTCCAGGTGCTTGACTGCTGGTACTGGTGTTGGCTGTGGCCCTTTTGGCTTGAGCACTCAGCAGGGACAGATTTTTGAAGTACGACGGTAACGTACTGGCCATACTTTCATACTCTTCTTCATCTTCTTTCTTTTTCTTTTTTTGAGTTGCTCCACTAGCCACGAAATCGTATAACGCAGCGCCGTACTTATCTAGGTCAGCATCCAACTTCGTGAGGGCATCTCTATGCTGTTCACAAAACTGGGTCCGAATCCCGACCCACTGGTCTGCGTCGTCAGATGGACAACTTTCTGAAACTAAACGTTGGCACTTCGTATCGTCATCGTGGACAGTAGAATACAATGCACTGATTTTATTTGCTAAAACTCGGAGACTCCCTGGATACTCGGACATGGTTTCGGCACCAATTTATGTTGTGACTAGAGTCTAGACTCTCTTAGTTCCACAACATAACTAACTTCATAAGGACTGGGATTAATTCTCATTCAGTACTACATGACTTACTCTAATCTCTAATCATCAAGAAGCTGGGTAAAACCATAAAGCCATCAAAACAAACAAAAGGGCTAATGCTACGTGGACGATAACGTCACACAAACATACACGTGATATTATGTACAACTTCGTGATGTAATCACGACAGCAAGTGCTCAGGAAGTCAGCGCAGTCACTCGCCAGCCCTCTGGCAAAGCTATTCACCCAGTGCTTCCGGGACGGGGTGCAACCTGCATCCTGGAAGATCGCGAACGTTGTCCCTATTTTCAAGAAAGGTTCCAAGTCTACCCCGAAGAACTACCGTCCGATTTCCCTCCTCTCTATACTCTCTAAGGTGATGGAGGCCATCATCAATCGCAGCATCACTAACTTCCTGGAAAGCCTCATCAGGTTCTCTCCGGACGGCAATTCGGGTTCCGACGCGGCCTGGGCACGACTGATCTTCTCCTCTCACTTCAGCATGAGTGGAGTCGGACGTCCAATGCTGGGGGTGTGACCCTCGCGAGTCCTTGCTGTCGACGTGGCCGGCGCATTTGACAAAGTGTCGCACCGCGGTGTAGTTCACAAGGCCAGATGTCTTGGGCTAACTGGCCACCTGCTCTCATGGTTGAAAAACTACCTAGAGAGCCGCCAGATCCGGGCCGTGGTTGGTGGACAAACATCAGCCACACACGCCATCCGAGCAGGTGTGCCTCAAGGAAGCATCCTGGGGCCCACTCTCTTCTTGATCTACATTCATGACGCTGAGGACCACCTTCCCCAATCGACCAGCCTTGCCACGTACGCAGACGACACAACGCTCTACAAGTGTATTCGGTATCTCGGCAACCTCGCAGCTGACTGTGATGATCTCCAGACCGCCGTCAATGCCCTTGCTGCCTGGGGTGCGACCTGGCGAGTGACATTCGAGCCCGCCAAGTCGTACCTACTCCACGTCAGCCACCACCGTCGGCCCTGAGACTGCCCTCCGGTCACATTCCAAGGTGAAATGGTTCCTGAAACCCAGTGCCTGAAGCTACTTGGGATAGCCTTCGACAGTCAACTGACATTCTGCCAGCAGATTCGACAGTCAGCCCTGCGCGCCACACAGCGACTGGGCTTCCTGAAGAAAGCCTCAGCAGTGCTTGACCCTGGCTGCCGACTCACGGTCTACAACGGCTTTGTTCGCCCAGTCTTAGAGCATGGCATGCTAGTCTGGATGGGTGCTTCTCAGACGGTGCTGGCCCAACTCGATGCTGTACAGCGGAGAGCCCTGCATCTGATCGGTGAAGGCGCATATCTGCCAAGCCTCGAACTCCGGCGCAAAGTGGCTGCTCTCTGCTATCTCTACAAAATCCACTACCTGACAGGCCCACAGATGCTAACCCGAATGCTGCCCCCCTCCCAAGCAGTACCAGACCACGACCAACATCCTGCCAACACCAGGCAGCAGGCGCGGGTGGCGGCCGGCCACCGCTACCAGCTGCAGTCTGATATCCCAGCCAATTCTCGCAACAACGTCCGCCGGTCGTTCCCTGAAGGAGTGCTGGACACCTGGAACCAGCTGCCTCGCCAACACCTCCTGGATCAGCCCGACCAGAAGAGGTTGCAGTCCTTCAAGTGCAGCGTCCACCGATTCCTGCGCTCGAGCCACTGGGACTGGGCGACCGACCGGCTGTAGGGACTCTGCGTGGTGGTTTTCTGGACGTTACTGTGAGAGAGTGAGTCTGTGCACAAATATTATGTATTATTACGCGTCTGCGTGAGTGTGCACGTGTGTGTCTGTGTGTGCGTGCGTGTGTGTGTGTATGTGTGTGGTGTGTGTGTGTGTGGTGTGTGCATGTGTGTGTGTGTGTGTGTGTGTGTGTGTGTGTGTGTGTGTGTGTGTGTGTGTGTGTGTGTGTGTGTGGTGTGTGTGGTGTGTGCGTGCATGCGAGCATGTGTGTGTGTGTGTGTGTGTGTGTGTGTGTGTGTGTGTGTGTGTGTGTGTGTGTGTGTGTGTGTGTGTGTGTGTGTGTGTGTGTGTGTGGGTGAGTGCACATGGTTGGTATGTGGCGTTTATGTGAGCGTATGATAATAATCTCTTCAATAATATTAATATCTTTATTTAGATTACCCAACGCCGGCGAACGCCTATCAGCTTGATCTCCTATTTGAACATGCGCATATGTGTGTGTATGATGTGCCCTAGCTCACTTAGAATTATTATTATGTTATACACGTAGATCATGTCCATGATGCCTTTCCTCTGCGCAGGTCGACCGCACTATTGTTTTTAAGATTCACATAATTATTACTTCTGCATAATGCATTACATACTATGATCATGCTGGCTCCATCCCTTATCTCCTAAGCTACCACCCCCCGCCCCCCCCCCCCCCCCCCCCCGGTGCGTCTGCCCAGTGTTGACTCCGAGACCCACGGTCGGACGAGCTGCCCAGGCCTCACCACCACTGCCGTTTCCGTGCTGCCTTCTCGATACATACGTATGTACACTGTATATCATGTGCACATTCACATGTCTGAAGGTTTGTGGTTTTTCAATTAAAAAAGAAAAAAAAAAAATGATCCCGCACACCCTTGTACAATTAGATGTCTGATGATTGGTTCAGCCATGAAACTCTGAGTCACAACGGTTTTTCATTGTGTGCCTTTGTGAATACAATTAGAATACAATTAGACTTATCAGAGTAAAATTTTAAAAAAGAGGAACATTAATTAAAGTTTACAAGTAAGTTATCCGTTTTGTCCAACACTAACGATTTTAGGCAGGATAGTGGTTAGTCCAACTGTGCAACAATTAGCACAACACTGACTGATGTGATACTGGCATGCAACGAACCTGATGCTTAGCTGCATCACGTTTGGAATGCGCAAAACCAACAGCCTTCCAACTTGGAAGGCTGTTGTAACGTCCAAGTAACGTTCCTGCAGCTTCATTCATAGGAAAAAGGGTTTCAGAGCAGACTCGCTCTCTTCCCATTCACTCTACCTGATGAGGGCAATTTTGCCGAAACGTTGTAAAAATTGATGGAGAAATGAGTTCGAGTTTGCAGAGTGAATGGGAAGAGAGCGAGTCTGCTCTGAAACCTTTTTTAACTAGCATATTTGAAACTCGGGTATTGAGCCAATAATAAAAGTAGAAAGGAAAAGGACATATGGAAACGAACTATATGGAAACTCTCCACCACTGTAACTAGATACTATATACAGTCAGAAAGTGCAACAACTAGGCACAAAAATGACAGAGTACTGGGACATTCGACGTCCTGACACCTAGCTTCAACACATCTCCGTAGCGCTAACCGACAGTCTTCCAACTTGGAAGGTTCAAGGTTATGGAAAGACCAAAGAGGGGAAGGCAAGCGCAACGAAAATGAGCACAAGCTACAGTCCCAACGGAACAAAGAATGTCGATTGTTACTGGACGGTGACGAGACCAGTAGGCGATTTGACAAAGCGGTCTAACTACAATTCTAGTTGTTGCACTTTCTGACTGTATAGTATCTAGTTACAGTGGTGGAGAGTTATTAACCCTTTACCGGTCTACCATAAGCGTACCGATACTATAGTATCGGTACGTTTGGCCCTCATTTTTTTGGGGTCTTGTTGCTAGGAGACAGCTAAAATGGCGCTCTACGCGTAGCTGAGGTCCAAGGCTTTCTGACGATGTGCAAAACAACCATGCTTACCATACAAATTTTTGCCGTATCGATCGACTGAAGTTTGTTGAAATTGGAAAAGACGACCATCCGCCATGCGCGCATTTCAAGAATGCGAGTGCATCTCTTGGGGCCGTGTTTGACAAGCGCTCTGAGAGCAGTAACATCACTAGTCCAGGCTGGATGTCCCGGGAGGTTTTGCAGTGTAGTGTGTTGAGAAAAAGAGCTCCGTTGAGTCCTGCTAGTTCAAAAATATATCGTCCACGAATGAAGAAACAAAATTCTCCAAACAGAGAGGAAGCCTTCTTGCTGCCGACACGGCGACAGCGACTGTCACAAGGACTCGTCAGGTGCGATCAGCTGATTCGCCTGGCCGTGAGAATCACGGCATGCGTAAGCTCGCGCCTGAGTACTCATCTGAGCGAGAGTGAATCTGACGCGAGCAGCGCTGAGATGAACAAAACGAAACTGCGATATCGTGCAATGGGAATTGCTGCTGCTGGCGTATCGCCGATGGCGAGGTGTTGGTGTTCAATGGCGGTATTGTAGAGAGCCTACATTTCTTGTAAAGACGTAGCCCTTACCTGATTGTTTATCGTACGACTTCAGCTCCATCACGAACTTGGTATGCCCTTCGTGCTGTGATATTCGTGTATTTCATTCGCAATTGTATTTTCTCTCAACTTGAAGGGCTACCATGGGCCCTATCCTTGCCTGGACCTAGTCATATTTGAATTTTCTGGACGCGTTCAGGCACACAGATTTTGAAAATATATGGTTTACCCATACCTACATCACATGGTTCTTGAGTTATTGCTGGTTGTGTGTACATGTGTTTGCGTGACCACCCCTCACATACATTGAGTTAGACCGGCAAAGGGTTAAAGGGGAAGTATACCCTAAAATCAAATTTTCACCAGTTGTAGTCTTCTGGGTGCTGAGTCGAATGGTCTTGGTCCGAGGAAGCTGCGACGCTCCCTTCCTACTTGAATCCCAATCGAACTCGCGCACTTCCACCGAAACTGGGTGACTGCGCCCTACTAGATGGGGATTTGTATGCAAAATGTCACTAAAAGCGCCATTTCGTTCTTATAAAAGCACGGATGACCGCGATTGGCCCATATGTTGTAGTCTTTTGGACGCTGAGTCGACTGGTTTTGGTCCGAAAAGGCTGCGATGCAGCGTTCCTCCTTTATTCCCAATCGAACATGGTTGAACAAGCGGTCACGTGCTCCTGGGTGCCCAAATCACCTGGTCACCGCGCCAGCACGGGCCCAGCAGGCGACAACTTTCACACCAAGGTTCAACTCGAGTTCAACTCGAGTGACAGGACTGCACCCAAAAAAGGTCAAACAGGCTAGTAAGTTGTACCCTGCAGGCACGGTGACCAGGTGACTGGTGTACGCAGGAGCACGTGACCGCTTGTTCAACCATGTTCGATTGGGAATAAAAGAGGAACGCTGCATCGCAGCCTTTTCGGACCAAAACCAGTCGACTCAGCGTCCAAAAGACTACAACATATGGGCCAATCGCGGTCATCCGTGCTTTTATAAGAACGAAATGGCGCTTTTAGTGACATTTTGCATACAAATCCCCATCTAGTAGGGCGCAGTCACCCAGTTTCGGTGGAAGTGCGCGAGTTCGATTGGGATTCAAGTAGGAAGGGAGCGTCTCAGCTTCCTCGGACCAAGACCATTCGACTCAGCACCCCGAAGACTACAACTGGTGAAAATTTGATTTTAGGGTATACTTCCCCTTTAACTCGTTTCCATTATTTTTTATGTCCTTTTCCTAACTGCAAAATATGGGATTTTCGTGAGAATTCACAATGCCCTCGCGACCAGTACCACCGCGCCTTCGCCTGCTGAGTAATAATAATTCTGTGCTTTTTAGAAGTTGCGACTTCCGCGGTAATGCGCCAACGAGGAACACACGCTTCTTGCAGAACTTGACACTTGAGTGACTTGACTCGTGTGCTCCGGATGGCAGTCGTGAGTCAGTCAAGTGTCAAGTAACTTAGTTCGGCAAGAAGCGTGTGCTCCTCGTTGGAGCAACCAACTTTCTGTGCTTCTTGTAATTTTTATGCTGCAAAATACACGTATGCTGTTATCAATCTGCAACATTGGTAATCTATGCCACTATTTCCATTTTTCCAAAGCAGAATTCAAGCACTATGAGTGCTATTTTGGAGCAGAATGCGAGCATATTGAAAAGCAGAATCCATCAAGTTCTCGAGCATTATACGCCCCCTCCCCCTACACACGGGGGCCTACGCCCCCCCCCCCCTAGACACGGGGCCTACACCCCCCCCCCCACACACACACGCACAAACGTGCGCTCGCCACACACACAGACATACACACACCTACACACACACACCTACACACACACAAACACACACACACACACACACACACAAAAGCACCAGAAAGGGTACCATGTATCACACTGCAATGTATCATGTCACACAATCATAATAAGTATATGCTGCATCGTGTATACCAGAAAGAATACGAGTACCACTATAGTTCAACATATGTTCGTGTACTTTCAACACTTATCTTGGAAAAGAACGCATGATGAATAAAAAGCTACCAATGATCAAAAATGTATCACGCATCACTCGGCTCTGCTTGCACATGAAGAAATAGATTGATTTCTGACTCAACAAAGCGAGATTATAAGGAAGTGTCACCAGTTGCACATAGCACGGGAAAGGAGGAAGACTACGACCGATATCTTCAAGAAGATGAAGAAAAAGAGTTCAAGATAGAGGTTGCGCTAATGACAGGCACGAATACATGTGGGTTCATCTCTTCACCACGATAGTCTAGACATGTCAAGACACAGGTAACTTACTTCTCTCTGGCCATGCTGTTGCTGCTGGCATGCCACCACACATACATGCATAACACAAGCTGTCCACCGACTGTCCATGGTCCTGGCCTTGATCCAGCCGTAACTGCAATGCATATCTTGGTATTGAATAAATCCGAAAGGAACATGCAGGTCTCCGATGGCGGCATGACTTACTGAGGCACACTGCACACACGCGGACAATGATTGTTTAGCGCACCTGTATACACATGGCGAATTGTGAGACATGGAGGCGGTTATGGCGCGCTCTCCTCACCTGTGTAGTTGCACCAGGTGTTCACACCGGGGATCGTCCCACTGGTACGGAACTCCTCGATGAAGCGCTGGCCATTCGGGCCAAGATAAAACAGCACCGAGCTTGGTGTGGTTGCTGCAGGTGCACCAGTGCTGCTATCCTTGTTGCTTCTGTTGCTGTGCCTGACTGGAGCAATGCACTTGTGCAGGAAGCAATGCGGATACTGCATCAACTTCTGAAACCAATCCCTGTTGAACTCAGTGTTGGTCAGAAGGACGGCCTCATCAAATTCTCCGCTGTCAAACTTCTCCACAGCCATGTTGATCCATCTGGTGACTGAGATAGCGGTGCCTTCAGACGTCTTTGCACCAGTGAAGTTTCCCCAAATCCGTCCATGCCAAACATCATTTAGCTGTGCAGTTGGCAGTCTGCTTGTCCCGCCGCGAAGTGCCGCCTGTGTCTCCTCCTTGCTGCTCGCCTCGATAGGAGTAATGCTGAGCGTGAAACACCCACCGGCTACCACCCGCTGTGCCATTGAGATCAGGAGTGGGATTCGAATCACATGGTTGGTGGCCAATGGAATTAGCGCTGGCGGCTCATCCATATCATCCGACTCCACACTGACGCGGCTTCCAGCTGTGCGCTCGCGCTGCCCGCGGCGTGCCGGGGCGGGCCGCAGAGTTGGATAATCACGCTGCTGCGGCTGCTGGTGGTCACCACTGCGGTAACTACTTCTGGTGGCGTGCTGCCAGCGGCTGGACGTTGAGACATGCACTGGTCTAGCTGGTTCATGGTGAGCTACCTGTGTGTGAGGGTTCAAAGGAAAAGCATCTGTAATTCTACCATTGGCTTGTCCACTGGGGCTGTAGAGGGCTGGAGAGACCACACTCATATCTTCCAATCTTGACGACACGGACGACATTTTTGCCCTTGGTTCATTGGAACTATGGCCGGCCCAGCTGCTTGCAGACGAGGTGTCCGTCGAGTATGATGGCATGGCGACGCTGCTGACCGGAGTTAGTGAGCAGCTGCTTGCTGAACTGGATGAGGAGCGGTGGCCGCCGCGACGTCCATTGCTTATTGGCGATCTGCCTGGTAGAAGACCGTTCATTCGCTGAGCGTGCTCCCCAAGCTTCTCTCGTTCCATGATTTCTTTACCTTTGGACAGGACCTCCTTGGCTGTGCGTGGCTTTTGATGACTGTCCGGTGGCAGTTCATGCAAAATCGTGCGCCAGAGTCGGGTCACCTCAATTCCACCATCCTTCAGCTTTGTCTTGTTGAACACACGGAAGTGCGAAAGAGTTGAAGGTACGGGCAGCTCTGCGTCTTGTGTCTGCAACAACTGCACAATTCTGTAGGCGCGGATATATTCATAAGCCGTGCTACGTGTCAAACCAAAGCTGGTATGGGCCCACTTGATGAAGTTGGCTGTTTTCAGCAAGCGTTCAGTGTGCAGAACTCGATACAAGGCCTGACCAATAGTGTAGTAAGAGCCGCGTACATTTTGGCGTATCTGACTCTGCCAGAAATCGAGCCGCTGCGCTTTCGGTCCGGAAACTTCCATGGTACCTTCCTCGCCGTCCTCGACAATCTCTTCTTCGTTTTGCTCGTCTTCGACTGCGTAGTCCTCATTGTCATTAGGGTGGTGGTGAAGGTGAATATGGCGTTGATGGACCTGGTGATAGTCGCCAGTGTCGACTTGACCTGAGTAGTCTCCACCACCGTCATCCAAGTTCACATGTATCACCGGGGTGGGACTGCCTTGGTCGGACTCCGTCGGTTCATCGCTGATCGAGCGCCGTTGCTCGTACAGAGTATCGTCTGTCGAAAGGGACACGGTCCGCCCGTCCATGTTTACGTCGTATACACTGGTGACGTGTGCAGCAGCAGACACAGTAGTACTCCGGTGAGGAGACAACAACAACAGGAGACTTCTAACTCCAAAGCCGGCCGACTTGTTTCGGAAAAGACGAGTCCGAGGTTGAGTTTGCAGCGCACTCACTGAGCACAGGTTACAGAAGAATGCTTGAAGGCTGCACGCTAATGCACAGTCTATACAGTTCTTGCCTTGGAGGGCGCAAGCTCTTCGCTTCGCTCCGTAATCCGCTGTCCAGTAGCTGGTCCGTCAATGCGTACTGCAGCGCGCTAAGGCTAGACTTATCTGCCCACTGCCACTGGCTGTATCCAGCACGAGCTTGGGACTGCGAACTATTACTTGGCTCCGAAATCCGTGCAAAAGGAAGGCAAGAATATCCGATGCGCTCAGCTGGCAGGCCTTTCGATATCCTCGCTTCCACTCCGACTGCAGTGAAACAGAACCACACCATACACGTCGTCACTGGTCTGTTAGTTCAAGTAACATAGTTAGTTAGGGTGCGATCTCACACGTTCACTGGGTTGAACCAGGTCTGGAAATGACCACACAACTATTACTAGTATTATTTCCCCGGCCCGCACAACCGTACTTACTCAAGACGAAGACAGTAGTTGGTCACTGCAGTGCTGGGCTAGGGGGCAGGGAGCTGTAGTTGCCAGTACTACCACACTGTTGTAGTAGTACTAGTACACTCGCAGGTCGTGTCACAGCTCGCCTTCTCGACTTCGGCTTCAGTGGCAGCAGTTACGAGAGCACAGTGTCAGTAGTTCAAACAGCGCGCAACCACAGAGAGTGGTGAACAAGAGGATACGAAAGAGTAAGAAACTAATACTTAGCAGTCCTCAACGCTAAGACTAGTAAGAGCTATTTCTCTCCGTGATGTGGAAAACTAGCACCCGGCTAAAGAACGTTCGTCTCTACAACAACCCGATAGTAGTCTGAACACCCTGCTTCTACGGGACAACAATAATATGCAGCCGATCAGCACGCGCTAGTTCATGTGCAGTTCTGGCCTCGGTGATTTTCTCCGAGCTGCTTTTACTGTGTGCAGAACTAGTTGGATTGTTGGATTAGTTCAAGCTGCCTGGCTTGTTCGAGGGCCGATCATCCGTTGCTAAGTCTTGATCCGCATACCGGTCATGGCCGCTGCGCTGGCCCGGTCTCTTGCACAGGTCTTCGAGATTCCCCGATCTCCGATCAACCCACGTACGTAGATCTACTCTGGTGATGTTCGACAAGGATTGCCACCCGACTGACAGTTGTTCACCGAGCTATAGGAGTTAGGAATCACATCGCGTCACCAGCGGAGGCGGGCATGCCATAACCTGGCCATGATTTTTGCTTAACTTAAAAAATGACCAGCGCCAGGTGCTATTAATAATAGTATTAATATAAGCGAAGACTACGGTAGTCATTGGATAGTAGTAATGCAGTACATTGCGACCATGTAACAGTCGCAGTCTGAACAGTGATCTGTCTGACCCATGACCCATGTTCGTTCCGCGATACCGCGATAGTGCAATATCTAGTTACGTGTGTGTTTCTAGCCACTTCCCCACTCACACGTCGCAACAGAGAAAGAATCGATCACTCGACTGCTCGTGGAGGGCGGGTTGCCCAGCGCCTCCGCACTGCATTGCTGTTCGTATGTCCCGAACTTCAACGCTGAAATACTGAGTTTGTGGACCAGTGCCAGTGGTAGGTGTGCACACTGAATTAATTGGGCGACACCGCCCGTTTGGTTCTGCGAATTCGAATAAAAATGTGCCTACCTACACATGGACATGACAAAGGCTATCTCTTTGTCAAGTTTGTGGTAATGGTTCTCACTGATGCGTACCTAGCTTGTAGTACCTGGGTCCATGCCATTGACAACCGCGACAAACTGTGCCCAAACCTACAAAGTCAAAGTCAAAGACAAAGGCTACAGTCATTGTACACGCTACAGATGACTGTACATGTATTACAGTCATGCACGTGCCACTGCTGCAAAAACATACGTGCTAGAATTGCTAACATCACGCTTTAACGCGTTAACGCTAAGACAAGCTTGCAAGCGCAGCGGGCTCGACGACAGCACGCTGATCTGATGGCGTGGTTTCCGCCACTGACTTGGGCAAGAAAACGAGAAGATAATGCAAACGCCATGACATAATCATTGCATTGTCATCGCAAAGTCCTGTGTACGTAGACCTACGTGTGCACACGCGCGTACGCACGCACTGACTCTACACTACAGTCATGACTTTCCGTGTCCTTGGCCTGGGAAACTGCCAACTGGTCTGTATTGCCTAGTATTGGGAAGCTCTTTTCCACGTATCGTCGTGATCGCGCGTCACCATACATCTCTCCGCGACGTGGTGCTGCTGCCAGTGCTGGTCCGCTGGTAGATCTACAGTACCATGGTGGTACGGAGGAATTTATTACGGTACATTTCAACCTGGTACATGGTGCGCCCTAGCCCTAGGCTATGGAGTATGGTATGGCTAGAACCAGGCCAGACTGATCGGGACGAAGCCAAAGGACGGGCCTGCATATGCATGAGTCCAGTGTAAAATAGTCCATGATGTATATTGACTTTTTGCCCTCTTGCAAAGATGACAGACTGTCGGTGGTGCTTTCGAGTGGGCAGGGCGCTGGACAGGGGTGCTGGAAATCACTGGTGACACGAACACGTGACTTTTTCCTGCAGAGCCTGTGCAATTCCAGCGCTCAAAAGTTGGAAAAAAAGTTTATCAATCACTTGTGTTAGTTTCATCATGAGTCCATGCTCAATATTCTTCGCTGTCGCCAAAACTAATAATCTCTCCGCGACGTGGTGCTGCTGGTCCGCTGGTAGCTCTACAGCATCATTCATGGTGGTACGGAAGAATTACGGTACATTTCAACCTGGTGCGCCCTAGCCCTAGGCTATGGAGTATGGTATGGCTAGAACCAGGCCAGACTGATCGGGACGAAGCCAAAGGACGGGCCTGCATATGCATGAGTCCAGTGTAAAATAGTACATGATGTACATTGACTTTTTGCCCTCTTGCAAAGATGACAGACTGTCAGTGGTGCTTTCGAGTGGGCAGGGCGCTGGACAGGGTTGCTGAAATCACTGGTGACACGAACACGTGACTTTTTCCTGCAGAGCCTGTGCAATTCCAGCGCTCAAGAAGTTGGAAAAAAGTTTATCAATCACTTGTGTTAGTTCCATCATGAGTCCACGCTCAATATTCTTCGCTGTCGCCAAAACTAATATTCTTCGGGCGATACTGTCCATGGTACTCGTTACGTGTATATGTACGTATGGCCATGAAGGTTAGATGACGTTTTGCATTATTCTTTACGTTCAACAGGCTGCGTTTAGGTCTACCCAAAGGTTTAAAAAAAATTTCACGCTGCGAGCCTGCGACTGGACCCACAGTTCTCCCATCCAACATTGTTTTCCTTGCCCAGCGCAACACATGCCGACGTTTCTGAAGATAAGACATCACCTGTGCACGCCTAGTGTGTGCGTGTGTGCGTGCGTGTGTGTGTGTGTGTGTGTGTGTGCGTGTGTGTATGTGTGTGTGTAACAAAGAGTATGTACTCTTGGTGTAGCTCATACAAGTACTCAGAAGTTAGTTGGATCACTGCAGGTCTTCAAGTAGTTTGAGTCCTGGACCATGTGGAGTGTTGTTCACGCATCCGAATCGTGCAGACAGTTTTTCCCCGCTGTCATGTTAGCTAGTAGAGCCGCATAATTTTAAATCTGTTTGCACGCGAGTCGAACACGTCAGTGAAGGCCAGATAGTGGCACGCACAATACGGGATACATACGCCACAGACTATGCCAGTGCAGTTAGCTACTGCACTGCAGTCAGCATAGTCAGTGGAGACTGCACATGCCGTGAAACCGTCGAAAGTGAAAGCCGCAATTGATTCCTCTTCGCATGGCAGCTGCAGGCGATTGCTACTGATTGGCGTAGCATGCAGCATGTCGGCACATAGGCATTGCTAATGCTAGATGGAATCCAGGTCTCACGACCGTACAGGGAAATCATCATGGGGCGACCTCAACACAGCCATCACAAAAATGGTGACTGAATTACCACTGACTACATTGTAAGGCACTGTACTGTGTATTATGTAGACTGTAGTGTACGTGATAGCCAGGCAAGGGTCCAGTGTAGGCTAGTAGTAATAGTATAGTGAAGGCTACATGCAGCACGCGGCGTTTCCTTCAAGCGTCGTTGCACGGGACACAATATCGTCCCCAGTCTCTGTCCGGCGGAACGACTACATACCGCGCTGGTCTATATTTTGCCATGGCTCGTTTCCTGCTCTGAAGACATCCACACCGTCGGGGTACTAGTAGTACAGTAGTAGTAGTAGTAGTAGTAGTAGTACTAGTAGTAGTAGTAGTACTAGTAGTAGTATGCTAGTACAGACTCAGTGAATAGCATGCATGGAGTACGGATACCCCGAACAGTTCGTGTGCAGATAAGCAGTAGCAGCAGAAGCCGCAGATCAGACAGCACTTACTGTGACTTAGCTACCCACAGTGACTGTGCATGGTGTGCACATGTGACAGTTACTACTATTAAACTAGCCCTGGCTTCCTACAACTGGGACTAGACGGCAATGATGCGATCGAGAGCATCACGCATCATTGGTCCCCAATCCTGTACCAGCTCTGGCTTGCAGCGAGACGAAGTCAACGACGACGGCAAACTAGGACTGGATGCATTAGGCAGGACCGAATGATTAGCAACACGCTAGGCCATATGTAGGCACTGCACTTGAATGCGGATATCTGTGTGCATGAAACCGCGTATCTCACTGCTCGTACCGGTGCATGCAGAATGCCAGATCGCACCAAGGTTAAAATCCTGGTTCTCCCGTCAACTAATTACGACGCTCACAATAGTCCACTCCTGTCAGCTTGGTCAATGCCATGCCAATAGTATCATGCTTTGCATGCCCCCCCCCCCCCCACCAACACACACACACACACACACACACACCATTTGACCATTAATTTGACGTCCATCACCGGAGGCGATGATAGCGATGCTACAGCAGAAGACATAGCAGCTTGTGCTGCTATGACACACACACACACACACACACACACACACACACACACACACACACACACACACACACAAACACACACACACACACACAAACACACACACACACACACACACACACATTGTGGTCCACTCAGTACGTGATAGCATACGCGAAATTCTGTGCCATTCTGAAGGCGTGGACCGACTCGACTCGACTCGTGTATGTCGCCAACGCCCTCGCGGTTGTGGTCCTGTGCTGATGGTGTGATGGCGCGCAGGTGATATGCCCACTCCGTCCAGCCACCGCCACTAGCACTTCAGCGACAAGTCCTGCCATCACCACCATGACCACGTACGTACCACTCGCGCTGCTGCGATAAGTCCTGCTACCCCAACAAACTAGTTAGCTACGCAGGAGAGAGCGAGGAACGTGCTAAAAACGTCCAGTAATGTCCGTTCGCCGAATGCTCGGTGACAGTACTTCCGACTGTTATCCCGGTGGCTAACGACCTAGCTGAGTAGCTCAGAACACTGTGTGCGTACGGTCGGGAATCCGCCTTTCGCGCCCTCTTGAGGCTTATCCAATCTTCACGGGGCGCTGGACGCTCTCTAGGCATGGAAGCGGCGATGGCGGTTCGTTTTTTCACGTACTAAGACAAAGTGGTCGTGCAGCCTGATACACAAGCACTTCATCACCGGGGTCTGAGCGCCTGGAGTTAGGACGGCAGGACACACAGTCGCTGCTAGATCTTCCGAGTTCATGAACTGATTGTGTGCGCGTTGACTGAACAAGTGTGGGTCTGCTTGCCTATACATCATGATACACCTAGTCTGCACACACAATAGTATCCACCAGGTACTTAGTCACTACTCCCTACTAATATCCACAACTCTGATAGACCGTAGTCTATCTACGAAAAACCTCAGAACAGAAGTAGTCACTACTGACAGTAGTGTGGAGCTGCGCCGTCCCGGCTGAGGTCGGGACTCGGGACTCCCAAGGTAGGTATGCATGACTTTGCAATCGCAGTGGTCATGTTCTTCAGCTCTGTAGTGTAGTTGAGCGTAATACGTGGAAATCTACACGTAGCTTTGGGTAGTTCATACACCGTACACGTGATCAGCTGGTCGTCCTCCTAGTATCTAGTAATACTACCACAGCGTGGCCGTGAGTAAGGAAAATGCATTGCTGCACTTTTTAGTTACTTGCCTGTCTTGGTACTTTAGAGGGCGGGATTCTGGATCAACAAACTGCATCCACGATTATGATTCATCTGCCTGTGTGTCCCGACTCCCGTTCCCCAAGGTTGCAGCATGCAGCATACACGTTGCCTCCCACACGACCACAGCCTACTACATGACGTACACTAGGATGGGTTTGTGCTGGCTCTGCTCAACCATGGGGTCTTTGCCCGGGCGCCCGTCGTTCGGACCCTGCTGGATACCAACCAAGCAACTAAGCAACGAACACTGCCGGGCTGCTCTTATTCGCAGTGAAGGGACCAGAGTCATACGACACATGTCCCATCAATCCAAGCAAGAGTACGGGGTTATGTACTCTTGATCCAAGCCATTCAGCATACCATTACTAGTATGCGAAGCTGAGGACTCGGGAACCTGCTGCTTTACTTCAATGCAAACAATTATGTGGATAGCCGTAGAGGATGAGCAGCCGAAGCTGAAAGGAGGCAGTGAAGCCGGCTTTAAAATCCCCCATGCTAGCCTAGAGGCGAGGTGATATTTCCACCAGCTTGCTTCATGCTGTGAAGTAGTACATGTCGAGTACTAGTTCTATATATTGCCGGATTGATGTTATCCTTTGCTTGGGTTCTTGCAAGTACATGTACTTCATACTAAACGGGGTTTTTTCAAACAATACGACGTGGAAAGAAGGAAGAACACCAAAGATACAAGGGATGAAACTCGGCGATGAAATCAAAATGAAAATTTGAAATAGTCTAACTCGGATGGTGAGCCAATTAAATAAAATTATGATGAAAAAGGAGAAGGACAAAATGTTACGAGTTATGACCAACTGTCCACCAACGTAACCAGATCTTATACAGTCAGCGAGTGCGACAAATGGCACAAAACTGACAAGGAGTACTGAGACAATCGGCGCCCTGACACCTAGCTCCAACACTTCTCCAAGGCGCAAACCAACAACCTTCCAACTTGGAAGGCTCAGGTTCGGAAAGGTCCAAGAGGGGAAGGAAAGCGCAACGAAGAAGAGCATGAGTTACGCCCCATGCCCATGGCAACAAAGAATGCCGAAAGTTACTGGATGATGACGAAATTAGTAAGACTACTAGTATTGGACATACCATAACTAGTCCATCATTTTACATGATAGTGGAGTTCAGTAGGATGTTGACCTTTCGGTTTGTCACAATTCGTCTTCGCTTTAATAGCTTCCCCTTTCTATGTTTATTACATAAACTTTTACATAAACTTGAGCCTCCCAAGTTGGGTGGTCTGTTGCTCTTCGTTGCGCTTTCCTTCCCCTCAGAATCCCCTGAGGGCGCTAGGGCCTGTCAGTAGTGCACTGCCACTGCCACTGGTCTACAGTAGACATGGTAGATGCACACGTACACGCGATGGCCGGCCCGGATGGGTAACGTTGGTACACCTGCAGTCTGCACCTGGTAGATCTACACGGGCGTGGACATGTCGACACTCACTGATCTCAGTCTCATGCACTGAGTCAGTGCAGCGTGAATCAGTCACTTTACTGTCAGTGTCACCATGGTCACCATGGTCACCGACGGGATTTAGTTTTTTTAGCTTTACTTGGGATCGGGTCCATCCTAGCATCCAGCATCTGGAGCTAGAGCTGTAAAACTACCAAAACTAAGACAGTCTATGTAGATCTACATGATTGTCCTACGTGTTCAAAACTAGAAAAACAGAATCGTAGACCCTTTTCAATGAACCTTCTCCAGTTTTCCGCTAGCACTTGCAAAAATTAATAATAATATTATCATTCATTGGCTAGGTTGTGACGATCCAGACGAGGTCAAACGATTAGAGTCCCTTCATAGGCTTCAAGCCGTCCATAAGAGAAGCAGTTCCAAGCCACATCGTGTGCTGCACTCACTCGAACTTGTTTGATAGTAGTGAAGGACGTACTCACGTAGCTAGAGTCCAGCACAACCATGGGGATTATGGACGCGCTAGGAAAGCTGTTTGGTTGGAATAAGCGGAAAGCTGAAGTGCTGTGCGTAGGCCTGGACAACAGTGGAAAGTCTACCATCGTCAACCAGCTGAAGCCCGACAAAGTATGAACTTCTCGATGTGATGACCTGGTGTAGCCACGAGTCCTTTTTGTCCGTGTGTATGCGTATGTGTGTGTGTGTGTGTACATGGTGTGTGTATGTGTGTGTGTGTTTGGGCGCGTGTGTACATGGTATGTCACTATGTGTGTGAGTGGGTATGTGTGTGCGCGCCCGTGAGTGTATGTGATGTGCATTGGGCAGTTAAACTCTCGATATCCACGTTCATGTATCCGCGAGATGTAAAACACTCAAGTAATACTCTTGGCGCAAACGTGCTGCCCTACAGCGCTCCTCAATCTCCTCAATCTCACGGGCTACAAAGTCCAAATGCATGTATGGCTCGTTGTCTTGTGTGGTGCATGTACAGCATGTCGCAATGTATTTTGAGTTCCCTGGCTTGTTTGTGAAGTGGGCATAAGATAGTGTGAATACTTCAAAAAAAGAAGTAGCCGTCCATACTCGTACGCTACAATGTATTGATGACTGCATGTACTTCTTTTTTGAAGTAGTCAACTGCATGAAGATGGTATCCCCAATCGCAATGGCAAACATTGGCAAACATTGGCAAACATTGGCATACTGCACGTCATGTAGTACAGTCAAGTACGACAATGGAATACTGCTGCCTAGTGTGGGTGGGTTCATGGACATCCAGGCTGAACAGAATACAGCACAAGGCACTAAAAACGATTAGCCCAGGAGCCTGGCTCCCCAGCCTGAGACACCGCTGACTGGTTGCTGCGCTGTCGTTCACCTTCAAGCTATCCTACCTCCCAACAACAAGCCCCCTGAAGCCCATCCTCCCATCCATAGCCAACCCCCGCCCAATGGGTTGCCGATCTACTAGGCTAGCAATGGAGACTGCCCACTGCCATCCGGAGACTGCCCACTGCCATCCACTCTAGCTTATGTCAATGTTGCCCGTGTGCACTCGTAGCAGCCACCGGGGTTCTTACCCAGACTGCATTATTACCTTGTGGAACAGTCTACCAGTGGCCATCCTGTCAGCAGGGCTACAATCCAGACAACTCCAGTCCTTCAAGGAAAACTGTGCAACAAGTACAGGTTGCTGCACAAGTACGAGGGCAGTACCGCGGAATCGAGCCCGCGCCGCGATAGCGGCAAGGGCTGGATGACTGAGTATGTCGACTCCAATGCGACAGTCATTTGACATACGGGAAGTATCTGCTGCAGCTGAACTGGCAAACAGCCACCAACACCCTGTGAAACGGTGTAGACCAGCGCCTCACTAGCGTCTTCCCTCCCTCCTCACCACATGTTATCTCTCATTCTGCTTCTCTCACGTGTTGTTCATGTTTCGCTGCTCTGGGCAGGCACAATTAGATAACATAGTTCCGACAATCGGATTCAAAGTCGAGCAGTTCACTGCATCGGGGTAAGTGGCTGTGTACATGTATAATACCGGTTTTGTAGTTCCTTGATTAGTAGATCATGCCCTGTCAAAGGACCATGCCCTCTTAGAGGAGAATTCTCTGTCAGAGGATCAGGCACTGTTAGAGGATCATTCCCTGCTAGAGGACCATTCCCTGTTAGAGAACCACTCCCTGTTAGAAGACCATTCAATGTTGAGGACCATCCCCTTTTAAAGGACTATACCCTGTTAGAGGACCATGCCCTGTTAGGGGCTATCCGACATTATCGATAATTTTCACGAAACGAAAAAGTTTAGTTAGGACCCTCCCCCACCCCCCCCCCTGAACGAAAAATAGATTGACTTGACAGCAAGAATGCCTTGATGTCTCTCATATCAATATTTTTCAAAATGAAACTCCCCTTGACCCACCCACCCATACGAAACTTTTTCTCTTCGTGTAAAAGATCGACAATAATGGACGGCCCCTTAGAAGACTATTTCCTGTTAGAGGGCCATGCCCTGTCAGAGTATCATGCCTTGCCAGACCATCATGCCATGTAAGAAGACCATTCCCTATTAGAGGACCATTCAATATTAGAAGACCATCCCTATTAGAGGACCATTCCCTATTAGAAGAACATTCCCTATTAGAGGACCATTCCCTACTAGAAGACCATTCCCTATTAGAAGAACATTCCCTATTAGAGGACCATTCCCTATTAGAAGACCATTCCCTATTAGAGGACCATTCCCTACTAGAAGACCATTCCCTATTAGAAGAACATTCCCTATTAGAGGACCATTCCCTATTAGAAGACCATTCCCTATTAGAGGACCATTCCCTATTAGAAGAACATTCCCTATTAGAGGACCATTCCCTATTAGAAGACCATTCCCTATTAGAAAACCATTCCCTATTAGAAAAACATTCCCTATTAAAGGACCATTCCCTATTAGAAGAACATTCCCTATTAGAGGACCATTCCCTATTAGAAGAACATTCCCTATTAGAGGACCATTCCCTACTAGAAGACCATTCCCTATTAGAAGAACATTCCCTATTAGAGGACCATTCCCTATTAGAAGACCATTCCCTATTAGAAGAACATTCCCTATTAGAGGACCATTCCCTGTTAGAAGAACATTCCCTATTAGAGGACCATTCCCTATTAGAAGACCATTCCCTATTAGAAGAACATTCCCTATTAGAGGACCATTCCCTATTAGAAGACCATTCCCTATTAGAAGAACATTCCCTATTAGAGGACCATTCCCTGTTAGAAGAACATTCCCTATTAGAGGACCATTCCCTATTAGAAGACCATTCCCTATTAGAAGACCATTCCCTATTAGAAGACCATGCCTGTACACTCAGGGCTGTAGCTCGCTTCATCAGATTCCATTGAGCAGTAGTGTACAGTGTACACTGTACATGTACAGGAGTACGCATTGCGTATACATCGCCAACTCTTTCCTGCACGAACGCTTGACGAGAGACTGTGCTGTACACTTTCCACTGCTCGCCGCCCCTGGATCTGCCAGTGACGTGTGCTTATGACAGCCCTGCCTGTGTGTGTGTGTGTGTATGTGTGTGTGTATGTGTGTGTGTGTGTGTGTGTGTGTGTGTGTGTGTGTGTTATGTTGGTGTCATGCTGCATTAGTGTCACATTCACCGTGTTTGATATGGCTGGACAGTCTCGCTATCGAGTAGTCTGGGAGAGATACTACAAGTAAGTTCCGTCACATTTTTGTTTGCAATAAATGATTGCCAGCTGGCTGTGGTATTTGCATTTGAAAACAGGCCAGCGTTAGAACTCTATTTGCACTTCAAGTTAGTTTAGTCATATGCATGTAAGTGACCACAGGAGTTGGAAAACTTGACAAAATTAATGATGCTGCTTCTTCATACTACAAGTAAATGAAAAATCAAACAAAATGCGGCCCATTGGTAAGCGAATTAGCCTTTCCTAGGCTGATCCACACATGGAAGATGTTTCTTTTTAATGCATCAGTGGAGACATGGGTAGTGTTGACTCAGGCCTACAGTTCTAGGTACTTTACGGTCTGTGTTTTTTTCTTCCTTTTTGCAAAACCAATCCGGTGGAGAGGGCGCAACTCCCCCAAAACAACAAGTAACTCCAAAGCACGAAAAAAAGGCCAAAAACTAAACCAAGAACATGTGCATTAACATGTTGTTTAGAAAGACAGGACAAGTGAATAATTAGTCAGTCCATTGTTCATGATGGTCTCCGACGGTTACGTCGGCAAGCGAGCCTCCGCCACTGCCAAAGCAGCGTGGGCTCCGCAGGAGGGTGCAAATTTCAAACCAAAATGTATACGCCTGCAACCGCGAATGCACATAATACACGATTTCAGAAGGCTGAATGAAATCCTGCATTTAACAAAGGCCATAACATGTGAGTAGTGCTCGCCCCTCTTCTCAACAGATGAGCAATGCGTTTGTAGAGTGCCGTTGACGCCGCACCCATTCCGCCACTGGCTGACATGATCGCCGGAACAAATGAGGCTTGCTCAACCTACCTCACCCTCTCCTCATAGCACCTTTTCTTTTCTTTTTCGTGTCGCTGATACACAAAAGTTTGCGGTGCAGATCGATTTGAGTGTGAGTGAGGGTTAAAAACCCGTATATCAATAAGTGTACACTCAAAACGACTGCCCCACAAACCATTGGCAGCGATATCCAACCGGGCACGGTCCTCCACATTCGCGGTCCGGTAGCGAAGACACTCCCCCGTCAGTGGTTGTAGTACGGGCTCAATGGACACACTGGTGCACACTTCGTCCAGCAACTGGGCTGTGACGTCCCGAATTCCATTGTGTCTAATGGAGGGAAACCCTCCATAGGCGCACGACAACGTATGCGCGACAGTTGCCTCTTGGCCGCAAGAACAGTGTGACGGTACCCGGGCCGGCATCCATCCATAACGGAGGCAGAGTCCGTCCCAGAACTCTCCCTTTGATAAATTAAAATGATACTTCTTAAGAGGAAGTTCGACGACCCCTTCTCCTTCGCGACGGCAATGGCATGTCGTAGCGACTCCGACGCACTGCCCGGTGTTGGGTCGGATTCCGATTTCTGATGACGCCGGGAAGATACCTTGGTGTCTCTCTTGGCCGACCTGATTAATGTCACGGAATCACCGATGGAGCCGTCCCTGGACAAGATTCTCCGAGATAGAGGGTTTGTCATCCGAACCGACGATTCGTATTGTTGGCATAGGGATACAGGATTAATCAAACCGAGCCCACCGAGACGACACGGCAAAGCCAGAAGCCGCCGGATGGTTTCCCCTGGAGGGGGGGGGGGGAGGAGGAGGGGCATGGCAAGTTAAGACGGGAATCAGTTCTGTCTTGACAATGTCCTCCAGCGGTTTGAACATGGGTTCGGGTACCTTCATGGCACGACAGAGGAACACCCACCTACCCCTGAGGCCCATCACATACGTAGAATACGCAGCCTGCGGTTGGATTTTCGCAAATACTGCTAACTTCCTCAGTTCTCCCATCCATTCCTCCACCTTTGTTTTGATATAACTTTGAAGAAAGTTGTCCCTTCCGATTGCTGCGCCAAGACGTCGTGATCCCTCGTCCGTTATTGTAACACCAGTGTCTGGAAACAATTCAGTTGCCTCCTGGTAACACCTTTCCTTTACAAGGGCCGATTTCTTTGGGTTCACGTAATATCCATAGGCCGGTCCTCTCTTGTCCATTATGTCACATCATAGACGGAGCCTGAAAAAATGAGCAGCAGCGGATGAATCGTCTGCGAACCACGAGTGCACCGCACCCGCCTCATCCGCTTAACGTATCAAGGGCATTATTCCCAAAGCGTACATATACATGGCGAGGGGATCACCCTGTGTTGTCCATTCCTGCGACAGGATACTTTCACCGTCCACGTAGAGATGAGCGGGGTCACGGTAGGTATTAATTAGAACGGTAGCGAGTGATGGACACAAGTGCCGAACATTTCTTAAGCAAGTCTGTCGATTCAGTCTGCTGAACGCATTACTTACGTCCGCCATCAGAATTCCTTTGGTGTCATCCAGCTCAACGGCCTGTTGCTCAGGCCTACAGTACTGCTGGGCGGCGAAGAACTGTGGGGGGGGGGGGGGTCAGGGTTCTAGCCTAGCCCGTTCTTATTTTTAGCGAACACAGCAGTTTCGTTCTTATTCGATGGTACAGTCTTACATGTACATTAATGCAGAGTTATACGTCTGAGTGTACATTATAATGTATATTATTCCCGTAGCTATGCAGAAGACGTTACTTCAGTAACGTCTGGCGCTAGCCAGGGTCCACACAGCTTTAATTTGGTATTTGTTTGTGTGTTTGTGTCACGCCTGGCGCTATCCCGTATCTGTCCCGTACCGTACCGTACCATCAAACACAGCTGGCCACAAACAGCTGGCCACAATATTCAAATAGGGCTTTCAAATGCAAGATCATAACGTGAAGCAACTTGGAAGAATGAGTATGAATGCGAAGTGTATTGGGGAATGCATGTAGGGCGATAGCGCGGGTTCGAATCCCGGGTTATGCCTTAAAATAAAATAGGAGAATTGAAAAATTTATAACATCCCCATGCTTTTTTTGCCTAGGTCATCAAGTAAATTAGTTGGTAGATGGTGTCGTATTACTCTCGACCGTATCTGTCCCGTACCGTACCGTACCGTACCATCAAAGACAGCTGGCCACAAACAGCTGGCCACGATATTCAAATAGGGCTTTCAAATGCAAGATCATAGCGTGAAGCAACTTGGAAGAATTAGTATGCGAAGTGTATCGGGGGATGCATGCAGGGCGATAGTGCGGGTTCGAATCCCAGGTTATGTCTTGAAAAAAAAAGAGAAATGAAAAATTTATAACACCCCTGTGCTTTTTTGCCTAGGTCATCAAGGCAAAAAAGCATAGCGTAGGGCCCTGAGCTTCCAAGCTCTCTCGTTACGGTTTCCATTCCGATCCGCAAAAAATCCAGCCTGCACAGTTCTTAATTTTAAAAAAAGGTGAAATTCTAGCCTGGCCGTTCTTCAGCGCCTGATAGTACTGTATCTGTTCAGTACTGAAGCACATACTCTATGTCAACAAATATTTGGCGCATATTTATTTTCGTCTATTTTTGGCCTGGTCATATTTGGCCGAAATTTTGTTTTACAAGTTTCAGTGTGACAGAGATACAGTCAGCAGCAGGACAGGCCGAAAATGTATGCGGCCAAAATGTGTTGTAGCCCTGGGAGGCCGAAATTTGAATGGGCCGAAAATTTGTAGACTTGCAGTAGTATGCTAACCCCTGCCATATATACTAATGTCATCGACTATGAAACAATGGTTTCCATGGATGCTCCATGGTTAGTCCGAATGAAAGAAACTTGAAACTCTATCCATGATGGATTGTTGCAAGGTGTGTTATTAGTGGCAATACAGCGTCTTGTGCTGTAAAGTGACTGTCAGCGGCATGCCTGACCTTGTGGCATCCAACATCACGGTTTGGCCTTGGGGCTGGTGTCACTGTTTTTACTGGCATTTGGTGAGGTTGACTTTAATGTACATGTATATTAAACAGTGCAATAGAACGTACGACTCGTACACATACGGCCAAGGGACACAAAACAACAATGCGAGAGAATAGGCAGGATCCTAAAAAAAGTACTTCAGAAGTGTATGTCCACGCGGCATCCTCCGATAAGTTTGTACCCAATGTGAAGATAAACTTTGGTATTGTTTGACTGTAGTGTGATAGGAGTCATGAGAGTGTTACTTTACACCTACGTGACCTAGACCATGTATGTGTGCCTGTACCTGTGCGGGTACATATGCATGTATGTGTACAGGTACACATACATGCATATGTACATGTACACATACATGCTTATGTACCTGTACATGCAACTGGGCCTGATCATGCTGGGTCAGCCCTAACGAGCCCTTCACACTGGTCACCACCATGCCAGTCACGGTGAGCCATTCCTGTTCACACTGGCAACAGGTGAGTTCACACCAAGCTACCAGCCTGTCAGCAGTGTGGAGCCACAGTGACGTGGCGGGAAAGAGGTGAGAAGGCTTCGCACGTACTAGCACTTGGCACCAGCATGGTGGCTTCTAAGGACAATAAATTCAGCAACCTTGCAACACCAAGGCCAGTTATCCCAGCAGCAGCAGCAGAGGAAGAAGAAGTCGATGGAGAGAAAGCAGCAGCAGCAGCAGCAGAAGAAGATGAAGCAGCAGCAGCAACCTTGCCCAGGACTCAGACAAGGCTTCATCAGGTCAGCCACCTCTGAGGACTTGTGTCGTCAGCTAAAAATAGGATTACCGCCCGACATGCAACCTGTGCCGAAAGCAGCTTCTTGCCAATCTTGGGTGGTGAATGATAAGGGTAAGGATACGGAGGATAAGTGTTCTGGTATTCCTGAGTTGCTACTTGGGCTAATATCATGTGCCTATGCTCCATGCTGTGTGCTGTGTGCTGTGTGTGTTCTTGTTGAACACTGCAGGACGGTGAAGGGGATCATCTTTGTGGTGGATAGTAGTGAACGCCTGCGCATGGCCACGGCCAAGGATGAACTCGAGAGGCTTCTTACTCACAAGGGTAGGTTGACGCTATGCTGCGGTGCTGCCCTAGCAATGCCGGGTGTTTCAAATGTAACACCTCGACACCTCGACACCTCAATTCCACATACACACACGCATGCACGGGTGTGCTCACTTGCTTGCTAATGCCCCCCCCCCCCCACACACACACACATGCACTCATAGCAAGTTTTTGGAATTGTACCTGCATGTGTGCATGTGTTGACCAATGGGCTACTACTGGCTAGACTTAGTCGTGTGTACTCTGTGATGACTGGTATCATGTACTAACGTCACTGGGAACAAGGATAAATACAGCTGGGTCCCATCCTGTCCACTTTGATACAATCACTTAGTCTACTGAAAATTATCTTCACCCTCGTACTCGGGTGTGTTGCTGAGGCAATAGGTAGTACAATTATTTCGGAGTCCACCCCTGGTATAGGAATCCAAGCTGTTTCTGCCTATTGATTTATCCGCAGTATTCCTTGGATCATTCTTCCCTCTCCGGCCCCGTGTTACCTATGCAGCTGTGTGTGTATTGTTTCCATGGTCTTGGTTCTGAAGATGTGGTGGATCGACACATACCGCTGTTGATCTTTGCCAACAAGATGGATGTACATGACTCTATTTCTGCTATCGAGGTGAGCAATTTCAACTGCAATGCTATCCCTGCTATTGCCACCACCTCGAACAAGGGTGGTGGCATTGGCCGTATTGAACAGGAGCGCATACCAACCTTCAGGGCCCGCCACGACCATACAAAATTCAAAAAGCTTCGACAACCATTTTGAAAAATGGCGATTGCCGCGCAGGCCAGCGTTCGTGCAGTCATAGCGGCTACGCACCAGAGTTCGTGCTGATCAATGTACAGCGATGTACAGTCGAGTTCCTGGTGTAGTCTGTACAGCGAAGGGCCAGTACCGAAGGGAATCTTGTTTGATACCGGGAAAGACACGAGGAGAAGACGTCCTCCAAGCCATCTTGGTCATTTTTCTCAATCCGCTGGTGCATTTTGACCAAGATATGTCCGTGAGATACTGGTGAACTGGAGTCCTGGCATCTACACGATTTCGCCTCGGCCTTTTCTTGTTGCACTTGCAGATATGCACACGGCTGCCAGGTTTTGTTGGTGCGCGTGAGTGCGCACGGCCGACCTTGATGTTTTCAAAAAAGTAAAACAGCGGTTCTACTTCGCCGATTCTCACCGTCAAGAAGCTCATTTTCTCGGTCTTGGAATTCTCTATCGGTTTACCGTCCCCGATTTCTATTTTTCTCTTCATTCACTTGTTTGCACGTCTTCGAGTTTCAGTGATTTCACCATCCGATCTCAGCCAAACGAAGGCCAAATCGAAAAATTCAAGACGGTAACCCTCCAAAGATCACGAATCCACAATGGCCTAATGTCTAAAACCAACGAGTACAGCCAAGTTCAGCTCGGAAAACACCCCACAATTGCAAGAAACGGCCCGTTTTGCCGTGCGCTGATTGGTCAAAACCTGGAGACCGTTATTGACGCATTGTACGGTCGTGGTGAGCCCTGACCTTAACCTATGGGAAGAGTGGACACAGTGGTGGTTGTAAGGTCACGGCCACCACCCAGTGTTCACTCTGCCCATGGTGGTGATGGTGTAAGGTTGGCATGTGATCCTGATCAACAAACTCACAAACTAGACCTAGAATATTCGTCCGTAGCAGAAGGTACTGAAACTGGCACAGAGCAAAACGAAACGCTCTATGAATTCTCCAGCTTTGGAAATGTTCTGATTTCAATTGAAAAATGCAGGCAAGATGCAGGTTCTGTCTCTGCCACTACTGGTGAACAATTGGAGTCCTTAGAAAAGGAAAGAAAGCAGCAGACTGAGGTGAGGCTGGAAGAGGAATAGCGTTGCTTTAGACATGGTGTTTTAGACTGTGACAGGGCAACGTTATGCTCTGTGACCCTTCATGGGCACACTGTGCTACAGTGCGGATCGGCAATAGGGTTGTCGGCTATAGTAATATACCTCTTATTGTGATCGTATTCTCAAATTCATTTTCGAAAACCACCCCTTTCTAGACATATTGGATCGGCTATAGTAATATATCGGCTATAATGATAGGATTTCTTTGTCAAAATGATTTTATTGCATACATTTTTCATCGGCTATAGTGATTTGATCATAAAAAATTATACATCGTACATGGCGAGATCTGACCGCGGCAGTCAGGAAGCGCTGGTACGACTATGATATCCCTCGGAGGAACTTCGGAATGTTTGGCGTTGGCTGTGCTTGTTCCGGGGCATCCTCGAGCGAGAGCGGAGGCAGTATGAGTACCAGCGCTGAAGCGCTACTGTGGTCTCCGCTGAGATGTTGGAGAAGGCATTCAGGTAACAGCGAAGATGATCAGGGACGCGGAGAAGCTTCTCCGTGACATACGACATCACGCGTCGATCGACCTGCCACTTGGAACGGTTTCAGTCGAGCGATGGCGACCCAGACTGAGACTCTACTCCCACTATTCGATCCTGTAGATATTGTTGATATGTCGATTGAATGTGTTGAAATGTTTCTCTTCTCTTCTTGTTGAACACTGAAAACTCATGTCAAAAAGTGACGAAGTTTTTGTTTCCACAGGAAGTAGCTCTGCACTGCGCGTGCGCGTACTGCACAGTCACATCAAGAGTAGAAAAACAAGAGTGTGCAACTCGCGGATGGGTAGGCCCACGGCAGAATTTTTTGTTGACGTAACGAGCTGCGAGCCTTTCGGAAAGTTTTTCCTCGTGCTCTTGGCCGGCTTTACACTACAAGGTCGGTGCCCAGCACGTGCTCTCACACTGCTCTGCGGCGAAATGCGCGTTCTTCTGAAAAAAGGTGACGTCAACAAAAAATTCCGCCATGGGCGGGGTATCTGCAGATTGTGCAGGAGAGATCCGGAGTTGCACACTCTTGTTTATCTACTCTTATAGTCTGTTTCAAAAAGATTAGCAATCAGGTTTTGGTCTTAAAAAGTATGAAGATAAGGGAAAATTGGACAACGAAGTACATAAAAGGGCTGGTTAGGGCACGGCAAATTGTTCTGTGAAGGTTTCGGAACAATTGGACCAGCCGTTAAGGAGTTAGAATTTCGGCCAGGTTTCCGGCCTTTTCCCATGGTTTACAATTTGCCCTGGAAGCCAGTATCGATTTTTCTATCAAAACCCACGATTTATCTTTTCCTTTCTGGCCTTGTGGTTATGGATGCTGTCTGCTGACCATGAAGTTGCGAGTTCAAATCCCAACCTATCTTCAAGTCACACTTTTGTTCATTGTTTTTTTGGTGATCAAGCAGACTTGTTGTTGTTCACGGTTGTTGTTGTTGGAGCTCCCGCTTCCTTTCGAACTGACTGACACTTGACTGGCTCACGCCATGTGAACACACCCTCAACACTGAAACGGTGTGAGTGAATACGGAAGTCATTGCGCTGTAGCTACGTGTTGAATACACCGGCACATCGATCGATCGAATTTTTTTTGAGAATTATTTTAGTATTTCAAGATCGCCAATTTATTTGAATTTAGAAGTCAACGTCGTCTTCTATCAGCTTCCACAGGCGTCTGCTTTTCTCAAAATGTTGTCGAAGTCATACGGATAACTTCGCCAAGTCATGGCCTTGGGAATGAGTCTGTGTCGATGTCGTTTTCGTCACATGGTGAGAGTAAATTGCATCGCAGCTCAAAGAAACTATTTGGTCACAAAACATATTGGGACCCATGCCGCTCGTCAGCCTTGGCATTTACTACACTTTTGATATGTCCTCTCTGACTCCAGTCCATAATCGATACGAGGAAGAACTCGTTTGTTGTGAACCAGACGTACACGACTGTACCGACATCGACCTGAGTGAGTTGTCATTTTTCATGCTTTCGCGCGGAATATTTCTTCGAGTTCACAGTGAGTTTTTGCAGGCAGCGCTCGAGCGCTCATACGGTAAGACGGCAAACTCCCCGGGCGATCACCAGGATTGCTAATCTTTTTGAAACTGACTGTAGTCACATGCACAGCACGCTTCTGCACGCTGCACTGATTTGAATGGCACCATACACGCATATGTGTCAGGCATACCAAAGTATGCATATCGCCTGTAGTAAAATATCGCCTATAGTGATATTTTCACGAAAATCAAACACCAACGCTATAGCCGATCCGTACTGTATTCCATGCAAAGCTGAAGAGCGGCCATGGGCTCATCCCCGGCTGTACACCAGGTTCTCTGAAAGGAGTATTGTGTCACACCTCAGAACCAAGTCGGTAGAGGTGGAACTGCATGTACCTGTAGCTCAGTGAGACTGGCGGCTGACACTGGGCTCACCGTGCTGTCTGTATTACTAGTATGCACTCCTACTGGCCATGGGTTGGGACCTACAGACTTTACTCGTCACAGTATTGGCCTTGGGTTGGGACCTACACTGGCTACAGACTTTACTTGTGTGGACAATGATCTAGGCTAGTCAACAGATCCATTCACTGGACGTGGCTAGTGGAGTGTACTGAATTACTCTTGAAGATCAGCACTAGTCTTGGTGATTAATTGTCTTTGTTCAAATAATGTTTTTTGCTTCTTCAGTGCTCAGAAGAACTGGGATTGAGTGAGATCAAGACCAAGCCTTGGAATATCTTGTGAGTGCCACACTATTCTATAACCTGTCTGATCGCTGAGAGGCCACTGTAGATAAATCAGTGCACACTGAGTCCTCCGCAGTCCCCCCCCCCCCCCCCCACACACACACACACTGGCATACACACACACAGACCAGATGCGGCGACCACACCGAATTCCTTGGTCTGATTCCTAGCTGGCATAAAGCAGATAAGGCTTACGGAAAGGCTACCCTCCCTGTTTACAGGGTGAGCCCATACAGCTTTCAGCAAGATTGAGCCTGTGCATGTTTTTAGCATACATGTGCGTGGTTCATGTGGTTGTATTCTCTCAAGTAGCTAATGCAAGTAAGTGTCAAATCCAGAGCACTTGCCGGTCAGAATGCAGGACCGGTGCTGCCCGCTCAGTGTAGCAGCTGGAACTGATGATCTCTATTGCAGTACCTGTACCTGTATGCTGTCGTGTTTCTATGCTATAGTGCGAGCAATGCGTTGACTGGCGAGGGCCTTAGCGATGGAATAGAGTGGCTTTCAGGTACAGTGGCAAACCTTTGGCAACTCCTTAGCCCTAGTCCTAGAATCATGAGCAAGGCATCCATCCTGATGTGCACAGGGATTTTAGAGAACTTGCCGGTTATGCCGGGAAGATTTCACATAGGAGTGAATTCACCTTCTTTCACTAGGAAACAAGTCGTTTTGTTAGCAGCTAGCCTAGCCGATTGCATCTATGGAAGACAAGCAATGTACAGCTGAGCGAAAACTTCCAAATTTGAACACATGGCAAGTGCAATCTTAAAATGATATTGAGGCTATTCATTGGTAAGACCTGCTTGATTTCATTTGGACTGCCTCACGACGGCCCGCCACTGCTTGCACACATGGAACACCAGTCCTGTTCCCGATTTCTGTTCACAACATCAGCCATATTGTCATGTGACATCATCATCATGTGACCAAGGAAAATATCCTCAATGGTTCCGTATTACTGAATCAGTGTGGAAATGCATGCACGTGGTGGCTATGCGCTTGCGTACGGATTCTGTGTGTTTGGTGGCTCTTGCATGCACGCGTGGTGCTGTGTTTTCATGCAGATGCTCTTCAGCAGACAATGTGAGAGGACTGGACTGTAATACCAGCATAACTGAACACTCTGGGCGAAGGAAAATCAAAATAGATCCAAGAAGCAACCACTGAACTGAGAACAAGAAATGCAACAAACACATCTACTATATCTGCAAGTGTTTCAAATTTCTGTGTAATTAGATATCATCTCAAGCTAGCTGCCTAAATTGTTCAAAACTTACTAAAATTACTACTCAATTCTTATGGGATACTCAAATTGTAAACTGTATGTATATCACAGACCTATAGAACTTCTACTCAACTTCTATATCAAACTATATTCAAGATCATCTCATGCATATTTTGAGTTGTTTTTGTTCTCTTAGTCTTCTGGTAATTCCTGTAGCCTGTTCTCCATGCGGTCAAGTTCTCTTTCTAAATCTTGCAACCTGTGAAAGGTCCTGTGAGCAGAAAAATAGGACAAAAATAAGCACACTATGAGTTTCAGTGGCGTTCGATGGTCAATCACAGTTTGAGGAGAGCAGCATCCCTCGACACTGCCTCCACGTACTGCCTGCCTACTGAATACAGGTCCAGCAATCTCCACTGGGGGTGCCAGTTTAGTCAAAACTGAATATCTGATAATGCACATTTACGAAATTTAGGGGGTTCCATGGAACCCCTGGAACCAGGGGCGGATCCAGGAGGGGTTCCGTGGAACCCCCTAAATGCGTGTCCCATGTACATGTATCCGCTATTCAGTTTTGACTACACTGGAACCCCTGTAGAGATCGCTGGATCCACCGCTGGGAACCCCTCCTGGATCCACCGCTGGGAACCCCTCCGCTGGGAACCCCTCCTGGATCCACCGCTGGGAACCCCTCCTGGATCCACCGCTGGGAACCCCTCCTGGATCCACCGCTGGGAACCCCTCCTGGATCCACCGCTGGGAACCCCTCCTGGATCCACCGCTGGGAACCCCTCCTGGATCCACCGCTGGGAACCCCACCTGGATCCACCGCTGGGAACCCCTCCTGGATCCACCGCTGGGAACCCCTCCTGGATCCACCGCTGGGAACCCCTCCTGGATCCACCGCTGGGAACCCCTCCTGGATCCACCGCTGGGAACCCCACCTGGATCCACCGCTGGGAACCCCTCCTGGATACGCCCCTACTACTGTTAACACTCAGTCAACCGAAATCTTTCTCACGGGCCGGCATCTTCATGGACTGGAGGTACGGGGGGGGGGGGGGGCAGAACTGTGGGAACGTCAGTCTACATTGTAATATTGTGGATCTGGACTGTTTTATTTCCCCCACTTCTGCTCCAAAATTGACTCACTCCTGATAAGAGCTGCAGGTGGGAAGTCACGGCCAGTGAAAGACTCCAATTGGGTGAGGCTGCTGATCTACCTATGAAGGAAAGAATTTGCTCAAGGAGGTGTGTGGAGGTGGTAGTAGTCAGGGTTTGGGATATGAAGGAGGTTTCCGGAAATTGTTTGACAAAGTCAAATCCCTGGAAATGTGCATTTGTGCCGCGTGAACGGCAGCGGCAAAGAAAAACGAGTACTGTAAAACGGGAAAGTCTAACGAGTCACAAAGTCTAAAACGTTTTAACGACCATTTTTTCGTTATTTGAAGAAACGTTATCGCGAATCCGGTTTGACATGTCTGAGTATGCATACAGATGGGTGGCCAGGTAGCCATCATTAAACTTTCTGCACGTTATCATGCGAAAATTACAAAAATGTTAAACGTTTAACTTTTGGTCGTTAAACTTTCCGGTTTTACAGTATTGAAATAATAGCCCGCCGAAGTCCTATAATGGCTACCTACCCTGATGAGTTGAGACTGTGTTCAAAGGAGCTGTCGAGACTCCGGCATCGTGACAGCCTTCCTTTAGCGGAACTGGTCCCGCCATCGTCACCATCATCTCCTGATAGCTCTCCGAATGCATCATCACTGTCCAGTTCCAAACCGTCATGATCTGTGCCTGAGAGACTTAGTAGCATGGTTATCAGTTGATCTGTGTCATCATCCAGTGATGATCGCACTGGCAGTTCAATTGCAGGCAAGTCCTCATCCGAGGCGCTATGCCTCAGTGACCTGGCAGTGCTTTCTGTATCCCGGTCCAGCAATTCCAGGTTTGTGTCAATGCCGACGTTCTCTTCATATACCGTGTGCTGTGGTGCATCCTGCTCGGGTAATGCTGAAGCTAGACCATGATGGCCTTTGTCCACCTGTTGCTGCTGCTGTTGCTGCTGCTGCAGATGGCGATCATGAGAATGTTGGGAATCAACAGTAAGCTTGTCCTCTGTCCCTGTTTTTCTATCAAATTCTTTATCGGTCTTCAGCGCAGTGGCTACAGGCTTTGCTGGTTGGTCTTGCTCATCGTGCAAAGAATCACACGTGGCTTCTGACATGGCCTCTAGCTTTTGTGCAGCCCGTTGATTTATTCGGCTTGCGGTCACAGCGGGTAGACTTCCCACGGACTTGCTACGACTTCGAACCGGTGGCTTTGGCGGGGGTGCTGGTCTTTTTGCTGTCTGTGGTTTCGCCGGTGACACTGGCAATGGTTGCAAAGCTGCTCCACTCACTGCCGAACTTGCTGCATTGCTCGGTGAAGAAACTGCTGTTTTTGACTGAATCGTTGGTTTCGCTGAAGGCTTGGGCTTTGCAGGAGCAGGTGGTTTGACTGGGTTTGCTTTGCCACTTGACTTCGGCCTCACGGCAGGCCTAGCCGACTCTCCAGCAGAATACCTGCGTCCTGCAGGTCTTGTCACGGGTGGGACTGGCACACTCTCTGTCGGTTTCGGTGTATTCCTAGTGCCAAACAGTTCCTGTGCTGCCTTGAATCTGCCCATCATGTCGGCAACAAGAACAGTGTCTTCTTCTTCCCCGGCATCACCATTGTTAACGGAACCTTGCTCCTGCGCCTCGTACTCATGCTTAGATGGTGTGGCCACGTCGCATTGCTTTGCAAAGTGACGGACTGGTTTCTTGACACGAGTGATGGCGGCTGGTGGAAAAATGGGCATGGAGTGGCGTCGCCTCACAAGTGGCACTTCAACTGCTGCTGGTTCATTGTCGACACTTTGTGATGCCACATTGCTCTGGCTTTTAGTACTGGGAGTAATGAGTTGGTTAGTGCTGGTCAATTCATCGCTTTCCCCTGCTGTATGCTGCACAGGCTGTGGATTTTGTAATACAATAGTCCCTTGATGCTTCTCTTGTTGTTCGTCGTGTTGTTGTTGCATTGGATCTTTCTGCTGCTGCTGTTGCTGCTGGCATTGTGGCAGAGGTTTACTATGCACATCAGCATTGCTGAGCACTTCTGTTGCTGATGCATCTCCATCAGTTGTCCGAAGCTCTGTCTGCTGGGGAGTTGGACTGGATTCATATTCCTCGTTAGGTCTGGCTGCAACCATGGTACCGGGGTCCAAGTGTCCATCCGCTGCATGTTTTCTTTCCGTTACATCATGTTTGGCATCCATGATGCCAAGGCTGTTGCCTTCGAGGTTTTCACCAGCCATGGAATCTGTAGTGGAGTCTTGCATGTCAGCATCGGCACTGTCCTTGTCCTGGGGAAGGTCAATAGTATTGATAATGATATTATCGTTATCAGTCGCCAATACACTGCTGGGTGCTCCTCGCTCTTGCGTATTCACACCAGGCTTGACCAGATCTGGATCCAAGGCGGTAGTGTATAGTATTAGCTGGCTATCTACAACAGCATGACTGTCTTTGCTGCATGGTGATGGTTCCTCTGTGTCCAGACGGTGGTCTACAGATATCACTTCATCCTTCTCTACCGTGCTTTTCCGCTGGATTTCTTCATTTGTCTGAGCAGAAAGTGCAGGTGATGGCTGCTGGGCGCTACATGCTACACCAGCCATCAGTTCCTCTTTGAGGATACCCGCATTCGTCACTGAATTGCCAAGTTCTCGACTAGCGCAATCGGGTACAGTGTCATGTAGGATTGATTGTGCTTGCTGATGGGCACTCGGCACAGGTGCTGGCATCGTGATGGCTAGATCAGCATCAACAATACCGACATGTTTGCAAGCATTGCTGTCGTGCCTGGTCACAAGCCCTGAGCAGCTCTGCTGTTCAGTATTGCACACCGCACTGCTGACTGCAACTTCGCTGTCCAGTGGAGTATTAATAGTAGGAGTAGTGCTTGTCCCGCTGGCTTGTTGAAAACTGAGCCATTCTGCCTGTGCATCACAGCCATGTGGACTGGGTGGCCTGAGGGGCAAAGAAGTGCTGGGTTGTTCTGGCAATGTGCTGTCGGAACTGAGAGATTCGGCCACGGTGGTGTGGTTCTCCACCTCACGAGTGTGCGAATCAGAGATGTCGTCACCGCCGGCAGGTTCCTGGAGCTTGGCACTTGAGCTGGCACTATCTGTAGCTAAGCCGCTGTCAAGTACTACATCGCTCACAGGGTCTTTACAGGCTGCCATGTTGTTGCTACTTATGCCAACACTCTCACTTACTATCAGTGCAGGTGAAGGGTGTGATGGAGCATCACTTGAGTCTTGCATTTCTTCAGAAATAGTATTCACTGATTCGCCGCTTGTATTCATTCCTTGGGTTGTTCCGTGGCTTTCGGGGCTAGAACTGGCAAGCTGGGGCAGATGAGCGGGCGTGGAGGTAGAATTATCCCCTTCATCATGCTTCGCATCAGCTAATTCGTCATGCGGCGAGTCTAATGCTGGTGTTGATGCTGCCACCTCACTGCACATCACTAGCTCATCATGATACTCACTGATACTGGGTAAAGACTCCACTGCTGAAACTTCTTCCAGCTGACTGTGTTCTCCGCTGTTGGCAAGCTGGTCAGTGACAGTGCTATTATGAAGTGTGTCAGATTCAGGTTCCTGCTTTTCCGTCTTCTCATCCATGTCACATGGCTGCTGGTTTAGGCCTACATCACTACATTCAGTGTATTCAGTGTACTGAGTGTGCGACGACGTGGTACTAGTGTCGTCACTGTGTTCAGCAGCAGAAGTCACCACCACACTACCATCTCCTGCTTGGTCTGGGCACTCATGCACCACTGCTGCTTCTGCCGCCGATGCTCTTGTTAGCTCTGCTGCTGTTGCTTCTGCCGCTGTTTCTGGCGCTGTTTCTGCTGCTGTTTCTGCCGCTGTTTCTGCCGCTGGTTCTGCTGCTGGTTCTGCCTCTGTTTCTGCCGCCGTTTCTGCTGCTGTTTCTGGCGCTGTTTCTGCTGCTGTTTCTGCCGCTGTTTCTGCTGCTGGTTCTGCCTCTGCTTCTGCTGCTGCTTCTGTCGGTGTTACCAATGCTGTTGTGTGTGCCCCTCCACTCTCCACTGCTGTTTTAGCTGCTGGTGTCCCTGTGCGATCCATTGTGGTTTCTGCTACTACCTCCGTGACCATTGCTTGATATGCGTCTACTGTACTGGAACCAAGTGCTGCACCAGTGATGTCAACAGGGATGTTATCAGGGGTGTTATCAGTGGGATTAGTAGCAACGTCAGGGATGATATCAGCAGAGATGCCAGGGGCGGTATCTGTGGTGATCTGTGCGTTGATGTCTACAGTGGTGTAAACAGCTAGGCCAATTTCATTCGTGTCATGCTGTGACACTGCAAAATTAGTTGTGGTGGATTGGTACTGTTCTTCAGACACATTATTGATAGTACCTAGGTGTGGTATACTAGGTACTTCACTGGGTACAGTGCTAGGTACAGTGCTAGGTACAGCCTGATTACTGGAGGTTGGGCTGACATGCTTTCCTGACTCCAGCTCACCACTCTCCCCTGTCTTGACAGTAACTGCCTCGGCTGCGGCATCTATCATTGCGGGCTTGACAGAGGTGGAATCGATGGTAACTTTCTGGCTGTGTGTAACCGCTGGTGTATTGTGTGCATCTCTATCTTGACCATATCCGTTGGCCTCTTGCTTCTGTTCGTCTGACTGGTGAGGGTGTGTGAGAGCTGCTGTATCAGCGGTTCCCTCCATTGTGTTACCTGGGTCCATGTCCTCCATAACATCACTGGATATCACCTGCTCTTCGGCACTAGTCTGCCTCGCATCATCCTGCTCCTCTTCAGCGTTTCGCTCACTCGTCGAGTCTAGCCGAAGCTCCTCTGACAAAATTGCATGGTTGGTTAGCTGCACTGCTGCACTTGTGGAGTTGGTTAGCTCCATACCACACTCATCCTGCTGCTCCGTATTGCACTCATCGCCTTGCTCTTGTCCGCAAGAGTCAACGGAACAAGCAGGAACAGCAGTGATAACTATTGTAGGGGCATGTGCATACTCTACGCCGTGCTTGTGTGAGGTATCAGAGGGTAGATTGAGTTGACACTCTGCACTATTGGTTACGGCGACATTCTTCAACTCTGATTCACTAGAATTCCTGACATCTTGGCAGGTGTCTTCAGCTGCCATTCCCAACTCTACAGTGTGCTCAGCATCCGTACGAGCATGAGTAGTTTGTACATGCATACTGGCTTTGCTGTGTACATCACGTCCTGCTCCCATTGGTGCACTATCCTCTGCGTTGGGAGCTGTGACATGCACGTGATGTGTATGCCGGTCTCCACCAGAGGGTGGTGGTGTGTCTGGGTCTGCTCCTTGTGAGGCACCACTGCTCTCGATTGAAGCATCCTCTACGACGATGTTCAAATTTTCAGTACTTCTAGTTGTAGTCTCCTCAGCTATGGTCAGTGCTGTAATGGTCAGTGCTGTAATGGTCGGAGGATCGTGCTCTGACTTTCTCATTCGCAAATGTGTCCACTGTGCGGGTGCATTGGCTGAGTTCTTGCCATCAGCAACCCTTGCCATCATGCCACCGATGCCTCCACGCAGGGAGCGATTCATCTGTGCCCGCAGCCGTGCACTGCGACGACTACCGCCGTTGCGCGTGAACATACCTGGGTGGTTTTGCATAGTACATACGTATCCACACACACATATGCACATACACACACACATACACACACACACACACACACATGCACACATACACGCACCAATACACATACACAAGAGGATACACATAGTGAGGTTCACGATACACACACCGCCCTCAGGAAACCGGCTGCCAGTGACAGGCGCGTCGGAACGAGTTTGGAAGTGGGGCGGCCATGGAAGGGGGGTCCGGGGGTCCTCCCCCGGGAAAAAAATTTCAAAAATTAAAGCCAATTGCAAGCATTTCCGGGCACTTGGTGCCATTTCAGTGTACGGTAACTACAATGAAAGACTTTTTGATTCTGCAAAAAAACAAGAAGATGCTACGATCGGGGACAAACATTACCCTCCCCGGGGAAAAAAATTCAAAAATTGAAGCCAATTGCAAGCATTCCCAGGCATTTGGTGCCATTTCAGTGTAGATCTACATGGACTTTTGATTCTGCAACAAACCACGATCGGGGACAAGGATTTGCCACGTTTGCGCTGAGATCATCGCGCTTTGTTGCAGTGTGCTAAAAAAAAAAAAAAAAAAAAAAAAAAACGGCCGAAAAAGTGGGGCGGCCATGGCCGCCCCGGCCGGTGCGGTTCCGACGCCCTTGAGTGAAGAATGCTGAAGAGTTCTCTTGGTGGGGACAGTGACGAACGGTCGAAGACTGCTGTTCATTTCATGGAAAATTCCAGATATCTGCCAGGGTGCAGCAGGCAAACGATAAAAATAGCTCTATCAGACTCGGCCATAAAGTCTCCATGCTGGTCTTCACAATGGCAAGTAGCAAGTGAAAGATGGGAGAGTGTTGCACAGACTGTAGTCTTACCAATTGGGAGGTTGTCATCCTCATCCTCATTTTCGCCATCACTGCCACGGACTCCATCAGCTGGACCAGACACCACAGCATCGGGAGGGAGAAGCATGAAGTCTGGTTTGGCCAGCGGCTGTGAGCGGGCCTTGCTAAGTCCATGGCCATTCTGCAGGTGCTTCTCCCCTCTAGGCCGTCTGCACAGCAGCACAGGGAAATCACAGCACACAGGGACATCATCGCACAGTGAAATCACAGTATTGGACACCGGGCAGAACTTGTATAGGAGCATTACAGAGCGACAACTTAAACGTGCAGTAGTATACACCCCTTCCATGTTGCAACATCCGTTATATGTTCACTCGGTGAAATCCTTTCAGAGGCAATCTGGTACTTTGTACGATTGAATTCCTTCAATAGCACCAACTTTGGGTCGCAAATACGTTGAGTCCCATGTATGCAGCGATTGAATCTTCTCAATAGGTCAGTGTGTTTTGAAAGGCCAGATCCCGGACATCACTACAGTGCCGTTACTTCCACGAATCAAGCAGGGCGGCGCTCAAGTTCATAGCCTCGAGTTGTTTTTTACTTGGGTTGTGCGGAGCCCAGCACATTCTATTCGTGGGAGAAATGTTCACGAGCCAGCACTGTCACAGTTTATGACGCACAGCATCAGCTTTGTTGGAAGACACTTGACCATACCGTGTACAGTCTCTGTATAGAGAGTCACCAAAGGATCCAAGATGAAATCTAAATTCAAGTGCAGTCTTCAGGGACCCCGGTGTTCCACTACAAGGATTGAGAGAGCTGGGCGGCGAAAGAGCCCCATGAACTGTGCTGGTGAACTTGAAAGTTTGAACTCCATTCACATCCCGCAATGCGCCCTGTCGCAGTGAAGAGTCCTGGACATTAAACACCGACTCAATGGAACTCAGCGTTCCCTGCAAGTATACCCCTCTGAAGAGTCAAAACGGTGTGCTGGTGACCCAACAAGCCTGCATTGCAAGGAACAATTAGAAGTATGTGTGGACAAGACCTATAACAACTTCTTTTAAACAAATACATGTATATAACTGTGATTCTGAGAGTGTAGTCTGGCTCGATCCGACTTTGTGCAGAACTTCACAGGAAGTGTAGGTATAATAACCCACACGGCTCTCGCGCCCATCATTAGATGTGCCAGTACTAAGCAGAGGGGAAACAATATATGTCACTTCTCTGCGGTTGACGTCACAGTATAAGAATTAGCAGAGAAGTAGTGTTCTCTGTCCACCCGGGAACGGGTACGAGGGAGCACGGTGTGGGATAAAAGGAGGTGACGAGTGCAGGGTCGGCCTCTTTTGTCTTTGTGCGGAGAGTTGAGTGAGAGTTTGTGAATTATTTAATTTGAAAGTTTTATTTTGTGAAAAGAATGTCGAGAAGTGTGTCGCCGAGTGGTAGTGGTAGTGAGAGTGAAGGGTATGTTGAGGAGAGTAGGAGGATGAGAGAGATGGCTGCGAGATTGGAGACGTTGGAGAGGAAGTTGGAGAAGTCTAGTCGTAAGAGGAAAAGAGAGGATAGGAGTGACAGTGAGAGTGAGAGTGAGTCAGAGAGGAGCAGGAGAAGTGGCAGGAGTAGAAGTAGCAAGAGGGGAAACAGCAAGAAGAGCAAGAGGAGCAAGGAAAGTAAGCAGGTGAAGAGGGAGAGACAGGACGAGAGGATGGCGGCGGCAAGAAAGAGAAGTTGGAAGGCCAAGGCTCACGAGGAGCAGTTCTGCGTGATACGTAAGGCGTTGGAGCCTCTAGCCAAGGCAAGGCAGAAGGCGGAGCGTCGAGGCGAGAAGGACATCGCCAGAAACATAGAGGAAGGTGAGAGCGTCCTCCAGCGGCGAGTCAAGTTATTGCTGTTTGCGGACGCCGAAGGGTGGTCGGCCGCAAACATTTATGATGGTAAAATGGAGTGCGGGTCCGATACGGACGATGAGCGGAGGATGAGGAGGGCCAGGGCGGAGGCCAAGGAGGGGAAGAGGAGCAGTGGCAAGCCCTTTCCAGGAGGCCGCCCAGCCGGGGTCGGGCTCGGAGCGGCTGCTCGAGCTCAGACCATGCCGGCCGCACCGAAGCCACCCGGATTCGGCGCCCCGTTCAAGGAGCTGGCCTGTTGGCGGTGCGGAGGGAAGGGGCACGTGCAGAGGGACTGCACGCAGCCTGCCCCAGGCCCAGCACCTGCCAGGTCATTCCCGATGCAACAGCAACAGCAGCCACGATGAACAAGATAAGTTTGATGTGCATGTTGATGATGATGATGAGGATGAGGATGATGAAAAGAGTGTTCAAACTTATTCAGATGTTGTGGTTGAAAGCGGATATGGTGCGGAAGGGGAAGGGGAAGGGGAAATCTGGGCAGAGGGTGAAACTGTGATGCATGGGAGATTGAAGCGGTGCATACCGTTTTGGAGGGAGATGGGGGCTTCATCTTGGATTATTAGTATTTTGGAGGTCGGTTATGCGTTGCCGTTTGTAACAGACCCTCCGTCTGGTTTTTTAAGGAATCAGAAAAGCTGTTGGAAGCATGTACAATTTGTTGATGAGGCAGTGAAGGGGCTGGTAGACTGCGGGAGTGCGATGAAAGTAAACGAATCTGAGTTAAATTGTGTTAGCCCGCTGGGAGTGGTGGAAGGTGCTAGGAAGCTGAGACTGATTTTAGACTTGAGGCAAGTGAATGAATGTTTGGCAAAATTCAGGTTTAAATTGGATGATATCAGGATGGCAGTGAAGCTTTTTCAGAAAGACGACTTTGTTGTAACATTCGATTTGAAGAGTGGTTATCACCATGTTGATATGGCAAGGGACCATTGGAAATATTTGGGTTTCTCATGGGGAGGTGAATTTTATTGTTTCAAGTCATTGCCGTTTGGGCTCTCCACTGCTCCGTATCTTTTTAACAAACTGGTCCGTGTGATGGTTCGTTACTGGAGGGCTCAGGGCATTAAGTGCATGATGTTCTTTGACGATGGCTCTGCAGGAGCGGGCACTGTGGAAGAGACAGGGAGGGTAGCAGGTGTGCTCACGGAAACGTTGGAAAGAGCGGGTTGGAAGATCAATGTGGAGAAATCGTGTCTTGTGCCTTCTCAGAAGCCTACCATTCTGGGTTTTGTGTTGGACCTGGTTCACGGGAGAGTAAGTGTGGCGGAGGCAAGAGTTCTGAGGTTTTTGGAGCATTTGAGGGTTTTGCATAGCAAGAGGAGACCGAATGCCAAAGAGTGTGCTAGGCTGGCTGGGTTCATCATTTCAATGTCTTTCGCCATTGGGCCAGTTGCAAGGTTGAGAACCAGGGCATTGTAGGACATGATTCTCAGGAGGAAAAGCTGGTTTCATAGACAGGAGTGGTCTGATGAGGCTTATGCAGAAGTGAGCTTCTGATGGTATTGTTTCAATGAGTTTCATGGAAGATTGGTTGTGGGTGATCCCAAGATAACAGCAGTTGTAGACACGTGGTCAGATGCTAGCGATGTAGCCTGGGGAGGTTTTGCGGTGTCCTGCGGGGAAACGATTTCAAGAGGGAATTGGCCAGAAGAGGTGTTAGAGGCTCAGAAGAGTTCTACGTGGAGGGAATTGAGGGCTACCGAGTTGGTGCTGCAATCGGTGGTCCAAGAATTGGCAGGCAAGGAATGTAGGCGACGGAGGGATAATCAGGCGGCAGCTCGTATTCTGCAGGTGGGCAGCAAAGTTCCAGAACTGCAGGAGATTGCATGTCGGATTTTCAGGTTTTGCAGGCAAAATTGCATTCGACTTGTGCCAGAATGGGTTCCAAGGGAGGAGAATGTTCTGGCAGATTTTTTATCCAAGGTAGTGGATACTGATGACTGGAAATTGTCGTCTGAGGTATTCGACGAGATAGACGGTTTGTGGGGCCCGCACACTGTTGACTGCTTTGCCAGTGCAGAGTCGGCACAGTTGCCTCGTTTCTGCTCACGTTGGTGGAATCCAGGATGTTTGGCCGTGGATGCTTTCACGATGTGCTGGGAAGGGGAGAACTTATGGTTGTGCCCCCCCCCATTTACCTTATTGGAGACGTTATTAGCAGAATTTCAGTGATTGTCAGTCATGGGACATTGGTTGTCCCAAAATGGACATCTGCATGGTGGTGGCCATACTTATTCAAAGGTACTGAAAGCTCCACGTTGGTGAGGAGTTTTATTTTCCTGCCTAGAATATCAGGTCTGTTTGACAGTGGCTCTTGCCAATGGAATTGGTTTGATGGGAAGGTGCCAAGGTGTGAAGTCATGGCAATCAGGTTCTGTAGTATCATGGGCTGTCGGTGCTGTGAGACAGAATGTCGGGAATGATATTGAACTTAAAGACAAGGTGTCTGCAGATGGTTCTGTGTTTTGCTGTGTGTTGGTTGTTGATTGGCTGCAGATTCTAGAGGCTAGTTCTGCAAGACGCACATGGTGCATAGCCTGAGGCAGGCTGGACAGTCCTGGGGGCTGTGCTGGTGGATCCAGCGCCAAGGAGCTGCCAACATACCAACAGAGGGAAGTCTGGTTTGGGACTTGCCTTGTATTATTATTAGCTGTGTTTTGCATGTTCCAAGGTGTGAAGTCATGGCAACCAGGTCCAGTAGTATCATGGGGTGTCAGCGCGGTGGGACATGATGCCTAGGTATCTGCAGAAGGTTCTGTGTTCTGCTATGTGTTGTTGATTGGCTGCAGAATCTAGAGGCTAGTTCTGTAAGACGCACAGGGTGCATAGCCTGAGGCAGGCTGGAGGGTCCGGAGGGAATGTGTAGGTGGATCTTGCACCATGGAGCTGTCAACATATCAACACAGGGAAGTCTTGTTTTGGTTCTTGCTTATTATTATTATTATTATTATTATTAATGTTGTTAGCTGTATTTTTTGGCAGGTCATGTGGTTGTGTATGGCTGGTGCATGTTAGCCATTATTATGTAACATGGCATAGGAGGAGGCTTGTAGCTGGAGCGCAAGCTTGTGCGGTCTGAATAACGAGGCTTATATTGTGGTTCTTTCCATGTGCTTGCTAAATTTTTTAGAGATCTGGGACCAGGGGTGCTGGAAGGAGCTACAGGAAGTAGCTGAAGGCAAGGGCCTAGTGAGTTTGTCGGAACGAGCCAAGGACTTGGTGATGGAGACACATGCGTCATCTACGGTGAAGACCTACAAGTCGGCATTTTCGCGTTGGAAAAGCTGGGCTATGGAGCATGGATTTGTGGCGATACCCGCTACACCGGTGGCAGTCAGTTTGTACCTGATCCACCTCGTAGAGACGAGCGCATCCGCAAGCCCAATTTCTGCAGCTCTGTCCGCAATCAAATGGGCTCATCAGAAGGCATGCATACAGCTTCCTGTCAATGCCATGGTAGAGCAGATTGCAGCAGCGGCAAAAAGGAGGTTAGCTTGCACCCCCAGGCGGAAAGAGCCCCTCAGGAGAAGCAGGTGGCTACGATCGTGGGTCAACTTGCCGGGAGCGACGATTGTCTGAAGCTGCGGACAGCGGTTATGTTTGCCATTGGATTTGCTGGCTTCATGAGGTGGGACGATTTGGCGAGAATCCGGGTGCGGGACATTGCATTCCGTCGAGACTACATGGAGGTTCGTTTGGATAAGCGCAAGAATGACCAGCTCAGAGAAGGCAGCTTGGTCCTCATAAGCACGCAGCCTGGTGAGCTGGGAGCGGTAGCTCTGACGCAGAGGCTGATCGAAGAAACGAACCTTCAAGCTGATGATCATTTGCTGAGTAACTTGGTGAAAGCGAAGTCTGGCTGGAAGACGAAGAAAGGGTCACTCCAGTACTCCAGAGCAAGAGAGCTGTTCCTAGAGGCAGTGGCAGGAGCAGGCCTACAGGCAGAGATGTTCGGCCTGCACAGCCTCCGATCGGGGGGTACGACGGCAGCGGCCGCAGCCAAGGTTCCACAGCGACTGTTGAAACGGCATGGTGGCTGGCACAGTGAAGCAGTCAACTCCTACATCAAAGAGAGTCTGGACAATATGCTCTTGCCATCTAGTGCCGTTAGCTGGCACTAGATTAGAGGCCCCTGGCTATGCTTTGCTGCTGTGCTGTGGTGGCCCCCACTGGCAGTGTTCACGTGTTCAATAGTGGTGTACACGTATGAGTGAGTGTGCGGATGTGTGCGCAACGAGTGAGTGCAGGGTGGACAGAGAAATGTCACTTCTCTGCGGTTGACGTCACAGTATAAGAATTAGCAGAGAAGTAGTGTTCTCTGTCCACCCGGGAACGGGTACGAGGGAGCACGGTGTGGGATAAAAGGAGGTGACGAGTGCAGGGTCGGCCTCTTTTGTCTTTGTGCGGAGAGTTGAGTGAGAGTGCCCACCCACCCACCCCAGTAATCATCATGTAATTTCATACATCATCGCTTTGATTATTCTAGTGATTTGATTATTCTAGAGTGTGCGGATGCATAATGGTCGGGCGTGGTTTTCTGGTTGTACGTAGCTGGAGTTTTTGGTTAGACTAGGCAATGGTTCGGTATAGTCATGACCGCGGAATTGTGTGCAAAGACAATAAGTTGGGGCGCTGTGCTGTGGTGGCCCCCACTGGCAGTGTTCACGTGTTCAATAGTGGTGTACACGTATGAGTGAGTGTGCGGATGTGTGCGCAACGAGTGAGTGCAGGGTGGACAGAGAAGTTTGAGATTACCACTTGGAGTTGTGACTGAACAACTAACAGTTATTCTGCACCTGTAGGGAATTCAATTCAGTAATTTCGATTTCCCATTCAGACTACTTCGAAGTACAGTTGCGCTTGGTGAGATCCGACCCAAAGTGCAAAACTGGTGCCTTGAACCTGTTCCGATTACATCACTGCATTTGTAAATGTGTACTTGGTACATCCAGCCGCTTTTGTGCCACTTGGCACTTCCAAGACATCAAGTGCCGTGCAAGTTGAGGGCGCCAAATATGCAGTTTAGGTCAGATTTCACTGAGCATATCAACTGTGCAATCGCAGGTTGTCTGTTATCTGACAGCCCTAGGTCCAGCCCTGCCTAGTGCTCATGTCATTGCGTACATACAAGGCTAGGGGATCTGGCTCAAGGGAATCTGACCCTGAGATGCACTGGAGAAAGTGGACCGGAAACAAACACGGCCTCGCTTGACTGTTTCTAGCTCTGCAGCAAATCAGCATCATTCCTCGGCAGGCAGGATTCCATGACATTGCCCCCTGAGCTGGTCCAACACACATACAATGTTGCCCTTACCGGTATTTCGACCCTAATAGTCCAGAGGACATGTGCTCAGAACCGCGAGGTTCACACGCCGTCTGACTCTAGCCACTTAGCCACTGTGCAGCTGCCAATGTTGACAATAGTCAAAACAATTACCTTGACCCTAGACACTGTACACGGTAGGCATGCAACCTACCGTTTTTTTCCGGAGTATAAGCCGCACTTTAAACAAATGTAATTCACCCAAGAAAATTGGTGCGGCTTACTTGTACTACGGTGATGCCGGTCAAATCAATGGTGATAAATAGGGTAGAAAGGAAAAGGACATAAAGATACGAGTTAAGAGTAACTCTCCATCACTGTAACATGATACTATATACAGTGCCTAGTTATTGCACTTTCTGACTGTATATAGTATCCAGTTACAGTGATGGAGAGTTACTCTTAACTCGTATCCTTAATGGAAGTTTCCGGAGGAGGAAGGAGGAAACTGTAGTTATCACCAACCCTCACCGCGCCCAGCTCACGCCGCTACGGCGTGCGACCTGAGCTGGGCGCCCTGCCCAGTATGGAACTGTCCTCAAGCCAGTCACGTATTTGGCAGCCCAGTGAGCTGTCGACCGGATCGCAGCGTTTAGAAGCGCCAAATGCGGCAGGGCCAGTCTCAGGCTGGTCACGTAGGCGGCAGGCCGGCGGGCGACCGGCAAGGCTGCATTCGCATTTGGATCACCGAAGTGATACAGGTGCTTCGACGGCACTCCGTGGCGCATCAAGGAGGCATCTGGGGCCCAGGCAGCCCGCCCGTAAGCGCACCACCGTATCAGGTATGCGCAGGTGGAGCAGCAGAGCAAGATGTGTGCCGGACACTCACCATCATCCGGTCGACTGCATGGTTGTGCGACTTTACACAGCCGTCACTCATTACTTGCTATTGCTTGCAGAAGGCCAGAATTTTTTTCTTCTTTTTTCGCTCTTTCCCTTCTTCCAGGCACGGCTTCATGTTAGAGCAGTAAATTGCAGTTAGGGACTCAGCTGAGTCAAGCTGGACTCAGCGTGTCAAGTTTGGCATAATACAATAAGCGCGCTATCCCCAAACAGTTGTGTGGTTATTGTGTGAGTGTATATGCAGGAGTCCGCGGTCACGTGAGGGGGGAGTGATAATGTCCTTTTCCTTTCTACATTTATTTATGGCTCAACATCCGAGTTTATAAATAGGGTAGATATCTGTATTTCGTGACAAAAAAAATAGGTGCGGCTTATACTCCGGAAAATATGGCACATGGGAAATTGGGTCGGGAATACCGTACTCGATATCTGTACACCCTTGGAAGTAAGTACTCACTTGATAAGCTGGACAATATGCTGACTATCTGACACCATCTTGCACAGGTCATTTGTGCTCATCTCTTGCCTGACTACAGTGTCTAGATTGGCAAGAACACACGCGTGTGTACATGCATGCACACACAGATGGACACGGACGGACATACGCAAACGGACAGATACACACTTTCATTTAGAACTAGCATGCACTGCAGTAGAGAACTGCACTGAAATTTGGGAATGTAACTTAGTGGCCGGTTTGTACTATCCCCATCCATATTGTTTGGCACTTCCATTGCACAGTAAAGACCACACAGCTGGACTGATTTATCACAGTACTGTCGGACGCCCAACTTCGGAACGAGCAGACTAGGACTTCAACAAGCACAGCATACCGATATATACGCCTGTGACTTAACTGTGCACCGACTTGTACACGAAAAATAAGAATGGTCTAGGCTACGACTCTGCCCCCCCCCCCCCCCCCCCAGTTCTCCGGCGCTTGATAGTAGATCTACTGCATACACGTATGCCTGATGGAAGGCGTACAGTTGCTAGTTTGTGAACGTGAGCTCCGTGAGTGGAGATAGACTTGTTTCTCATAGGACAGTTGTGCAGTACTGTATATACTAACCTTGTTGCGTACTCGCACTGCTGTTGCTGCTACTAGAACTACTGCTTAGCCGGTGGCCACCAGAACACCAGTCACGATAAGGCACAGTCCCGCAATCCCGCACAGCCCGATCCCGTGCTGTACTGCATGCAGCAGTAGTGTTGATCATCAGCAATTGACAATCAGAGCTGGATAGCTGTGACCTGCCTTTAGCATTGTTGCTGCTGCTACTGTTGCTGGATGCAATCTTGGATAGAGCCTAAACAGACCAGAACAGTGCATGCAATAGGCATGATCATCTTACACTGAGTGCATGCAATAGGCATGTTCATCTTACACTGAGTGCATGCAATAGGCATGATCATCTTACACTGAGTGCATGCGCACTGTCAATACGTACAGTAGCACTAGGTAAAATCCGACCCAAAGATCAGGCAAAATGCATATTTGGCGTCCTGGACTCACACGGTCCTTGACAACCTGGAAGTGGTGCGAATGTTGCTGGGTGTACACATGTACAAAACTACAAATAGAGTGATGCACCTAGCACCTAGCACAACTGCACATGAATGCATCTATTGTTTTGTTTTTGTTGCTTTCTCTCTGTGGCCTCTCTAGCTCTCCCCGTTGTTGTTCTTAGTCTCAACGTTCCGCTTATGCCATACTCACCCATATCTCACAACATTGGCAGTCATCCTGTTATCTTTTGTATTTTGTATTTGTATTAATTTTATAGATTCTCCACAGGCCTTAGTGTGCCACAAGATGTTGAAATAAATACGAACTACAGTCCTGTTGGTCGCCGAAGAACTGGGGGCCAGTCACCTAGCCTAGACCATTCTTATTCTCATGTATTACAGTCTGTGCACAGTTGAGTCACTGTGCATGCATTGGTATGCTGTGCTCAGTTGGTGAAGTTCTAGCCTGGTCGTTCTTCGGCATTCCGGTCTTCGGCGGCCCCAACAGTACTGTACGCATAGACTGATTTAGCCATCTAGCCGTGACTACTGTCTTGTTGGTGTCATCGACAGCACAGGTAAAGCAGATGTGCAACTCAGATAGCTTTCTGCCATGGTGAAATCAACGTCCTGCATGGGTTACATTATTTCGTGGTTTCAGTGTAATACAAGCACGCACAAGCAGATCTCCTGACCCACATCTCAAGCTCAGGACTTGATAGTGCACCGTGCACCGGACATACTTTAAAAGGTCTTTGTGTAGCTGCTTATGATGTAACCCAGGCACTTTCCCGTGACGAACACCCATACGCATGCTAGTGGCCCATTTAGTTTTTATGGACTGGACCTGCACATGCGGATGCATAGCTTGATTGACTTACGTTCTCGATTACATCTTTCACCGTCATCAAGCTATGTCCTGCTGGCAAGTCAATGTCCACAAATGCTCGATGTCGAGCCAGTGCCGCAACCATCAGGCTGAGACCACCGCTGTTCTGCTTCAGCTGCGCAGTGTCCGTATCCGTGGCGACCGGATACGCGCCAGGGAACTTTGCCTCCCTGCAGACATACAGCGTGCTATCATTGTCGGGCCGTTGCGTGCTGGCCGGGCTATGACTAGTGACTGCTGGTGAATGAGTGCACTCTGTGACGATGAGCGATTTCGACGAGAGCTGTTTGAAACGGCACGTGTCCCCATCCCGTAGCACCTACAAAGAAGCAGCGATCATACAATAACTTGTACAGAAATCCATTCTCATGCAATCGGAAAAAGTTAACGGTTCAGTTAGCACACAACGTGTGTTAATTACTTCCAACCAAGTTCTGTTCCTACATTGTAGTGTGCACATAATTTTTATATTGATAATTGTGGATGCGGATGCAGAAAACCTGGCTTCCAGCCGAGTCTCATGCGAATCGTGAAATTTAAATTTAATTATGTAATGAGACCAAGTCTGTGTCTAGGGTCCTTGATGCAAATACATACATGTAGTGCTCTATGCCCTAACTCTAACTAGGGCAAAGTGTACCACGCACAAGCAACATAACAGAGACCAAAAATCCCAAAAGCCATTCTTCCGAAACTCGAAGTTACCGTGAAGAAGGTGTTTTGGCCTCAGTTGTTTTGTGGCCTGCATGTCCCTGGTATAACTACAGTCCTGCTCAATGAAATCCAGTCGTGTCACTCAAGTTTACACCTTGCACCATTTCGCAGCCCAGTGTTTGCAGGTCTAGGGCTGCACAACGCCCCGGCATGGCGTATTTGAGTGACGACACGACTGGATTTCATTGAGCAGGACTGTACTTGTAGACCAGTTTACAACGCTGCGTGTTCATCCCTGCGTCCTGGTACGTGGTGTCCTGTGATGCAGAATTCGTTTGCTTTGCATGGGGCTTTGTACACACACTTCGTTGGGGGCAAGTATTAGTTTGACCAGTCTCCATTCGCCAATTCACAAGTTTGGCCAAATTTCCATTCACCAAATAACAGGTTTGATCAAACCTCAATTCACATTAACACTGATATTTCCACAACTAAGTTACTTCGATGGTACTGCGAAGGTGCATGGTACATGATTTTTATGGTACATTTCAGCGGATGTGCGAACCGTTCTTTGCCTTACTTTCACTGGTGAATGTACACAATTAGTCGTCACAGTGTACTACAAAGTACAGCCCCAGTATGTCCGTCTGATCGTCACAATGGAATTCAAGTACCCACACATTGCCTTACCTGACAAAGGCAGAAGTCTTTGTGGCAGAGTTGTCCATTCGACCCACCGCCAACATCAACTCCAACACCAGTGGCAGTTCTTGTCTCTCTTTCTCTTTGCTGGACTTCGTTAGCTTGCCGAACAAGCTCCTCCACTACGTCTCCGCAAGTGGTCGCCCTTGTCACTTCTATGCTCACACTTGTTGCAGTCCCACCGCTCGCACTTGCTAGTGCCACGGTGCGAATGTTGAAGCTGTGCAGCGCTTCATCTGTGATACTCCGCGCAGTAGACGGCGGCGTGCGATCTGCAGCAGCGGCAGCGTCAGCACTCGAGCTCGAGGCAGCCTTTGACGCACTACCAGTGCCACCTCCTGTGCTCGTTTTCTTTTTGGAAAGTTTCTTGGAGAGCAGCGAGGTCAACGTGCGTCGCCGGGCTGGTGATGATGTTGCCGCAGGGTCTTGGCTCTCCTCCTCTGCGGTCTTCTTTTGCTGGAGATCGGACCTAGTCGAGCTCACGACAGCTATTGGTGAAGAAATGTCGGGTAAGGCGGTGTTGGTTTGTTTAGGGCGTTTCTTTGCTTTTGTCTTGGGCGAGTCAGTGCTATTGCTGCTGCTGCCGCTAGCCTGGAGAAGAGAAAATAATTTGTAATGAAGAGGAGAGGGGAGATGAAGACAGCATGAATACGCGTCACATGGACGCAGGTGACAAGACTTGAATGAGTGAGGAAGAATGGGAGACAAGGTCGAAGAAAAAATAATAGGCTGCCGACTTACCTTCTTGGACTTAGCTGTCAGGGGCATAGTGATGGTGAATTGACAAGGCTGTTCGTCGCTGCAGCTTGTTCTTGACTATTGGCGAACAAACGCCATCGTTATAGCATGCACCAGCAGAGACTCTCCGAACGGATGGAAGCCGCCGAAAATAGTAGAAAGTTCGTGATCGGTGTTTCAGCCGCTACCAATGAAACCATGCAAGAACAAAGGTTCTTTCGAATTGCCTTTGGCTTTAGACACCAGACATGGGGCTGCGAAGATCAGATATTTGTTGACCTATCCTTACTGGGCTTATCCGCGCTTAGGAATTTCAGACAGCTGACATCGATGATCAGACAAGTAATAGTTAGTAGGGCTGTCATCATGCTCTTGAGTCTTGGGCGGTTGGGATTGTGGGAGTCGCCGAGAACATGACGGCCGGCCTGAAAATGACGTGCTCCAACTAACTGTTACTTGCATGCGAGAAGTAACAGTCAGTAACTACTACACGCACTGACATTCTGTAGTTGAAAGCCTGCATGCATGCATGCCTCGGCCATGGGGTCGCGTGCTGTGCATTCGAATCTCTAACTTTAGTCTAAGGCTATACAGTAAGTAGAAAGCCGATTATCCGGACGTCAACTATCCGGATGATCGATTATCAGGATTGCCGGCTCGGGCTGGACAGCATACAAAATTGGCTGCTTTTTCGAAATTTTTGCTAATTTTCGGCACTCGGTGCACCATTCAAGCGATGCACAAGACGTATTGTAAACAACGGGTTCGAGTCAAAATAGTAATTAAAACGATAGTGTTACTTTCAAGAGCTGGAGTGCGCCTAGTTCCTGCTGTATTGCCGAAGAGAATGAAAAATGGTGTGCTCCCTTTTCCGAACGTTCTTCTCATCCAAACACCCTGAAAACAGCCCGCGTCCCTAGGGGTCACGGCGGATAATCGGCACTCTAGTCTACTTCAAAGTACTGTAAAAAATAAATAAATAAAATAATAAAATAATTCGACTGGTTCGCATACCGGGCAGGTCAAGAACAAGGAGTCGTACAACTCCCTGGTAGGGACCGGCGGATTATGCTCGAAAAGGTGGCAGATTCTGCTCGAAAAGCAGTGAAATTGGCAGAACCATACAAACCTTATGGCGGGCAATTCCTCAAATTCTGCTCCATTTCTTTATCCACATACCAAACATGCATGAAACTCTGCCAATTTTTCTGCCGGCAGAATCCGTCGGACCCTACTCCCTGGTCAAGAACCACCTTTCCGCTTCCGTGGGACGCCGCCACCCCATGAGCAGGCGTCAGATGCGGCTCCTAAACGGTGGGGGAGGATAGATCAGATCCACCAACCAGAGGCCAAAGGCCTAAATCCCATTTGCCACATCCATGTAGTACTGTACTTACTTTGAAAGTCTTTGCAAACAAACAAAGAGCCAGTCGACCGACAATTCCGGTACATGCAAGGCAGGACACACTGGACATGATTCCAGGCTGCATGGCCAGACTATTGCCACAGGGGCCAGGGCACAGAACGCCAGCCTCGGACTCAGTGGACGACATGGTCTTGAGACCGAGCTGATAAACTGGATTGGCTATGCCACTGGCCCGATGATGAGGATTACGGCTTGCTTCTATAGTAGAGGTGCTCGCCCAAGAACGTTGTTTCCAAGGGGTTTGCCTGGGGCATTCTTATCTTTCAGCAATCTGGCTGTGCACGTTCTCAGAAAGAATCCGTTCTGAATCATACTATGTATCCCACAAGCTGTCAGAAAACCAACACAGCCGTTCTTAACTTCAGGCTGTGGCATTCTTAGTGTTTCAGGCTGGACGTTCTTGGGCTCCACGTTCTTTAGCGCGCGACTGTACTGTACCGAGCCGCCACTGTGGCATTGCCTTGAAGAAAGCAGCACCTGATCCTGGTCTCTACACAGTACAGTTCAACCTACGTATAGAGATTCCGGAGACCCCACCCTCCTGTACCACCACCACCAGGTACTAGGTACTAGTAATGTTGTACTACTTCCTGACCACCACAACCAACCGCAGCACGGACACTGTAAAGTAGGAAGATTTCGCTAGAACAATGCTTTGAAATTTGTTCTCTTCACGACAATCACCCATTCGTGAATGTATCGCCGTAAACTCCTCTGTACATGGTCCAACTGAGGGAGATGACATTGCGAAACTTTCTAAGCATGAACCAGCTAAATTTTCACGCCACAAAACTGTATCGCTTTACAGCACGGTGCTGATGTGTGCATATCATGCTGTTCGTACATGAATGGTGCACACAAGGCAGTGTTTACAGCAGCGAGTACTAAAAAGGTGTTTTTGTAGTTCTAGAGAATTCTCCCTGATCCAGCAGAGCTGCACTACACATGGCTTCAACCAGGGAAATTGTGCGTTGCTCCCTATGCGGTCCCGGCCCCCTTGGAAAAACGTTAAACGCGATTCCGCGGCCGCGGCAATTTTCGCAGAAATTGCCATCATACGCGGAAAGCACGGAATCCACACTTTTGCCCGCGGAATCTGAATTTTTCAGGGCAATTTAGTAAAATTACTACTCAGAAAGCAGCAGAAAAACTACTTTGCGATCTGTTTGAGCACATTGCTCTTGCCAGTGTAGGTGAGTGCAGGTCTCTCCAAGATTCTTCACTCTAATTCAGTTTGGGACCGCAATGGATAGTGTGAAAAGTACTCCTTCATATCAGGCAACTAGTTGCCATATCCTCTACAAGGAGGGTGAAAAACTTGCAGAAAGTGCCGCAGATTTTATATTTTACTGCAGAAAATGCCGCACAAAACCTCCCTTTGCTCCGCGGAATTTGCCGCGGAATTTTGAATTCTTGGCCGCGTTTTCCAAAGAGACAGCCTATGGCTGTGTTTACATGAGGCGTTTCAACCCGGGTCAGATTTCAACCCGCCATGTGCACAAAATGAATGGCGCGTTTACATGACGCATTGCCCTTGACCCGGGGTTGAAATTTCGCCCCGGGTTGATTTCAATCCTCCCCCTAAGGCGGTGTTTACATGAGGCGTTTCAACCCGGGTCAGATTTCAACCCGCCATGTGCATAAAATGAATGGCGCGTTTACATGACGCATTGCGCTTGACCCGGGTTGAAATTTCGCCCCGGGTTGATTTCAACCCTCCCCCCAATGGGAGGGTTGAAATCAACCCGGGTCAAGAAAATCGTACAAACGTACTTCGGTGCGTATCTCGCGCCAGGTTTGAACGGCACTGCAGTGACTGCAGATGCAAATTTTGCGCGAACGGATTCACGTGACCATACAGAACTGTAGAAGTGGACTTTTGGCGGCATATCAGTATTTGACCCGGGTCAAATGTCTTCATGTAAATGCTCACCTCTTTTGTCTATCGTACAGACTTTCAACCCGGGCTGAACTCGACCCGGGTTGAAATTTCTCATGTAAACACAGCCTAAGGGGAGGGTTGAAATCAACCCGGGTCAAGAAAATCGTACAAACGTACTTCTGTGCGTATCTCGTGCCAGGTTTGAACAGCACTGCACATGCAAATTTCGCACGAACGGATTCACGTGACTATACAGGATTCTAGAAGTGGACCTTTGGCGGCATATCAGTATTTGACCTGGGTCAACTGTCTTCATGTTAACGCTCACCTCTTTTGTCTATCGTACAGACTTTCAACCCGGGTTGAAATTTCTCATGTAAACACAGCCTATGTCACGTGAGAGCTCGCGCTTTTCTACCTCAGCCTACTCAAGCTCAACTGATGAGGGGTGAATTCCCCGAAACCAGGGAGTCGTAAAATACCGGTATTTTACGGCGTCCTGCCCGAAACACTGTGTATTGAGCATGCAGGGAGTGGTGCTTTCTTGCAGGTTTGCCGAGTGGATGGTTTGATGGACTTCTCGTGTGCTCTGGATGGCAGTCGTGAGTCAGTCAAGTGAGAATTCAAGTCGACAGGAAAAGCACGAGCTCCCACGTAGGGAGCAACACACAATTCCCCCAAGTATCGCCAACGTCGCACCAACCTCTTCTTCAACCAGGGAGTCGTAAAATACTGGTATTTTACGACTCCCTTGCCATCAAATGGTACACGTACACCCCACCCCTACACGCGTGCACTCGCACACCAACAAACACACACCTCAGACCTGCCCATCGCGGAAGCGATGATAGCGAACAGCTATGTTAGACATAGCAACTTAAGCTGGGATTACACCATTCAACAGCTTGCAAGGCTGATGAATTGACCACCACTATTTGCAGCCTGGTATCCACCACACAGCTGATTGAAACACACACACACACACACACACACACACACACACACACACACACACACACACACACACACACACACACACACACACACACACAGACCTCACACACACGCAAACACACACACACACACCAGTCAAGTAAGGCCATTCAACTGTCAACGCAAGACAAGCACGCTCCCTCCGTATTCAATAATAATATATTACTGCTGGAATGGCAAACACGGATAAAGCCAGAGCGCCGGGTTGTCGACTACAGCAGTGTCTGGACGAAGGTGACACCACAACTGAACATATACCGGTACATTCCACGTACATTGTGACAGAAGATGTTCAGGAGATGAATGGACAATGACAAAACACGGTGGGGTCAAGGTAAATGAAAGAAGTTGCCCCGCACACAAACTAACGTCGAGCCACGCGTGCATGAAAATGCTTTTGGCAAATCAACGTAATGCGCAAAAACAACAGCAGTGGCAGCGAAAACACAACGACCAGCAATTGTCCACACCACACACACACATACACACACACACACACGCACACTACGACGACCAGCAGTAACTGACCAATTACAAGACAGCATTAAAACCTACGTGATTACCATAAGACTTGCAACAATACCACAGCTGGCCACCGCTCCACCAGCAAAAAAACGGACCAGCAAACCAGCTCATACACTGTACAGACAACGAACATTCGACATGCATCATCAAATTAGAGTATGTACACACATACACAGTTACACGTGCACACACACACACAAACAGACACACAAAGACGGAGAGTGAGGAAAAATGTCTGACGACAAGACCAAGAACAAGCGGTGAAGAAGACAGGTGTTGGGAGAAGCAAGAAGAAGAAAAAACAAGCCAAGAAAGCCAAAGAGCGAATATGCATGCACCTACACCAAAGATTAGAATTCAAAAGACAGGCATGGGGAGGGTATTAGGTAAAATATTATGTTCTTTGTGCATACTGCCTCGTCCATTGTCGTGCTGCACAAAAACAAACAAAGCAAAGGCAACATAGAAGTTTCATCACAGGCTTGGCAACATAATATCTCAAGCGAGGCACAATGCCGCTGAGCCGTACCTGCACACTCACGCACGCACGCACACAAAAAATGGTCAAATCTAAGATATATAATGCAACAAGATTGGGTTCAAAGTGAACTTCAAACCCCATACGTCCAACCAGGGTTTTCATTTTCAAAGAAATGAAGAACCAAGCACTAAAATCTCTTCCCTCCACCACACAAACACCCACACAAACACCCACGCGTACGTGCAGAACACCTATAGCCCCATCGTATGATCTAACCTTATGGTACGAAAATAGTGTACCTGCACTAGTGTCATGGCCAATGAAACACGGGCAAGTGATAAGTTAACATCCTGCACCAGTGCACAACCCATGGTGATAGTGCTAGCTAGGCTAGCTTACTCATGCCGACCAGATTTCATCCAGGACAACTGAGCACAATGAAGACCAACATGTACACACCGCATATCCAATTCATGTGACTGCTACAAGTACTGTCGTGGACATGGAGATCCGGTCGATTGACCGGGGGCCAGCGCCCTCAGCGCGTACAGAACGTAGTCGAGTCGTTGCATGCAGTGCACAGTCATGTTGATCTGATGCGACCAGCGCGCTGCAGGCTGCATATGTGTGCTTACCCACGGCTGCATGGTCAGCGCCCTGGGGCCGCTAGACGTGCGACCGGATTTCCATGTCCACGACAGTAGCATCATGCAAGCTTCCTGGGCCAAATGGACCATACACACATCAGATAGAGCAGACCCATGGTGCACTCACCAGTTTGTATAGCAACTGCTTCATTAGTTTTCCATTGCTCGGCGACAGTAGTGTCGAGTGGATCGTCGGGATTAGGCGCACTTAGCAATGCTTGAATAGACAACAGTACTGTACGAATTTGGAGTGCAGGACTCCATTTATCTACAACAACAACAACAGCAGCAGCAGCAGCAGCACCACCACCACCACCAACGACAGCGACGGCCACAACAAAACACAGGGCTTAATGATAACAGCACAGTGGACTTCTGACACAGCCAGCATGAGAAGTAGTTCTATCGATCGTTTGCACAAAACCAATGACGTCATCCTTCAGGGCATCCGCTGGAGAAAAGCACAATCAACCCCCGCAATGCAAACTGCAACTGTTCATGTACAAACGACTGCCTAAGCATCCTGCGCGTACCCTCACTCCCAGTACAGAGTACCCTGTTGAGCGTGGATGGCGGCACCTTTCATTGCACGTAAACTTGTAAGGTGGTTCACGCATGCATCGCCGCGTTCGTTAGCACAGTACACGCTCCCTGCTACTAGCGCGGGTCTCGAACTCGGCATCTTGTGATTCGCAGGCAAGCCCACAACCACTCGGCCAAAGCACTGGTCATCAGTTTTGCATGCATGTATATTACTTGTATGAACATATTGGATGGATATTATCAGCGGATACACACAAATACAGTATTAAAGTTACTAAATAACCTTCCTTTCTTACCTTTTAGAATATCTAAGCATATACGACCAAGCTTGTCAATATTGGGATGGTAAATCTTGGTCATGAAACGTACTTTTGGCGCTGACATTGGATATTCTTCAGGCAAAAATAGTTCAAGTTTGAAAGTACCACCTTCGAATGGGCTCTGCGAAAGCACACAAATGCACACACACACACACATGCACACACAACATTGACGCCCAATGCCAAAGGCGAAGATAGCGATGCCATGGTAGAAGCCATCGCCATCGAAACTTGATCCAATGTGTGCTTCTCGCGACTATCTGCCCCAGTTGCCCTTGAGACAGGGCCTATTCACGCAGGCTTGTGCAGCCATGGCCCAATGACCACTTTGCGTGGCGATTGCGGGGTTTTTATAGCCAATCCATCACTGGAATGGGCCACGTTCGACGGTAGTAGGCCCTGGCCTTGAACACGAGCATGCTTTACAAGGATGACGGACAACTAGAACTTCCAAACCCGGGGTAAAAGTCGCACGTCATTTTGTGTGTTCCTGTCTCAAGCCGTCTCCCTGCAGCTGTGAGTGCTACAATTTCCCGGCCAGTCTAGCTGTGATAAAGGTGGCTTGCACAACACAGGGATGCACACATTGCTGTGCTGTTCAAGTCTGCTAGCACATACGCGTACATGTACTATGTACACAATCATGCGTGTGTCTTGTAATTGTGTGCATATGAATGTTTTTATGATTATCTTGATAACAGCACAAGAATAGAATAATATTAGAATTCAGCTGTTAGAACCAGAAATGTATTGAAAATGCATTGAAGTCTTGGCAAGAGTCCATAAACAAGAGTATGCAACTGTGATCTCTTTTCTATGGGCCAGATGTGCGGCACGCTGCCTTCATCGCATCATTCAGTCTGTGCACTGCGGAAAATCAAACACCGCACTTTCCCTCTGGTTTGAAATGAACTTTCGTACGGAACTGGAGTTCTCGCGCCAAAATTTAGAGATCGCGTAGGTACTGGAACGAATCGAGCAAAAACGGATGGGCTCGTACGAGAAATTGTGAGTTTGAATGCATGCTTTTCAGAGCGTGATGAAGGCAAGCTACGTAATGAAGGCAGCGCGCCGCGCACTGACCCATAACCACAGTTGCATACTCCTGTTAATGCACTCTTGGTCTTATGCAATGCGTTCAGCACTCCACCAGCTTCAACAGTTACGCACAGGGAAGTGGTCAAAAATAATGCCTGCATGATCATAAAAGGCCCTAGACCAGTTACAAAATTGTTTTACTGGTATGTCAGGGATATTCTTGTTTCATGTTTTTCGAATCCAGGAAATCAAAATGACTGCTATATTGTGCACGTTTTTGAAGGCGGCGTACCGCATTTGAAGGCAACACCACTAAAAGATCACCGACAGTGTTGAACACCTCCGCATCAGCTCCAGTAGGGACATAAATCAAAATTCAGACTCTACTTTGTGCGTGCGTACGTACATCTACGTAACCCGTTGGCACTGAGGGACTTCGTAAAACTATTCACAGCACTTACATCTCTCGGTCCGGCAACAACGACGTGGAAATATCTTGCATTGTTGTCATCCGGCACTGCTTCGATACCAGAAACAGGCTCCTGCATCAACCTCTGCGTCTCCTACACAAGATGAGTGTTATGTGGCAAACTCAGTTACCGCTGGATCCATTCGAGCCACTCTACGAGACGACAGAATACAAACCTTGAGAATTCTTTTAGGCAATCCAGCTGCCATACTGCCAAAAGAAATCTGCAACTCCGACTTCCAAAATCCTTCTTGGGACACGTTGTTGATGGCTGATGCGAGCAGAACAATAATTAGCGCGAATTGGCTGAATCGAGCGAAAACTGCTACAAACAGCGAAGCAAATCTTCTCTCAGCAATAACAAACTACGAAACCAGAACAGCAGAGATCTGGTTGAGCGAAAGCTGTTCTGTGCTGACTCTGCTCTGCATGTACTTACTGCACACACCACTCCCTGGCCTGGTTTACTCCCTGGTTTACACTACGTCACAGGCTCGACGTACTTTTTTTTTTATGCCCACTTGCCCAGGCTGGCCGATGATCAGATGACCCACTGCACGGTCTGCACCGCGTACCGGTGCACCAACCGGACCGGTATGCATGGGCCAACCTGGGGGTTATAATAATTATCAAGAGTACATAACCCCATGGGGTTATGTACTCTTGATAATTATGCACAATGTACTCTCCCCAACAAGGCAAGAGTAAAGCTGGGACACTCTTCCTATTACTAGTATTACTGACACACACACGCGCGCACACACACACACACACACGCACACTACTACTACTACTATTGACAGCTGCCAGAGTTGGCCACGCCGCTCCCAGATGGAAAGTACTGTCAGAGAGGTTGGGAGGGGGGGGGGGGAGGAAGGCAATGCTCCAAGTGGTGATCCAGATCTTGTCCCATCCGGAACCGTCGATTGTGACAAACTTGGCAGTGAAGCTTGAATTACTCATACACACCACACACACACACACATGCATACACACACACACACACACACACACACACACACACACACACACACACACATGCATACACACACAAACACACCAATGTACCACGTATCCTTCATACGCCCGTCGCAAGAGAAGCACGCAAATCTGCAAATACACTGGATGTGCACCCACAGCTTTTCTCTTGTAAAGTTATAGCAACGATAGCAGATCTGAATCTGAATGAAACAGGTCTTCACACACACGCCACTAAGTTTGAACTTTAGATTGAGAGTTGTCTACATAACTCTCTGTATTGAATTCGGAACGTTTCACGCAACTTCGCTGAAACAAAAATTAATAAATAAATAAATTGGACATAGTGACCGAACGGTTTAAAAGCAAACACATCCGACGCGTCGACGGACTGTGCCAAATAGCAATACAACTGAGTGTTAACCAGAGTTTTCCATAGATAATATCTATCTTAGATTTCCCTACCACACGCTAGGCACAAACGAAGTCTTGATTTCAGCTGACTACTAGTATCATGAAGAGTACTTGGTATCATGCTGAGTAGACTATGATTGTCTGACTGTGTCTTGGTTAGACAGAAATCAGAAGACTACGCCTGTCTGCCGGACTTACACGCATCATGGCACGGTTGAACACAAACACACAGAGATTGAGAATTGTTGCATGCTCGATTACCATCTCAACCGATATCAAGAAGAGACAGGCCCTAGGGCTAGGGCGCTCCTTACCACTGACAAACAGGCAAGGGAAAACCACATGGACATTAGCAATAACAAGAGCATTCAATGAAAATATACAGTCTGTCTTATGCTAGGAAAGCAAAAAAAAGAGAGAAGAAGTTTCGTGGGCATGTATGAGACAGCGAGAGAGCTATTTTTCCGAATGTGGGAGAGTGCGAGCATGTGATTCAATCCAGGCTTTCCTTTATTGTTGTTATGAATGCGGCGAGGATGATGAGTTTAAAACAATGTGATTCCATGATATAACAGCATTTCGTGAAACGTGTGAAAAAGACAAAGCGATAAAAACTGAGCACATACAGCGAGCAAGCCTGTGCCTTCCTAACGACAAAAGCAGCAACAGCAAGGAGAACGATGACAGCAATCATGACAATGATGATGACAACGACGATGGTGATGATGATGATGATGGAGAAGATAATGGCAATGGCAGTGAAGATGCTGCTGCTGAGATTGGTAGCAGGAGCTAGAACGACAGGCGAGACCATCGACCATTATCGATTCGAACAGCTATAGCTAGCCTGCCTCGCCTAGACGTGAGGAGTAGAGAAACAGTCCCCTCGTAGACAACACAAAACATACAGCCGCAAAGCTGCACTCTACTGGCTTGCAGATCAAGAAAATACAGTCAACCTCTCTATAGCTATATACAAAGAGCAGGAAACACGCACGCACACGTTTACAGTAACAATGGGCGTCAACAATGGGGAGACAAATCTGATAAAAAGGCCATTGAATGGACCCAGTCACACAGGAATAAGCCGTGAGTTCGCTTGTTATCTTATTCCAGGCCTATTTGAAATAGCAGGTCCACTAGTATGGCTGGTATGACAGGGTAGAAATAGGGAGAGGCCGCCAGTATGAGCAGGTGTGACTGGTGGTGAGCAAAGTGTTGCCGATTGCAGCGCTGCCGCGACAAGATTAGAAGCAGTGTCGCTGCGCGTCGCAAAAGATCCGGGCTGGCAACGGTGTGGCTGTCAGTTGCTACGCCGCGTGACATTGTGCAAAGGTAATGCTCCGTCTCCGATAGCAGTGCCATCATCAATGTCACCACGCAATGATGCTGCTGGCAAATGTGTCGACTCACAGCGTCATTGCACGCCAGGCTACAGAGGAGAACGAGCGACAACTCATACTGCACACTATGCCGCTTCTCCAACAGCCACTGCACCAGGCGTCCACACAGACAGTGCCAGTTGTCTTCATCCAGGGCTGCCATCATACACTCCACATTTCCCAGGCCAATGCTGATCTTGCTGAGTGCTTCCAAAGCCAACCGTTGCAAAGAGAGGCCAGGACAGGCAGATGCTGGTGGCAGTGGGTCCCGCGCAGAGGACGATGTTGATACACACCAGTGGCACAACCCACGTAGAAGCAGTGAAACCAGCTTCGTCGGAAGACAGGACAGGTCAACTTGGCCAGAGATATTGACTAAGGTCACCATCAGGTCGGCACGTACTATCTCCAGCCACGGCCACCACCAGGCTGATGCGATGCGTGATCGAGAATCACTGGACAGCTTCTCAGTCTGGAACAGTGCTTCTACACGTGCAATGACTGTCATCAGACCGTAGTGTCTGCTCATTGGCCGTTCGTTGGCAGCAAGAAAAGACAAGGAGCGGATGAAGTTGCTGCAACACATAGCACGCAATGCCAAAAGTCGATCACTGGGCGTCCTACTTGCTACCGAGCAAGCCTCGGATTCTACCGTTGTGCCGTGTCGAAGCCACGCAGGACAAAACTTGGATGCTTTGGATGCAGTTACGCTGCTGCTGCTGCTACTGTTACTGCTAGGGTCTCCCTCAGTGGAACAGGCAACACCTGCAGAATCTGCCACTTCCTCCTCTACGTCCATAGCCTCCGCAGTCTGTTTCGCTGGTGCAGGCAGAGGAGATGATGCAGTGAAGTCAAGAGGATAGAGGATGTGGCGCAGACCATCGGGAAGCTCGTTTGCAAGACACGCCAACTCTTCTTCGGCGTCAGCGTCTGCCTGGGCCTGTGTCCAGTCCATGGCACAAGGGTCGTCTTCCACCGGCGCTGTTGCTTGAAGTTGAATAACGTCGTACTCTTCGTCGCGTATTCTTTGCAACTCCTTGTTCGAAGGATCCTCGGGAAAGAAGCGGCGCTGTGCATCACCATCACATATGGCAGAGATGTCGTTGAAGCCACCAAACACAGCATGCAGGCTGGTTGCCAGATGTGAAAGAATCGTCTCCAGAACAGTGGGCTGCTGCGAGAGCTGGAAGAGAACCAGAGTGTGCTCATCGCCTACAATGATTGACAAAATGTCCATGGCTTGAGATGACTCAGCAACCAGGCCAGCTTTCAGACACATATGCAACCTCCACAGATTTGGCAAAGTACCTGCAGCAGAGCACCAACAAATCCAAGCACAGCGGCAACACAAACAGCAGCAGCAGCAGCAAGAAATAAGACTAAATTCCATGGGAATGCAAACACGATTCGCAATCTTTGCACAGCTCAGCAAACACCCCATTACGGAAACTACAGTGTAACATGTCAATCATTAGGAATTTAGGATACCTCCCGACATCCTGATCATTACTGTTACTATTAGCCATGAAGCTCTGGAGTAGAGATAGTGTGTTGATTTCCACTGGACTTATACGCATTCTATGTCTGCACATCACACATAGAGTGCTTTGATTTGCGGTCACAGTTCCCATGTAAACTTGTCATGACGGAAATCGTGGAAATTTTGAAATTCACGGAACGCATATGTAGATACAACAATAATCGTTTAGCCGATCGTTATGATCTCAGCTAAGCCACTCAGGAAAAACGTGATCATTTCAGCACTACATAGTACATACCGGTACCTAGGAGTTGGGCGAGGTGACTGGCATAGAGATGTTTTCGCTTGACCGACTTTGGAGCGGCATGCTCCACAGTGGACACATTCGTGCTGGAATCGGCCGCCTCAGATGTTGAGGACTTCCTTGCAGCAGCCGCCACCGCTGCTGCTCTGGCAGAAAGTGGCCGTGGTACAACATTCGCCAGACCACCGTCGACACTGGTGCCGGACAGAAGCCGAGAAAACACCTACAGACGCACAAAGCACAGAGAGCAAGACGACATTAGTGGCTCAATGCAACGGGCAGGTGAAACCGGGTCTCTAGACCACTAGTCTTGGGCACAAAATGTGTAGAGTGTGCAGAAGTCATCCTGATTTCAGAGACCACCCGTGTTTAAAGATCACAATAGGGCAGTCCCATTCATCATTTGCGTGAGGAGGTGAGAAGGCATTGGTGGCGGTTGATTCGATGAAGTAAACTAGAATACTACATCATACCATTGGAGGTTGCTGAAACCAGTTTCACTTGTATCAACAATGCCAATAATCGGTACACAATGATTAAGGTTACGTTTGGTTGGTCACATTCCCAAATGGGAATCACTTGGAATCACTCGGAATCATTCTCGCCCGTTTGGTTGGTCAAAAAAGTGCGTTAGGTTGGTCACATTCCACATGATTCCAGAATGGGAATCGCTGAGAATGATTCTTTTTGGAGAATGATCATTCCACCTCACATGCTGGAATGAGCATTCTCATTCCGGAATCAAAAATGATAATGGCTGCCACGAGCCAAACAATGTTGCAACAGGTTCAAGTGCCTCAAATCATGCACTCAGAAGTACCATGACTCTCTCAAGGAAACTAGAGTCGGGTAAAAGAAAAGACAGCCGCCGTTCCACAACGACATCATAGAATTGTTATGTCAAGTGATTCCTAATTGATTCTGGCGCGTTAGTTTGGTCAGGTGATTCTTGCCGATTCCCATTCCAGAATGGTTGTCATTTACATTCCGAAAATGCCCAACCAAACGCAACCTAAAATTCACCAGCGGAAAAGGCGAAACTAGGCCTGTTGTTGACTGAGAGCTATATGGATGTACAGTAGAGTCGCTCGCCCAAGAACGTTGTTTCCAAGGGGTTAGCCTGGGGCGTTCATATCTTTCAGCAATCTGGCAGTGCACGTTCTTGGAAACTATCCGTTCCGAATCACACTATGTATCCCACAAGCTGTCAGTAGGAATATCAGCGAACGCACTGGGCAGCATGTTCGCGCATGTCTTACGTCATACAAAAACCTATGAGGCACACGGCCGACAAGAAAAAATGGCAATCGCAGAATCAGGTCGTGGGTCAGCCTCAGCGCAGGCCGGCCAGGAGTAAAAAATAAAATCGACACTCGACAAGAAGCCTGTTTGTTGGTTTGCTTGAGCTCGATTCATTCAGGAAAGGAGACATCAGGAACTAATATTCTCCGGCGCTAAATGCTCTCAAGCAAAGACATGGCAAAGGAAGAAGACGGTCGTAGCTGGACGGAGCTATGTTTGCAACAAAGAACAACAACAGTACTCGTACTTCTTTGCGAACAGGCCACCTGGTGACCTTTGGTTGCGTCTGAAACTTACTTGTTGCTAGCCATGCCAAGCAAGTCTCCTATGACTGGTAAATGCTCTCAAGCAAAGACATGGCAAAGGAAGAAGACGGTCGTAGCTGGACGGAGCTATGTTTGCAACAAAGAACAACAGTACTCGTACTTCTTTGCGAACAGGCCACCTGGTGACCTTTGGTTGCGTCTGAAACTCACTTGTTGCTAGCCATGCCAAGCAAGTCTCCAAGACTTGGGCCCCTACTCCCTTGTCTAGACAGCCATGACCAGAAACTACTTGGGCAAAGGTCCTCCATGCGAGAACAAGTCACGGTCATTCAAAACTTCAAAAGGACCACGCGTGGCACATGTATGTACATGGTGCCTTAGGCTGCGTTCGAATTGTCTTCATCAACTGTTCAAACAAATTTGTAAAAGAGATTAGTTGAAGTGTCCCATTAGAACGGTTTCTATCATTTTTAGAGTTTTTCAGTGGAATTGTCATGGCGATGATGACGTCCGATCAGATCGACCATCTCCACGTACTACGTGACGTAGCTATTCCAAACTCTTCGGAACTAATCCACCTCTCCCATCGGATGAGGTTGTGGAGTTTCGAGGAGCTTCGTTTTTCTGAAGAGGCCAATAAGGCCACCTCTTCAGAAAAACGAAACTCCTCGAAAAGTCAAAGAGTGACAATTCGAACGCGCCCTAAGTAATCTTTCAATTATTTTCGCGCGAACGCCTCCGTGGATTTCCTCCAATCTTGGCACGTGTAGTCCACATGGTCAGGCCAATTCAATGACATCTTCAAAAGGGGACTTCCCTGGTTAGATCTTGCCAGCTACCAGCCAACGTACTACGAAATCTAGCTGACGATCGTCCATTTTTGAGCTGGAAGAAAGTGCCTCGGAAAACCTGTAGACGACGAGAACAGTGTAATAAGCGATGAATGTATTCGTAGTAACCTTTGTCGCCATCACCCAGCGTCATAGAGGGAAGCTTCGAAGTAGCTCGGCTCTAGCTGGTCGTCTTCCTCAGACACTTCTTCGCCATTCGGTCCTTCTTTTCCATCCTGATTTACTAGCAAATTTTTTCGGGTGTGGATGGTCACGGCTTGTCGGACGCGTTAGATGTGCACGTGATCACCTGCGTAGTGCATTCGCTGATATCCCTACTGTCAGAAAACCAACACCGCCGTTCTTAACTTTAGGCTGTGGCATTCTTAGTATTCCAGGCTGGACGTTCTTGGGCTCCACATCCACGCCCCACATTCTTCAGTGCACGACTCTACTGTATGACGGCTGTATCTCTGCTGTGCATTACTTCGCCATACAGGCCTTCTTAGACTCAGAGTGGCACATGCATAATCTGACAAGAACACTAGACAGGCACCACGAGGTAAAAAGAGTAGAGATATCCATGTACATCGTCCTTAGACCTTACATTGTTAGATTGCAGCATAGCTGTAGTCGGTGTTTGGCATATTGAGCCATGGGAACGAGACGATCCAAAGACCGCGGCCGGACTTTCCGGAGTTGCAGCAGGATTGGCTGGGTCACTGGCTAGGGTGCCAGAAATGCGTGGCGACTGCGGTGTCCCCGTGTTGTTCATCGCTGATGGGATACTGGGGAGAGAGGATGGTGTCTTTGCCGCAGCTTCTGCCATCATCTGCTGCCGCTGCAACAGTAATTGCTGCTGCTGTTGCTGCTGTTTCCACTGCTGCACTTGTTGTTTGTACTGGAGCATGTTTCGCTCTGCAAGGGGATCGGCCATAGGTGCAGAGGCAGGCATACCAGGTCGAGGATGATTCAAGCCCATACCGCCATCCATCGGTGTGGACGGATCAGGAAACATCCCTGGAGCACCAACACCGCCAGACAAGGACATCATGGGATCAGAATTAGGCAACCCCAAAGAAGACCGCATCGGGTCGTGCGGAAATTGTTGAGGTGGAAATGAAGGCGGTTGCATCATTGCTGGTTGATTGGGCCAAGCAGGCTGCGTAACACCAGCAGGGGTGGGCTGTGCAGTGCTGAAACCAGGCATCATAGCAGACCCAGCACCCAGGCCACCACCACTAGAAACGGTAGTCGTGGTGGCTGGGGCAGCAGTAGCAGGAGCTGTGGTATTGGCGTGAGAAGAGTCAGAGCTGGTTGGGTTTAGCTTGCCAGGCCCATCAGCCTGATCACTTTCAGGGTGTCGTTGTTGCTGCTGTTGTTGCGTAGATTTCACATTGGATGAAGCAGTGGTGGAGGCGGCAGCACCGGGCGTTGTTGTCACATTAGTATCAGCTGCAGTAGTTGCAGTAGCAGTTGTGGTCGTGGACGAGCGAGCATTGTCCGACGTGGTCTCCGGTGAGCCCACACGACGAGGAGACGAACTGCTGCGAGTCGCTGCTGCTTGGGCTGCCGCGTGTCTCTGTGTGGCCCGAGTCCGGCGCAACGAGTCCACTTTGTTTGTCTCCTCAGTCAGGTCTTTACCTTTCTCCTTGCACTCTAGAGGTAGCAGAAGCTTCTGGTAGTGGGTACGAAGGGTGCTGGCTAATGCACTAACATTCGATGGTGACGGCATACCCATGCCCTCAATGACCCGACGCCACACCTTCTTGCGCACGACCTGCAAGAATGCATAGGACATGCACACCAGTCAGAACACAGACAAGTTTCAGCACACAGCAAGATCCATGAATCACACTGCTCAAACAAAGCGTAGTTCCAACAACCAGAATAATGAAGTCTTCTGGACGAGGAAGCACTCTGAGTCAGGCATTGGAGCAAGCTATCAGCACCATGGCATGTGTGCACATGTGGCAAATGAGCATATGTTAGCGCAGCGAAGCAGTACATCTTACCGTGCACAGTCCACCCATGCCCTTGATAACCTCGTACAGACGATAGAGATCAACGTGGGTATGATCACTTGACAGCGTCGGCACGTACAGTGTTGGTGTACCTAATCACAACATGAAAGCAGTCCAGTTCAAGATAGTCAGAACACAATTTCAACAGTTGAGTGCAGTGCAGCGCCTTACTGCCAAGGTCAAATGATGAACTATTTCACATACGGAGTAGTGTGGACTGCAAGATCCCTACAATCCCACAGTACACCCAATTGTCACAAACCTCTGTATCCATTACAGGGGACACGAGCATCCATCCGGACAGAAACTGCCAAATACTTAGCCCCACAGACCTGTCCACAGTCCTGCTACATGTACTAGTATCCAATGATAACAGCCGAACAAAACAACAACAAAAAAAGCAAATACAATCATGTACCGGTGTCGCGAGACAGCTCCACCAGCTTATCGAGCATCTCCTTGCGCCCCGGTTCATCACCAAGCTCATAGAGTGGCTGTAGCTGTGAGGTGGTGAACACGCAAAACAAAAAGAAGAAAGAAGTTATCCCTTATCTGGATGCAGGAAACAGACGTTGCAACGATGTGTAAAACTGCTGAATATTATTATTATTTCGCTCCTGCTCTTGTAGCAGTTGAGCACTCTCATGTGGGGTAGCTATGCAGAGCTCACTGACTTGTCAGTTTGAGCACTCTGGCAAGGTACGTTCGGGCCTGGTTTAAATCTGGCTTTGGAAAATTTTATTTTTCATTGCTATCAGGTTCGGCCTCATTTTCTCTGTGCTGCGCTGATGAGTCCACAAAGGACGAAACAGTTCCGTCCGCAGATTGAGTATCATTATTATTATTAAAAAAACAACTCAAATCATTCGTTATCTGCAAAATGATGCACACGCAACTACCGTATTTTGTATAATTACCGTAGTGTGATGCATTAAAGCCTGTTTCATACAGAAGCCTGGTTTTCAAGATACACTGTCGGCACATAATAAAGCCTGGTTTTAGTGTTAACATACATAGAAATACCTGTTTTGTACAGAAGCCTGAACATTTCCCCCAAAAAGTCATATACAATGTAATACAGAATGCAAAATAGAACGCGAAGAGAGCACATACCACTTCAGATATATTCTTGGGACATCTGCTGTTTCCAGCCGGAGTACCCTGTGAACAACACACCCACATACATACACACCCACACACACGGACGCACCAACAGCAGGAAAGCAGAATGACTGAGTACACAGGATGATGGAACATAGACACAGTTATCACATCACTAGTATCTGAAAATGCAAGTTCGGCATATGCATCACACATACACACTCAGACTCAGACATGCCCATCGCGGAAGCAATGATAGCGAACAGCTATGTTAGACATAGCAACTTGTGCTGAGATTACACCATTCAACAGCTTGCAAGGCTGATGAATTGACCGCCACTAATTTTAGCCTGGTATCCACCACACAGCTATTTGAAAGTGGCTTTTTCTGGCCAGTGACTTCACACACACACACACACACACACACACACACACACACACACACACACACACACACACACACACCGCGCTACGGCGCCAAAGACGAAAGAGAGTGAAACAAGAACAAGATTCAGAACCACGCAGAACTCTTTCCCATATCACAAACTAAAACCAAACACTTACAGTGTCACGAGATGCTGCTGTGGGCGCAGGGGCTGACGCAGAGCTGGCGGCTGGTGGCAGGGGAGTCGAAGGAGTCCCTAATCCAGTTCCCGCATTACCGGGGAATGGGGAGGCTGCATGTGGTAGCTGCTGTGTTGGCGGTGGATGAGGTTGCTGAGGGAGCATGTTGTCCATGGGCTGCAGAGAAGACAACACCAACAAATCTCCCGTGAGTCAGGCTAGCCGATCAACAAAATACTGACTTACTACTGATAAAGCCTGGAACATATGATCATTGATACTCAAGCTACTAGTAGTAGCATATAGTAGCAATTTCATTTATTCACAGCAGCAGAAACAGCATGGAAAGCGCAGAGGAGACCATTGCAGTGATAAAGGCCTCATTGACATTTCCCGTAAATCCACATGATTACAGATAGAGTGCGCAACTCCTATCTTGAGCCAAGCAGGCTCGCCCACACTGGAAATTCTTTTATTCGCACATCCGGTAGAAGTGTGATCAAGTGCGTATGCCCTCCCATGCCCACCACATAGATACGTTGTCCGTTCACAGGTTTAGGAGGTACTGTACATTGTTCTCCTTCGACAACCGTACCTACAATATCTAAGTTCATTGAATAATTGATCTCTGGCTACGCATGATGGAACAAGCGAGCCAAACAGCCGCGAAAGCCTGATCTAGAGATCGTAGAGTTGCACACTCTTGGTTGTGTACTCTTGCTATATGAGGAGCCAGTACAGCTTCTACCACGCACACACTCACTCACTCTCACACGCATGCATGCACAAGTAAGCCACATGTGCCACAGAACACAAAGAACGACCAGTAGAGCTGCACGTACCATTCTTGGAAACATTTGATTCTGGTACATCATACCTGAAAGCAATAACATGTAAAAGGAATGCAAGGTCAATCAGGGAGTTCAGAAAAAGTAAGCCATCAATGCCCAACAAGCACGCACTCCGAATAAGTCAGCAAACGCAGAATAGCAACGCCCTACAACACTGTAAAACACGATAATTCCGGCGATTTCGGTAGTGAAAACAAGTACCACATCCCCAGCCATATGCTACCCAATTTTGTAGAAAAACTCCCGATCGCATCGGTACTCACTCATCACGTCCCAGAAGTGACATTGTGCATCGCGCTTCAGACAAACCACTACGCCCGCCTGGTTTCTATACTTCTGTGTAGGTGCGCAACTTGATTTGTATGAATATCCAACTAGACTTGTGTGTTTTACTGAACACTTCACTATTTTTGACACCCACCTAGATCCTGTCTAGCTGAACGCAGGACACTACCGATTGCTAGTGATGGACAGAGAAAAGAAGAAAGAGCAAGAAGCGGCTTGTGTACTGACCAGGATGCATGAGGGGATTGACGACAGGTGAGTTTGCCGTAGCCATCGAATGCCTGTGCACATCGGGATGCATGGGAACAGTTGCATGCTGAGTAGTCAGGGCCACTGTGCTAGGGTGCTGACCAGCCGCGAACGCAGGTGCCAGGGCGCCAGCGTTGGTGTTCATCATGCCATCTTGGCCAAGTAAGGAACGGTTAGGATACATCTGCACACACGCACGCCCACATACACAAACATGCACGCGCACGCACACACACACACACGTAAACGTGCACACACAAACACCCACGCGCGCGCGCACACACGGCGACCACCGTCACCACACACACACATCCAAACACAGAACAGATATGAGTGCTGCAACGCTACAGAACACACACGTAAGATTCAGTAATGAGACACACAGAGGCGGAGGATGCCTTGTGGATTCTCAAAACAAGGCAGAGTATAGACCTACATGTACATCAACTGCACCTGCTCTGGGTCTGGGTCGGAGCAAGGCACAGGATCATGTAGCCTAGATAATAATTATTACCTCACCATTTGGGCAGACAATTACAGTAGGGCTCCCCTTATCTGAGAACGCTGGGACCTTTCCCTACATGCAACTAAGAATTGCCAACAATTCAAAACACACAGACTGCTTGTAGGCAGTAAACACCTCTTATACCAATGAATACTTCTTGGAGTTGTTTTTCGTTGAAACGTCATTCTTGACTCGAGGGGATCAGAAAGGTGCCTGGCAGGAGTGCACGGATCTAGAGAATCCGGACTAGAGATGTTTACTGTATGGCTAAAGTAGGCTCAATAGTGAGCGACTGGCAAAGTAATGACAATGGCAATGACAATGGCAGTAGCAAACCTTTTGTTCTGACACATCTGATGACGCACCACCACCGGCAGCAGCAGCAGTTGTGGCACCAACACTGGGCTGAGCGCCAGGCGTCATCATTGCATTGAAGTGCGACGGCAAGCCCTGGTGACCAGCAGCGGCAGGAGTGCCGGGGATCTCACCATTAACCCTCACTCCACTTTCAGCTGTAGATGGCCGTGACTTGTCCTCTGTTGGCGGTAAGCCCACATCACCACCCAAATCAGGCAGTGATGGAGTTGGCATAGTAGAATTGGACGCACCCATAGCGTTGCCAGAAGCAGCGGGCGGCAAACCCATGCCTGCTGCTTTCAGAGCGGGCGAGTTGCTACCAACTGTGGATGACTGGCCCCAGGTTGTAGGATCGTGTGGCTGAGGTCCGTTGGGCCAGGCAGGAAAGTTAGGAAAGGAGCCCATGCCCATCGGTCCAATGCTAGGATTCATTTGTGGATTGGCAGATGGCATGATGCCACCAGGCATGTTGGGTGGCATATGCATGGGACCTACTGGCGGTGGAAATGATGGCCGGTTCATCATGAATGGTGGAACGGCCTGCCCACCATGTTGTTGTGGCATCATCATAGATTGCTGCCCCATTCCAGTCGGCCATGCATTGGGAGCGCCAGCACCACCTACGCCGCTGCCACCAGCACCGGCTGCAGTACCACTACCCTGGACAGGCGTAATGCAAAGGCACCGTGCCAGCCACACATACATATATACAATCAGGACATGCTAAGACCAAGCAATTGGTATGTGCACGTACGTAACCAAATCACCAGGACAACAACACCCTATCTGAATTCTCATCGTATGTATACGTGCGAGCCAATGCATCACTTTGTTCGCCATGTTGGCTGATTCAACATGTATTCTTGAAGGTATACATTCACGCTTAAGTACGCACGAGAATTCGCGAAAATGGTCAAAACTGATGTTGCCTACGCGCAGATGCAACATGATGCCACCCACAAAAAAAGGGTCACACAATCATTTGAACACATTGGTACTGAGCTACAGCATGGATACCAATACTAGGAGGCGGTGTCAGCGGAAGGCCTGGCGCTAGCTGCAATGGCAGGCAAAGCTAAGATGAGCTAGACGGCCACATACCTATAATCTCCTGCCCACTGGCACACTTCAATATGCTGCTGCTACTACTAGTGCACGCACAGATATAACGTCTTTACCAGTACACTATCCTACGAGATACGACAGCAGACACTAGAAGATAGTATAGCTCGCATTACGATCTTGACTGAAGGACAGGCAAGGACTTCAGGAGAAAAAGTGGCCAGCTGCTATTTCCGTGCTGCCACCACGGCTACAGTTCCCTAGGCAACTATCACAATTTACTGCTGGGATTGAAGACGTACAAATCCGAACTGGATGTAAACTTGGTGAAGATGCGGCGTGCACGGCGGTACACGCGCTGTGAAAGGGTACAACTAATTTGAAATCATAGCAAGGAAATTGAAGCGGACTTCGCGAACATCAAAATTTGACATCGGTGATCTGTCTATGCACGCTCAGCGGCACTCTACAGCGTAATGGAGGCTGGATCACCAGATCAGACTACGACAAAGATAATGTCTTCCGCCGCTATCTCCGAGATAGAATAAAGCGCGAAAATTTATTCTCAGCACTGAGTACGAGTCGATATCCCGAAATTTCACCAGACAGACGCAGAGCTGTGCTCGACAGACTTATTCCGATCTCAAGGAATACAGTAAAACTGTACGAGTACACCATGAATGAGGTGCGAACAATGGCCAGAGCGCAATACTGTGAGTAGGAGTCCAGCATCGTCGGGAAAATTCAAACAATCACTGACTGACCGGCTCAGTCAACGCAACAATGCACTCAGTGCTTCACAACAGTAACAGAACTAACCTGCAGCATCTGCGAACCTGGGTTTGAGAGATGAGCAGTAGACATATCTCCAGGTGCACCAACACCAAACATGGGGTAGCCAAACGGATTTACGTTAGGGAGCATTTTTCCTTGCTGCATATCTTGTCCATTGGTAAAGGCCATGTTGTTAGCGGATTGCATGGGAAAACCAATCCCATTTTCGGGCTGCTCGCTGTTCATCAGCATCGATTGGTCTGCCATCACCAAACATTTCACAGAGCTCTAGTTGCCTGCTCCTCCCATACAAACACTATCACGAAGAGCCAGAACCTGTTGAGCATCAGCTTCTCTGAATAAAGAATCCTTGCCACTTTTGAAAGCAGAACCTCGGCTGAGATCGATACCGTCCCGCTTCTGTGGCGTCCATGTTGGCCATTCCTTGGATAAGTGACGTCACAACGAATCATCAACAAAGAATCCTTGAGATCGACGAATCGCATCTGATCTGGGTCAGAGAGCAAGCAAGAGAAAGAATGAATCATGCACGATCCATGTAAAAAAAACGTGTGCAACATGATGTAGCTAAAAAATATTTTCATTCTCGGCGTTCAAGAAAATCAGGAAGAAGTGCACTGCCATTGTCTGATTGTTGCGAACTGGAATAAAGGAATGAATGCTTAGAGATACGTAGAGGTGATATCACAATGGACGGCGAGCAAAGGTACTATCAGAAATCTTCTTCCTTCTCATTGACGGCATTAGCGTGAGTTCTCACTTTGGTATACGTTGCACGTTTGTCACTTGGTTTCAGCGGCCTAAGCGCTCTTCCCCATGTCTCGGAGACTGTTTTGAAGAGACGGAAGACTCTTCGTGAGGTGAAAGAGGCACGAACGAAAGCCAGGAATGCCCAGAGATCGGTATGGATAGTATTTTTCTAAATATGCTCCTTTATTTTGATGTTTGAGAAGGGAAAGTCTGAAGAAAATAATCGATTATCACCACCAGGATGACATAATATCAGACAACTAACTTATACATAACTCAGATCCACCTTAGAGCTAATGCTATGCCAGAAATTACACGGACATGTTGTTTTCAATCTGAAGATGGCGTGATTACTTGATTCTGGCACTTTGGATAGCAGGTTGAAAAGAACAGGAGTGAGAAAATGTGTGTGTGTGTGGCAGGGGGAAGAATAGAGGGAGGTATGCACACATGGAGTAAACCCTCCCTACTGCTTCATGTGGTTGTGTACATGCTATCAGTGCACGCACTGTCTGTGCGTATGTCACTTTATACAATGACTTACAGTCCATACCATACATGTCCTGCTGTCTGTATGTGGTGTGTATGTCCTGTGTTATACCACTAGTTCCGATCTGGGACCAAGCAGGAGAAGTTCAAATACCCAGAAACATTTGTGCGAGCGGAACGTCATAAGCAAAAGGATGAAATACGCCTGCATCGTGGTAAAACCCGCCAGAGGAAATCTATCAAGGTGCCGGAGGGCCAGAAATTGGCATTTGTTATCCGCATCAGAGGGTGAGTTGGTACTATGTACCTCTCAAGTGTGTGCTTTTGCCCTCGCATGAATATCAGTTTTTTTAGGGAGAGAGAGAGAGAGTGTGTGACTGTGACTGTCTGTTCATGATGTTCACTTGTGTAGTATGCAGCAGCAGCAAGTGTACATTTACCTTCCCTTTTGCCCATTTTCTGTAGGGCGAGTGGCATGGAGCAATCAGTACGGAAGGTGCTTCAGCATCTGCGCCTGCACAAGTCATATACCGGTTGTTTCATCAAGCTGAGCAAGCAATCGTTGGAATTGCTGCGCGTGGTTGAGCCGTATGTGACGTGGGGGTGAGTTAGTGGCACGTGTACTAGCCTTCCTGTTTTGGGGAAATTGCACTGACATTAGAATTCAGATGTGAACGGTGAAAGTTCACGTGACTAGAGAAGAAGCCAATGGCATCGGTCAACTCATGTACTTAGAGTCTACTTCAAGACCTGACACTATAGAGGTTATGCGAGTGATGGCCGCGAGTCAGCGGAACCGCTTATGGGCGCTATGTATGCCGTGTGAGTCGCTAGTGATTCACTGTCGCGACTTTGCCAAAACATGTCGACTAATGATGATGTCATCGCTTAAACTCTATATTGTTGCCTACTTGGGATCTGCCATACACGTTGGCTAAGAGCATAGATGCAGCGAATGGGATTTTCGGTCTTTGACCACTGCGGTAGGTCTGATCTACTCACCTCCTACCGCTTTAGGAGCTGCATCTGTACCTTGATCCTTGGGGGACGGTGGCGTTCCTATGGATGCGGAAAACTCAGCCTCCAGCCGAGTCGCAAATTGTGAATTTTTGGAAGAGCCTCGGTTTCTGTGGCTGGAATAATGTGTGCCCCTCCAGTACGCGTGTGCATTAAGGCAGCTGCTCTGGTACCCTGAGAGGGGACAACTTTTTCAAGTTATTTGGGAGCAGGTCAGCTGAGTACGCGCATGGACATGTACACCACCGCTGCGTTCACTCATGCACAAGTGCTTCTAATGTTACTGCAATGAAGCTGAAGCCTGCGCTAAGCTGAGGACTTAATGTAGCTGGTAGGTTTGTTCAAGCTGAATGCACCCCGATGGATGTGTGTGTGTGTGTGTGTGTGCGTGTGTGTGCGTGTGTGTGTGTTCACCCTTTATAGGTATCCGGATTTGAAGATAACACGCGATTTGGTCATGAAGCGAGGCCACGCCATGGTGGACGGACGGCGAATGGCACTCTCGGACAATGCGTTCATTGAAAAGCAGCTCGGTGAGGCGGGGATTATCTGCATGGAAGATCTCATACACGAGATCTTTGCCGTAGGTCGGAGATTCCGCAGTGCAAGCCAGTTTCTGTGGCCGTTCAAATTGACTGCTCCAAAGGAGGGCTTCCGTCGCATCACCAAGCCATTCCGAGAGAAGGGTGACACTGGCAATAGAGGCGAAGCCATCAATGCCCTTTTGCGCCAGATGATCTAAGGAAGGCACACACATCATCATGCCATGAAACACACTATTGAGTCTTAATTATAATATTAAATCAACGAAAAATAATTGAGCTGGTCCTCACCGAGTTTCTGCTTGTGTCTTCACTAATGCATTGCCATTATTATTTTTTTATTTAGCTACTTCAAAGTATGATTGTATTGTATTGTGTAGTGTACATTATTGTAGTTGTCAACTTGTAATAGTCTGTGAAGTCCAGCAAGCTTGAGATGAAAAACTTGAAAAACTTAAATGGGAAGTGATGCTTCTTGATAATGAGTATGATGGTGTGCACTGGTAGCTGAAGGTGTCTGGAGCACTGAACGCCGGTGTTCAGAGGGATAGCAGCGCCTCTCCGGTCTAGTTTGCTTTCATCTGGTGCCAGAGAATGGCCGTGTCCACAGGTCCGAGTTCAATGGTGGTAGAGTCCTTGATAGCTTCTGGGCCTGTAGTAGCAGCAGTCCGAGCACAAAGCAGAAAGAAACAATGTCCAAAGATGCGTGCAAACATGTGACTGCTCTTTTCGTGCTTGGACACTTGTGATAATACCTTGAGAAGTATGCTTTACTTGTACATAGACGATGGGGATAGATTATTCTTACTTGCTTTGGTAAGAGGCAGCACCTTTAGTATCTAATTTAATTTAACCCTTGGATAAGTACTTCCTCAAAGTTTGTGTTCCAGACTCCAAAAATAGCAATACACTTGATTATGCTGAGTCATCAGTTGAAGTACAGACTGCCTCCAGTATAACTTCTTCATCTACAGGTCAGTGCAGATGGACACCAGCAAAGAGAAGACAGTTTGACTTCTCATGTCACTCATGAAGGCAGCCACTTGAACTTGGCCATCACTGCCACACGCCTGAGTTCTAGGGTTTGCATGACCAGAGCTGGCATGCATGTTGGGTGTTGGGCAAAGACCATTGTGTTCCTCATGGCCAAACCCAGAGCCTTGGTCACTGCATGTTGTGCGGACTGTTCGCACAGCGACAGCAAGGGAGGCCTTCTGGGTAACTACCTGACCTACCCGTGCAGGTGATATCAAGATTCAATGATAACCCACAGGGGGTTACTGACTTTTGACACTGGGAATATGAGTGCATACACATGCCACCTAGGTTGGACTAACTAGCCACTCACCCAGGCCGCAACAGCACACCACCAAGAGGCAGCAAGATAGTAGTACCCTATAGACTGTGCAGTTTACTATTTTCGCAGAGTAAAGATGGCATACACATAATGACAGGGAGCCAGCCGCAAAGCAAAAACACCTGTCAAGTTTACTGACAGGGCTCCTAATCATATCTGCTCCTGTATGGCCAAGCCAGCCAGCACACTATTGACTGATTCACATGACAATGCACATCAAGACATGTCAAGCAATTGGGAAGGTTGATGGGTGCGGCAGAGGGTGAACAAGAATAATACACTTTGAAGTGCTGCAGGCTAGGGGGTGCTGGATCAAAGGCCAGGCCAGGAAAGGGAATATCCCATCTTTGTTTGCTGCAATTCCCCAAGAGGGCAAACCGGGCGGTCACGCATCTCATTTTCTTATCCAGGTGTCACCTGCCTGGATGCATGCATGCACAAACCACAACTATCTGTGCTAGAAGACCTAACCCTGAAATGCTGAGGCACCAGCATTAGCAGCCCAAGACCCCGGGGAGAATTGAGGACACAGGCACTCTCAAGTGCACGGCAGCAGGCACTACCACTAAACTGACTACTATTACTAACTGAGCCATGCCCGTCCCCAGCCGGATTGATATTCACAAGTACATTCCTGTGTGTGTGTGTGTTTCATGCCACTGCCACCACAACTGGCCTGCATGCTCCTCTGCACGCAGGCCACCACTCCACCACAGTCATGCTACTGTTCTCTATTCAGATTGCTGTTGAGTAAAGCACTTTGGGCAGTCAACAGCAAGCTTGGCTAAGTCAAACTGTCAGCAAGACAGTAGTAAAACACCCAGCCAGGAGTACACAGCACACTGATTGCATTGCCACCTGCTGCAGATGCACTCCCAATCTAGCAGGCTGTACAGAACATGCTCATACATGTAAGGGCATGTTCTGCTGGAACACTAAGATGTTTTTGTCCACTACAAATGAGTCCCTGAAAAAGAGCTGATCCCGGCCGTGCTCCCCAAACCCCAGTAATGCGGATTCTTCACACAGGGAAGGTCATATTCGGTAAAAGTATTAGAACTGGAAGGCCGTGTAAAAGTTTGAAGTAGCTCCGTGAAGTTGCTAATACATCAATAGACCAGCATTGTCTACAGTGCACTGCTCATAGGGAGTATGGTGGGTGCCAGTTTCACAATCCACAGCAGAATATCAGCACCGCATCTACAACTCCAACAAGTATACAGCTCGACTAATTTGGCAAAACTGAACATGTGTGTACATGTCCTAACACTGTCTGCGTAGTTGTAGTGATGGGCATGCAGAGCGCTAACATGCCTGTGGCGGTTCATATACACACAACAATGGATACCTTACTGTCTATTCAGTATTCACTTCAACATCCAAAACAAAATCGTGACTACAGAACACCTGCAGGGACAATAACCCTACAAACATCCCCACCCACCCAAATACACACCCACGCACACCCACAATGCTTACCGTGTACAGTGAGACACTGCCTAGCTCCACGGCCGTACAGACTGCTTGCCGAACCTGCGCACAGCACCACAGAGAGAAACATGCCAGGCTTGATCTGTTTGCTCGGGGTTTATCTACTTCAAGAATAGGCAAAGTGACTCAGATCCTTGCTACAAAATAGTGCTCAATACCCTAACAAGGGCAGAGTCACGATAACAATATTGATCTCAGTTGTTCTGCTTTGTTACTTCCAGTATTAGTATATGAAAGAAGTCAGTGCCACTAATCAAGCTCTTCCTTCCGTTCACCGAATGGTCACAGTCGCACAGAATGTAGCTTGGTATCGCCCAGTTTCCACAGCATGCGACAATAGCATATTGCACGTCACCTAATAGCCTCTGAAGGCCAGGACATACATGCTATACATGGAGGTATTCCTTGAGCCCGAGACTAGATCAGCTAGAAAACGCCGTACTGCACGACTGCATGTAGACTGCACACCCTTTGGAAAGAAACGCATAATTTCCGTGCTGTCCCTACAGACAAAAACACCTGCTGCAGCAAGGTTGGAAATACACTATGACCCGCACGCATGCACGGACACACACACACTCACCCAAGACAGTATCTGCTCAATAAGTGTGAGGCATAGAAAACTCCTATAGGTCAGTAAGTAGCTACTGCCTGGGTACAATTGGCTGGGTACGACTGCCTGGGTGCGACTGCCTGGGAACTACTTGCTGGGTATGACTGGCTGGGTACAACTGGCTGGGTATGACTGGCTGGGTACAACTGGCTGGGTATGACTGCCTGGGTATGACTGCCTGGGTACAACTGCCTGGGTACAACTGGCTAGCCAAGGCACTGGCATTACAGTCATAACATGGACATCAACATGACCACAAGTTATACACATGTTAGTGATCTTGATCTGTGTGATGCAATCACTGACATTCATTGCAACAGGATCAGGAAAGGAGAAGTTTCCTTAGTTAGCTCAGTTTGGAGACGTGTACATAGACAGGTGTTTCACAGAGCTCCTGGTCTGACTTTATCATTCGTACCACTGGCACTGGCAAAGGCCATACTGTAACCTGACCCACTCATCACAGGCCATAATTATAATACCAGTGCTGGCAGTTGTGTCTACATCATACATGTATGGTGTGTAAGCATATGCAGCACAGGACTGTATAGACTATACCACCTGCCATAAAGACAGACACACGCACAGACTGCTACTAAAGCCATCAGACAACAGATGGGTGGACATGCACAGTCTGCACCATCATGACCGCAGACACACAGAGCCTGTACTATCAAGGCAGGAAGTCCTGGGAACGAACCAGGGGAAACCCCAGAAAACACTCAGCAGTACCCAAAGTACAGGCAATGCCTGTGGCAGTACCATTTTCATTAGGAATACTGACAATGGCACATGCACATGGGTACCCAGGGTGGCTGTGGCCATGTACTGACAGGTGTTACCATGACATCCACTACACAGGGCCAGTCAGCTACTACAGCTTTGTAGTGTGGACACAGGGCCAGTCAGCTACTACAGCTTTGTACTGTGAACACAGGGCCAGTCAGCTACTGCAGCTTTGTACCATTGTAGTGTGGATACAGGGCTAGTCAGCTGGACATCATGAAGCACAGAGTGTTGACATTACAATGGTAGCTATTAAGTATTATGAATAGATAGTTCAGGCAACATCACCCCAGCGAGTCCTGAATAACAGATCTAATCTGTATAAAGTACATGACTGTACCATAAGGGATAAGACCAGGACATGACGGGACATGCTTGCAAAAAGCACAATACTGTACAATAATAGGTGGCACCTTGCAGATGTCATTTTTACAGACGCAATTCTGGAAAGGAATGTGGCAACCTACAGGAGATGTTCATAAACATACTTCAAAAAGGTGATGGCATGACATGGTGTGGCCAGGACAGCCAACTCAGAGAGATAATCTGCACTACTACCTGCATGAGATCATTGGGCCACATTCTAAAGCTGGGTGTGACATGCACTGTATGAGTAGTAACCAAGTTCATCAGCTTGCCTGACAAATGTATCGACTTATCACCAGCGCAGCAAGACTCCATCGCGTAATACCATTATACCAAGACTACATGACCCCCAAGCGTGTGAAACCTTTAAAAGTCAGGTGTCTGCGGCGGCAGATTTTCACATTCCATGACAAACCCGTAGGCGCAACCAGCACCCTCTGCACGATATCTACAGAGCACAGGGTTGTACACAACCGTGCTACAACTCCCTCATGGTCACGTTATACCGTTTGTCAGCATACAAGTACTTGAACCTTGTGCGTGAGATGCTGGCGTTGCAGCACTGGATAGAAAAAGTGCAGGCAGTTACACACTAGTACGACTTACAGTTGCCTGGATACTGCCAATCTGTCCAACATCTGAAAGGCGCCGGTCCAGGAACTGCCAGGTCTCACTGTAGTCAGCTGATGTGTCTTGTAACATGAACAATTCTGTGTGCATACATGCAGGTATTTACACACATGCAAACATGCATAAAACACACATGCACACACACGTGCACACACACGTGCACGCACACACACACACACACACACACACACACACACACACACACACACACACAAATAGGCATAGCAAACTTGGAACATTTGGTATTCTGCATGGCATTAGGGAATAGCGGCACACTTCAAGTTTTAACCTGGCCTGGTGCATATAGCATTAGCATCAACGCAGGCACCAGCATCAGCAGCAATGACATCACTGATCATTGTGACTAAGGGAGAAACAGATCAATGTTCTAAACTCACCGGTTGAGCAGTAGACTGTTGCTAGCATGGCACGCTTGGTGTACCAACTGAACTGTTATAGGAGAGAGAGAAAGAGAGAGAGAGAGATAGAGAGAGAGAGGGAAACAAAATAACGTTAATGAACACTGCATGAGTGGAAGGCCATAGTTGGTCTACATCAGTATAAAACATTGTGGCTTTCTCCTGTCCAAGTAAGTGCATGCCTAGACATAATGGGGCGTCCGTGGACAGAGGTAACTGGGAGTGTGAAAAAGGGCATCTGTCTTGCAATCTGATTACCTCACAAGCTTGCTAGCTGGCTAAGTATTAGTTGGGTGCAAGGAATGGGTTACAGCGGCCCGATAGATCAACAGTCATGAGTGGGCCATGTACTAGTAGTACACTGTAGCCGGAAGTAGTTCCAACTCAAGCTTGATGATGGACCTACAGCAATGTAGACACATGCTGCCAAGCATGCATACAAGAACACGCCCCATTCGTGTGGCACACAATGCTGTCGGACTCTTGCGTCGCTCAATTAGGTGGGATGTTACAGAGAAAAGCAAGGGAGGTGCGTGAGAAACTTGGTGTGACATACATACTCAGCAGGCTGCTTTGCCACCACAACCACTACAGACAGTGCAGTGTACCCTGTTATCGACTAGGCATGACAATGGAGAAAGTCCTGTATCACGGTTGACTGTGGCAATTATGCGATAACATCAACACTCAATATGCTTCAAATGGAAAGGCAAAGTAGTGGCACAAGGTTAACTTACATCTGTGCTTCGGTCGCCAGCCACATACCAGATGTCATCAACAAGATGAAGAAGCATCTCAAACGCGTACGGAGTGACTGAAGGCTGACTGAAATGAGCGAGTGCCTACCACATCGAATACAGCATAGAGAGGAGACGTACTTTGAACATCAACAAGCTGGAATAGCACATTATTAATCTCAATGGACGTAATAATCTCCGACAAAGGCACAATAACAAGCGGGGCAAAGATGTTCAGTATGACTCTGAGCATTTCACTGTGCTTGGCTTGTCGGAGGTCTGCTGAGTCGGTTTCTAAGCATCTGTACAAACTACTTGGTCAACTGCACCATCATGCCTCGTCTTGCTATTCACACACCAGGACAAATAGGTATAAGGGAAGACACAGCCCCTGCGAGACACGTCTACTGGACAAGCAGGTACAAGTAGCAATATACATGGCACCACAGTGGAGACCACGCTCTGGCAATGGACCACTCCGGGCAGGTGCATGGTGCAACACTGTGCAGGTCACTGCCGGACTGTGCCACACTGGCATCTTTGAAGGAAACACACACTACGAACACCACTATCCAGAGCTGCACACTCTTGTGAGTTTATCTACTCTTGATCTTTTGTTACATCTGTGGCAAATTCGGAGCTACACGTAGAGTTCGAACTAAAAAAAGAAACGAACAAACAATCTGCTCTTCAACTTCAGCGGACGTTGAAGAGTCCAAACATTCCTTCCACTTGTACTTCACATGCAGCACTGGCGCAATGCAATGCATTATTCCAGAGGCCTTGGCAGTACAGGGACCTAGCTAGGAAAAAACTGACACCCGGGTAAGAGTCCCATTTCACTAACCTCAGGCCAAGACTCAAGATGAGGAATGATCATAGACAGACGCTGTCGAACAGCCTCGCGGATCAGTCTTGTCATGCCAACTCTGTGAAAAGAAAGCCAGCAGATAACCCAATACATCGGATTTGCATCATGTTTTTTTAACCAGTAGACTCAGCTCTAAGCTGGCTTTTGATGATTGAGTGAAGGTCTGTTTGACGCTGTATCCGTTCAAAATCGGTCTTGGCAAAGTTGATTTTTTCATGAAATGTAACCCAATTTGTATTTCGTATGGACACTCGAAAACCCACTCGCGCGGTATGGGACTTCTGCTTATCGTAGATCCCTGAAAATTGGTGTGCCAGGAGAACATACCACAGTGTCCCCTCGATAAAATATTTGAGTCGAATACAATACAGAACATGAAATTATGGGTGTACGGACTTAGGATAGCTGTCCGGACTTCGAGCACCTGGGTCTACAGTGTGGATCAGATTATTTGAGAGAACCTTTGGATTCAGGAACATCAGACATACACCACACAGCGGCATTGATACCACACAGCGGCATTGATACCACCGCTGCCACCACTAAGTTGTTATTAGCAGCAGCAGCAACAACAATGGCAGCAGCAGCCGCATCAACAGCAGCAACTCCAAGTGCTTACTTGCGGCCAGCGTCCTCTTCCTGCGCCTTCCACTGTGTGATCAGTGTCATCAAATCTTGGTTACACTGCCGTTCAAAATGTAGCACAAGGTCGCCGACACCATTCTCCAACATACCCACGGACGACGATGACAGGTTGAGCTCTTCAGCTGCTTTCTCTACACTGGCCATGCTCCAGCCGTACTGGGGTACTAGGCGCAGTGCACGGTCCAGTAGCTCCTCTTTCCAGTTGGTGTTACCGCCGGTGTCAGCCTGCGCCTGCTGTTGGCTACCATTGCTTCGTGTGCTGTCTTCCTCTTGCTGCTGCTGTGGCTCATCATCTAGGGTTTGTGTTGCTGTCGTGTCAGCCTGGCTCGTGGTGTGCCGCGACTCTGTTGGAGGAGAGCTCTGTGATCTATCCAGCAACACACAAGGTCAAAGGAGTACAGCCGCAGAAATCATTTCCAAGAGACTGCAACGCAAAGTAAATTCAACACACTCGGCTAGCACGTATCCACCAAAGACAAAACAGAAACAGGACTACCAGTAGGGATGAAGCGGATGAATAATCCAAAGAGAACCTGCTATTACCATGGCAATAACACATCCAGGAAAAGCAAGGATGGAGGTAATGTAATACTTGCAGCACAAGACAACATGAAAAGCTGTTATGAACTCTTTCATTACCACCAACCTGGAAAAGATCAGTGCATTCTGGACACTGGCGACTTGTGGGATCGTTCCCGTGAGCAAACACGGCGACGGCAATGCCTTGGCTGTGTGCAGCTGGCGGTGCTGATAACTGGACTGCTGTGAGCAGGCGACGAGACATCTCCTGCAAAACATTTCGGCAGCAATGCACAACAGAGGACAAAAAATCAACCACAAAACAGCATAGCTGGGGCTCTACATAGAATCTCCCCAGCGCGGTAAAGACGGTGGCTATCAGAATTGGATGGCAGAAGGACTCTTCTAATGTCCGGCCACTCTGCGACCAGGCACTGCCCGTAACTGCAATTGTAGAATAGCTTGCAACTCGAAACAAGGTGGAAAAGTCCATTTGTTTTGTTCGCTGTTTTTCCTCTTATGCCGTGGCGTTTCCTAGTATGTTGTCTTTTTCTAGTGTGAACTCGTACACACTGTCCGTGGTTTTCCGTATCTTTATATTTTAATAGCTGCATTCCACTTTCCACATAGTCGGTTGTCAACTGGCGGGACATTTCACGCATAGCAACCAAGCTTAAGCAAGCGCAGACGAACGCGAGGCCACTCTGTTGGCCACTTTATACAAGATGTGCCGACCAGATGCAATAGTTCGTTCTATACTGTAAAAGCCATTATTCTAACAAGCCGCGAACATAACGATTTCCTAAAATTGACCAGTTTACGTGTGCCAAAGGTAACCATTCTCACTCATTCTCAACGCTCACTACCAACAGTATAAGTATCGATTTCTGTATAACGTTTTCTATTTTAACGACAGATTTCTCCTCGTTAACTCGTTATATTTAGCACTTCGTTACAATAATATAATTATAAGGCTTTTACAGTATGTTACAGCGGTTGGTTGAATGTCACCAGTGTCCTAGAGCCAGTCGCTTCTCACATTCCACCAGCTGACAATTTACTATGATATTATTGAGTACATGTACTATGCTACACTTGTGTCAAAGCAAGCCGCCCATAATCTTCCATAACCGATAACCGAACCAATATAGCATTAGGGCCGGGTTCCACTGCGGCTCCGCTGCTCATCATCCGCGGCTTGAAACGCCATCATTACCATAATGACCGCGGCTCGAGCTGGAGCAGCGAGGCCGCGGCTCACCGCGAGCTTTCTTGATCAAAAACTGCGAGCCGCGGTCGCGGCTCGACCTGTTTCCTGTACTTTGCATTGTTTTGCACGCGAGAATTTTAAAATTCAAATTTTAATTCGTTGCGCAGGCCAGAACACGAAGATTTATTTGATTTCGCGTGCACACGGAGGCAGGTAAAACGTAATCAAAAAACGTGGAGCACGACCGCTGCTCCGCTGCATGCAGCCAAGTTCAGCGGATCCGCAGAGCCGCAGTGGAACCCGGCCCTTAGGCTACCCGATAAGCATAAACCGTAATCGTTTCAGCCCTAATTTTGACATGTCTTTCCTGTCTGCACTTTTTCTAGGCTTGTGAAGAATGAACAAATTGCTTGTATTTCACTTCATGAAAGGATTGGGAGCCAACAAATGTGTCATACTCCACGTGCACTGTATTGAAACCAGCTTCAGGGCAGCTCCAGGAACTATCTGGTCCAAACATGAACTGACCTTGACAGAAACGAAGCTCTTTTCGCAGCAAACATACTGATCGGTTGGCACGCCATTCTGGTCACGAGCTGCCGTGATAGACGAGAATAAAGTGAACAGAGAGGAGCCTTCAGCACACAACCCGTTCTTCCTACTTCATCACAGTGTGACAATCACTATTGCAGGTAGCAGAATAAGAAATGAACTCACATAATCATTGGTAGTTCTTGAATGAAAATCAAAAAATAGTTTCGGAACTCGAACATAGTCATTGCGCTAGAAAATGCGATTGCCAGTTGCATCATCAATGAGTCATCACTGGATAAATGTCACGTGATGCGATCAGTCACGTGTGAGCGACATAGCTACAGTACTCGTACTCGTCTCGTATACGTGTAGGTCTACTGGGGAGTGGGGACTCAGTGCAGTGGGGAGTCTGGGGTCGGTGGGGAGTCTGGGGACTCGGGGAGTCGACTACATCGTCATGACTGTACAGTCTGTACATGTAGTCGCTAGTGCTCTAGTTTGTGGTGGCATGGCGCGGACTCCGCGTGGTTGTTGAAGGAATGGGATCGGGAGAGAAGATGAACACCTGACTTTCAAGTAACAGTTTGTGGAGCAACTAACTACATAATGTAACTGCGGCTTCGCGAGGAGGACATACAGTGGTGGCCAAAAGTTTTGACCCACCCCATGGAATCGTCAGTACAGCTCAGTCTGGCTCCTAAACACGCCGTTTTTGACTTCTTTGAGGCCAAAGCTGATTGAAACTTGGCAAGGACACTAAAATTTGCAAGAATCCGTTGTCAACTGAGATTTGTGATGGATCACCATACATAATCATTTGGGTGGGTCAAAACTTATGGCCACGTGACCAAATTTTGCTGTACCGTGCCGTACGGTTTCAAAAAAGTTGTCAGGCTGATGCACGTGCCGGGAAAGTTGAAAATCAACACTTGACTTCTCACTTCGAGAGTTTGCGATATCAAACTTGATTATTTTGACGACGGAGATGGTATTTTCAGCCAATTTAGTGAACCGAGGTCAGATTAGCAAGGATGTGAGGGAAATGGTCGTGAAGCTGAGTGTTGACGGTCTCTTTTGGCGTGGTATCGCTCCTCTGTTGGATTTGAGTAATCCTACGATACGTAGAATTGTCAGGAAACAAAAATTGACTTCATTTCACCACGATCAGACCGACCAAGAGAGACCAGTGCAAGACAAGATCGCCACCATATCATGAAGTCAATGGCGAATCGCCTCAAATCCGTCACTGCCTGCGAGCTGAGATGGTGAGCGACGGTGATAACGCGATTTCTGTGCGTTCTGTGAGACGCAAGTTGCAGAGAGCAGGCCTACGTGGCTGTATGGCCATCAAATGGCCCTTCATCAGTGCTGTGAATAAGGCAAAACGCCTTAAATTTGTATAGACGCACAAGGACTGGAGCAGTGATGACTGGTGGTAATTTCTGTGGACTGATGAGTCTAAAATCAACCTCAAGGGCTCTGGTGATGCAGTTTACGTCAGGAGGTGGACAGGATAGGTTCTGGCTGGCACATGCACCCGCAAAACTGTGAAGCGCCGCGACGGCAATATCAATGTATGGGAGCCATGGCCAGCAACGGCGTAGCGCGCATTTGCCGGGTGATGGATACGATGAATGTGGACCAGTACCTCGCATCATCCGAAAACATGATGTTGCTGAGCATGATGCAGCTTGTGGGTGGTGTCTTATGGCCGCAAACGCTCCGCAAACAGAACGGAGGCGCGGCGGACGGTGAACGGCATCACCGTCCTGACATGGCCCCTGCAGCCACCTGACCTCAATCCAACTGAGAATCTCTGCAAAATTGCTGGGCTGAAGCAGCACGATGTCGAAATCACCCCCAGAAACCAGTATGAGCTGTGGCGAGTGTGCCGGGAGGCATAGAAGTTGATTTCTCCTCACGAGCGCAAGAAGATCGTCGATTCAATGCGGCAGTGTATGCAAGCGATCATCAAGGCCAAGGGAGGGGTTACAAAGTGGTGGATGTATCTGGAATAGGCCGGGACTGACTTCTAGACTTTAGTTTAGTTGAATACTTTTTAGAAATCACACTATTTCGTGTATCCTGTTGGCGGTTTATGATAGTGCGGGCGTTGGCCATAAGTTTTGACCCACCTTTTACATATACTTGACCACAGTAGTCCCCAGATGACTCCGTGTTTCAGCATTTTTCATTTCTACGTCACTATTCAGCCTGATTCAGAGGTCCTCAACCAAAAATTTAGTAGCTTACAGCCCCAACCTTCAGAATTAGAAAAATCTGCATGGTGGGTCAAAACTTTTGACCACCACTGTAAGTCACGTAACAAACCTGATGTCGTGGTCCCGTGGTACCGGTACTGTATTTGATGACGAGGATGTACATGCACATTGTGGAAAGACGCTGACCATACCGACCCCTCATCGCGGAGACAGCAGTCCACGGAACATTATTGTTGTTGTTGTTAATTTCAAATGGTGAACGGTACTATTCGGCCAATAAAATGTAAAGAACTCTTCCTCTCCTCTCCTCCGCGCTCTCACAGCCGACTCACTGCTACCCTCGGTAGCCATTACACACACCAACACTGCGGCCATACAAGGAAGGGTTGCAGGTAGATACAGAAATTCCTCCTGACAGCTGTTTCGCCTTCATAAGACTCATCAGAGAAGGTGATATTGAGAAGGATGATGGTGTATCCATATATGTTCTGCCTGTTGTACGCATTGCCCTTTTGCACTCGCGTGTGTACGCATACTAGTACACACATGCATCACGGTTTTCTGCCTGTCCTTTGCTATGGACAAGAGGTCTTTTCTCTTTGTCTTCTGAAAGATAAGTCACAAACCCTACCTCGTGTGTTTGCGTTTGTTGACACAACATGGCGCAGTGAACGTCTTACTTTACCTGTAGTCTTAGTATACTAGTAGTTCCATTGCAGTTGTAGAGTAGCCCACCTGTAGTGTTGCTCTCTGCCCGTTTTCGTTTCGCTTCGAAAATTGTCCGTTTCGAAGTTCTAGAATTTTTTCGTAGCCTTGTAGTACGATATCGATAGTTGTGATTTCGCCATGGCGGATGGTGCTAAGTCACAGCCGGACATCAACCAACTGGTGCAGCTGATCCAAGCTCAAGTGCAAGCATCTGCCCAGCGCGATGCGCAGCTCCAAACTCTGTTGCAGTCAATGTCGCAAGGATCATCAAGCAGCACGAGTGCACCTGCTTCGTCTGCTCCTGCTCCATCCACCAAGCTCGTCGCTGTGGATCGGCCCATATTGTTGTCGTCGGCGAATCTAGCTGAATTTGTATCGTGGAGCGAGGCCTGGGAGGACTACTCCCGGTGTCAGCTGTTGTCAGCGCAGCCCCGCGAGACAAGGATGGCCGCGTTTAGGCAGGCCTTGGATGAGGACCTGCGACGTTTCGTTCGTGAAGGTGTGATTGTGGTGCCAAACACCCATGATGTCCCGGAGGCCATGGTTGAACTACGCAAGTTCATCCGGCGCCAGCGCAACCCCCTGCTGGACAGGATTGAATTTTACCGCCGTGCCCAGCAACCTGGAGAGACGTTCGACGCGTGGTACACATCCCTGAGGGAGTTGTTTCATGCGTGCAACTTCTCCGGGTTGGATGTCTGTTCGACATGCTCAGGGCGTATGTGTCAAACATGCCAGCAGTCGCTCCAGGCTAACACGGATGAAATTCTGCGAGACCGCATTGTTACCGGCATCCTGCAGGATGACGTTCGACACAAGCTGCTGGCAATGAAGGATCTAACCCTGGCAACCTGCGTCGACCTATGCCGCGCCGAGGAGGCTGCCAGTCAAACCTCGTCACGTATCCCCAGTCAGGCCACTGGAGACGCGTCCGTGAGTGCCGTTCGTTCCAGCTATAAGAAGCAGAAAGGAATGGCATCCAAGCAAGCTCGAGCACCCGCAGCCAAGGATACCAAGTCTGGCAGCAAGCCCTCGCCGGACAAGTGTCCCAACTGTGGCCGCACCGCTCATAGCAAGCGACCCTGCCCTGCTGCGGATCGCAAATGCAATGGCTGCCAACGCACCGGTCACTTCTTATCCATGTGTCCGTCTGCTTCTAAGAGGACTGTCGGTCAGCTGAAGCTGCAACGTGCCGCGTCCTCCCGTGAAGGGGCTACCATAGCCGTCAACACGCAGCTCGTGTCTGCCGACAAGCCAACCAGTTTGCGCTGGCTTCCTGACACCGGCAGCGACATCAACGCTATTGGCCCTGCACACCTCGAGCTCCTCGGAGACTTTATTGAGAATCTGCCTACCGACAAGGATATTGTGCGCACCGCTGATGGCGCACCCTTGACCAGTCTTGGCAAGATCCAGGCGACCTTGACGCTCGATTCCGTCACACACGACACCACACTGCACGTGTACAAAGGCCTGGATGAGGCACTGCTATCCCGCCAAAGCCTCTGTGCCTTGAATCTGTTGCCTGCTTCTTGGCCCTCCGTGTTTGTCCGTTCTGCCCGTACTGAACCCAACACGGCCCGGCAGCTCCAACAGCAGCTTCTGGAAGAGTTTGCCGACGTTTTCGACAGCTCACAGCTTCCACCAATGGATGGTCCGCCCATGGACATTCAGTTGGAACCAGGTGCAGAACCCAGCTGCGTCCGCACTGCTCGCACCATACCGTTTGCCTACCGGGATCAGATAAAGTCCCAACTGGACAGTATGGTCGATGATCGCATTATCGAGCCAGTCACAGAACCCTCTGCGTGGTGCCATCCAATCGTTCTCGTTGAGAAGAAGGGCACAACTGAGATGCGACTGACTGTGGACCTTCGAAAGCTGAATGATCAGGTACGCAGACCCACCCATCCTGCTCGTACACCACATGACGCAGTGGCAGCCATCGGCAAAGCCCGCTACTTCACGAAGCTCGACGCCCGACATGGCTATTGGCAAGTCCCGCTGTCCGACGATGCCAAGCCGCTCACCACCTTTATCACACCGTGGGGGCGGTACCAGTTTCTTCGCAACCCGCAGGGCCTTGTCTCGGCTGGTGATGTATTCAACTCCCGTACCGACGCAGCGTTTGATCGCCTCACCAACTTCGTAAAAGTGGTTGACGATGGTCTTGTGTACGATACGGAACTGACGACTCATTTCACCCACGTTCGTGACGCTCTGCTCCGCGCCCGTCAGCACGGCATTACCCTGAGCGCCAAGAAATTCGTCTTCGGCGTCCCAGAAGTCGACTACTGTGGCTACCACATCAACACGGATGGTTACACTGTTGACAGTGACAAGACGGCAGCCATCACTGATTTCCCAGTACCCGTTAATCGCACTGACGTCCGCTCATTCTTCGGGCTAATCAATCAGTGTAGTGATTTCTCGCCCCGTATCGCACAGCTCAGCGACCCGCTTCGCCCGTTGCTGAAGTCCACGAATGTGTTCCTGTGGGAGTCGGCACATACTGACGCGTTTAACGCCGTCAAAGCTGCCCTGGCTTCTCCCCCGATATTGTCGTTCTTTCAGCCTGGCCGACCGCTTCGGTTAGAAACTGATGCGTCCGTGAAGAACGGACTTGGTTATGTTTTGTGGCAGCAGCAGGGCGACACCTGGTGCATACTCCAATGTGGAAGCCGGTTCCTCTCTGATGCCGAGACGAGATACGCCGTCATTGAGCTTGAATGCCTTGCAGTTACCTGGGCAGTACGCAAGTGTTCGATCTATCTCTCCGGTGCTCGGTTTGAAGTTATTACCGACCACCGCCCGCTCATCCCTATTCTGAACTCCTACTACTTGGATCAGATAGAGAATCCCCGGCTGCAGCGGCTCGTCCTGAAACTTCGGCCCTATCAGCTACACGCAACCTGGCGGAAAGGCACGGATCATGCTTTCCCTGACGCTCTGTCCCGCCATCCAGTCAGCGACCCCTGCCCTGACGATGAACTGGGTGAGAGTACTGCCTCTCAGGGCGCTGCTATCCGTGCGTGCACGCTTGATACGTCTGGTGGCCTGAAGTACCACGCGCTCCGCTCCGCCGCCCAGGCCGACCCTGACTACCAGTGCCTAGTTCAGTTCATCGTGTCTGGTTTCCCTGCTAAGAGGTCCCTCATGCCTGAGTCACTCCAGCCGTACTGGAATGGTCACGAGCACCTCTCTATTGACAGTGGTTTAGTGATGAAAGGACCCCGTCTCTTGATTCCCGTCGCTCTCCGGCAGCGTGTCTTGTCTGATTTACACGCATCCCATCAAGGATTGACGCGCACGAAGTCCCGTGCCCGGCAGATTGTATTCTGGCCACGATTGTCAGCCGACATCGAGCATGTTGTCCGTAGTTGTGACAAATGCCGCCTGCACAGCGCCTCACAACCGAAGGAGCCACTCCGTGTGGATGATCGTGCTCCAGATCTGCCATTCCAGCATTGCAGCGCCGACCTGTTTGAGTGTGAAGGCCTGCAGTATCTAGTGTATGTGGACCGACTAACAAGCTGGCCCTGCGTTGCCAAGCTCGGACGCACTGCCTCCTCTGCAGACGTCATTCGGTCTCTTCGCCGCTGGTTTCCTGACATTGGTGTCCCCGAGGTACTTACCAGTGATGGTGGCCCTCAGTTCCAGTCCCATGTGTTCGCTAAGTTCTGTGATACCTGGCACATCCGTCATGCTAAATCCTCTCCCCATTATCCGCAGTCGAATGGGCTTGCCGAGAATGCCGTGAAAGCCATGAAGTCGCTAATTCACAAGACCACTAGTAATGGCGACCTCGACGTGGATTCCTTTCAACGTGCGTTGCTTGAGTGGAGGAATACCCCGAACGCCACTGGTCAGAGTCCAGCCCAAGCTCTCTACGGCCGGCCTCTGTCGTCTTTTGTGTTTGCCCACCATTCCAGCTTTGCTCCTGCATGGCAAACACACGCTAATGAAGTTGACCAGCGCTCATCACACTACCTGGAGTCGACTCAGCAGCATTACAACCGCTCTGCTCGGTCCCTTCCTCGTCTGTCTCTTGGAGCACATGTCGACATCCAGCATCCCCGGACCAAGTTGTGGTCAGCTCATGGCTCAATCGTAGCCATTGGTCAGCACCGGGACTACTTGGTGAAACTTCCAAGCGGCCGCATCTATTGGCGCAACCGCCGTTTCCTCCGACCAAGAGTCTCTCCTACACCCCCGCCAGCTGCAGCCGTCCCTACTGTTTATGCTCCAGACGCGGCACAAGGCCAGACACCAGTTGCCTCTATTGCCCCTGGTGTACATGCCCCAGCACAGCCTGCACCACGCCGCAGTCATCGCCATCGGCAGCAGAATGTCCCGTTTAATGTGATATCCACACGCGGACAATCTTATGACTGATGACTTTGTCCTCATTCTGTTTCTGCTCTTCTGCCGGACCTATGACTGTTGCTGTTACTTATGCACTTCATTGCTGCTGTGTGTTTTGTTTTTGATTGTTTTGATCAGATAAATATGTCTTTTATCTCAGAAGGGGCGTGGTGTATCCATATATGTTCTGCCTGTTGTACGCATTGCCCTTTTGCACTCGCGTGTGTACGCATACTAGTACACACATGCATCACGGTTTTCTGCCTGTCCTTTGCTATGGACAAGAGGTCTTTTCTCTTTGTCTTCTGAAAGATAAGTCACAAACCCTACCTCGTGTGTTTGCGTTTGTTGACACAACAGATGATATCAGGTGGAGATGGTCAGATTTATACTACAAAACATAGGCGCAAGATTACAGGCAAAGTGTGAGAATGAGAAGTTACAATTCTCCAGCAAACACAGTGCCAGGGGTTCCAAGAAAATGGCAGGTGAGAAATCTAATCACAAGCTGCTAACATTAATTTTGACCGGCATTTCCACCTGATATCATCCTACTCAATATCACCTTCTCTGATGAGCCTTATGAAGGCGAAACAGCTGTCAGGAGGAATTTCAGTATCTACCTGCAACCCTTCCTTGTATGGCTGTTGTGTGTAATGGCTACCGGGTAGCAGTGAGTCGGCTGTGAGAGCGGATGGAGGAGAGGAGAGGAGAGGAAGAGTTCAACGGTTGTTTATTAAATCGATCGGATGGCGCTTATTACCCGAGTCCCTTCACTTTGAGTTTGACATTAATTATTATAATACTACAATGTATTACCTGACTTGGACTCGCACATACCGGTATATGTAACTCGTGTCCTGTGTTCTACAGAAGAACACGGACGTAGCGAGCACGCAGATACCGGTAACTGATTTCCAAGAAAGTTCAGTCAACTTCAGATCGGATCCGAATGGGTGACCGCCCCAGTGGCAGTTGAGTCTTGAGACACTGTCACTTGGAGTTTCCTTCGCATGCATTGCCAAGCAGAGATCTGTCGTTCTACTTTTCCGTTTGGAATCTTAGGTACTGGTAGGACCTACCAGTACCACACACCATTGGCCGCATTACACACTGGACTGGAAGCGAATACACTGCGTGCCGACTCACCCTGGACATATAGTACGAGTCATGTACATCAAGCAAGCCTTGGAGTCCATTACACCCCCCCCCCCCCCCCCCCCCAACGTCGGCGACATACATGTATACTACTGGTATACGCATCTCTTCTGACGACTGTGTATGGAATGAGTTTGAAGTGGAGCTAGAGCCGAAAATGAGTTGATGTCGTGCACACCAGTACAGGCTCTTCTCCAACTGGAAGGTTTCATGTTCAGTGACCAGGTCCATGGGCAGGAATCTAGCATCATAATGGTCACCGCGAGGAAGCTCCGCAAATAGTTGGGAGCAGCGCAGTGTTGATTAGCCACACGTCACCAGGCGAGTAGTTGGTGGATGAGGGTCTCAGAGCTATGTCAGAGAGGAAGAACAACATGTTTGTGCTTCATTGACACACACACACACACACACACACACACACACACACACACACACACACACACACACACACACACACACACACACACACACACACACACACACACACACCACACACACACACACACACACACACACACACACACACACACACACACACACCTCAGACATGCCCATCGTGGAAGCGATGATAGCAAACAGCTATGTTAGACATAGCAACTTGTGCTGGGATTACACCATTCAACAGCTTGCAAGGCTGATGAATTGACCACACACACACACACACGGAACAGTCATGTGCTTCAACTTCGGTGGTTATGGGCATAAGCTAGACAACAGCAAACATCACATCACCAAGTACCTTGGCATTCTCAATAAATAACATCACACGTACAAGTACATGTATTACAGATCTGCACAAAGGAATGGATTACGGTTCTGTATACTCCACAAAATATGATCTGCGATTGGCACTAAAGTGGAGTCTATACGTATCAAGACCAAACATCTAGCAAAGGTGACATACTTGTCATAAAAATAGTTACTTTTAAAAACTTGCCACAGAGAGACACACTTGTGAAAGTAAAGAACTTGAAATGCATGTTTTACTGGGGTAGCACCAACAATCAGAAGTGGTGTACCCAATGATCATAGTGAGTGATGTACCTAACGATTATAGTGGGTAAAGGATAAGTTACATCAAGAGAGAAGGGCCTCTGCAAGCCAAATCCCTCTCTTTCTTCCTTTTACTTGCAAGATAATCTCAAAGACAAAACGGAGGGCGATCGAGAGACGAACGATACGACACACGCAACAGCCAAGTTTAAAGAAGAAGAAGAAGACGCAAGAGGCGTTTCAAGTTGCTTTCTTGCTGGTTCTCTTGCGCTCGCTTCCTGGAGGGTAAGGCTGAGAAGGACTTCAGTTGCGAAGATTATAAATCAACGACCAATGTTATTTTGTTTACACAGCGGATGGCAGGAGGATAACGCGGATGCGGCAGGCTAGAAGAATTCACAGGAACATGACAGCAGTAAGTGGGTGAAGCAGGGAAGTTAGTTAGTTAGAACTTAGAAGGCACGCCAGATCTACCAGAATTCGGACAGGGCGAGCACCGAGCAAGCAAGGATCATCTGGCAAAGCGACGCGTCCAATCGCGTGCAACACGATCATGCTCTGCCCGGTCTGCCTGATACTGGCGTGCAATGTTGGCCACCAGTGGGTCGCTGGGATTGCAATCAGTCAGCAAGGCTGACACGGAGAGCAGCACCTTGTTGATAGTCATCGCTGCACTCCAGTTATCTTTCAGAATGTCCAGGCAGATTTCACCCTGCACGAACACATGGATAGTAAAGAAACATGAAACACGACATCATTTCCCGCACGCTAGTTGCTCACTTATATCACCAAAAGCAGGCAACCAGCGGAGCAGCATTCACAGCATCGCACATCCCAGGGGCTAAAATGCACTGCTCACTGTAAACAGGCAAGGTGAAGAAATAAAATAGACAAGGTACAGAAGCTCTAGGCTTACAAGCCACACACGCGTACGCTCAAGCACACACACACACACACACACACACACACACACACACACACACACACACACACACACACACACACACACACACACACACACATTGACAAAGACCTGGAAGCAGTTCTTACTTGACTGTTGATATTGCAATGGTATATTCTTGTCTTAAATGCCACCTGGGGGAAAACAACAACAACACACCATATATATACGCACATGACAAGCAGCAAGTGAAGTCACCCAACTCATTTCGCCAGGAACTCACTGCATACATTGGGTGCCCTGTAATAAGACAGTGGGGTCTGTTAGGATTGCCTAAGTAAATAATAAAATACAATGCAATGCAATACAATAAAATACAATACAAGTACGAGAACCATTCGTACATCAGATACTAGTAGCAAAAGCACAACTCCAGCTCAGTCTTGCAAAACAAGCAACAGAATCCCAAGCACTACCAGCAAGAACGACAGTACCAGCCGGCAGCAGCAACAAAGCCATGCATCTGGTACGAAGAGAACAAACAGTGAGTGCCAATGCATGACTAACCTTTGGCGGCTCAAAGGGATAGTTTGATGGGAACGTAACGCTGAGAAAGAAAACACCGCCTTCATATACAGACCCACTGGGTCCCATGATGGTAGCAATCCACTCATTTAGCTTGTCACCCATCAGGGAGGCACTGAACAGGACCAGCACAATCACACACAATCACACGCACGCACACATACACACACACGCACACATACACACACGCAACTTTGAGAAAAGGAAAAAATTCAAGCGAGAAATAATAGCAGCAGTCACCAAAATTAGCAGTAGGATGTCAGTTTGAGTTGAAATTTCACTACAAACAAATCGTAGCTGTTTCTGGCGCTGTGTCGGTTATATACCTATTCTCTGTGTGTTAGCACTTCCGTTACCTCAAAGTGTGGGATCGCACTTCTTCATTCTCTCAGTCATTCTCTGCAGCTGTACTGATGAGGCCTTTATGGCCGAAACAGCTTGCTGTCTACAGCATTGGGTCATTCTCTGCATAACATGTTTCTATTCACAAGTTCTAGCCATTCGGTATTCTTACAATCACTACGTGTTGCCAATATCTACATGCCCAATATCTACATGTATAAGAACTTGGAGTCGTGTAGCTGAATGAGGTTGCCCAGAGAGTGCGTGTGGTGTGGTGGAGTTTGGACTAATTCAATAAAAAAATTTAAAAATATACTGACCTGCAATTCGGCGGGGGATCATCTAAGATATCTGCAAGCTCCTTCTGGATTCTGCAAACAGACGAGAAGCACAGAAGAACAATTCATTGGATTACGACGTGTACATAAATGATAGAATGTGAATCGTTTCCAAGCTTCTTGCATGGTTCCTCTAGTGGCCTGGAAAAGGTGTCGGGGAGCATAAAAAGCAGAGCGTGAGGCTCAGCGCTGCTTTGATTTAGAATTATTTTTGGAGCCTTGCTACAATGCTCCCTCCATCTTGCTCACTTATTTGCTTGTTGCTTATTAGACGTAGTAGTAGGTGAACATGCAGTGACTAGGTGACTTGGCGGCAAATGTCCACGATCTTGCATGGTGAATCACACATGACTTCATGGCAACCATAGAAAATGATGAAATCAAGCCATAGACACTTAGTCTTGGTTCTTCAAGTACGAGAATAAGGCTTTGTTGAAGCAGAAGCCAGAGAAAATTTGCCCACGTTGCCTCTTCCGCACATTCCCCACACTTCGTCCAGCTACTTATTGGCGTGTTATCCGTAGTGTGATCGTCATTCATGTTTTTACGCTGTCCCTTACCACTGCAGGTTATTAACATCAGTCCAAACACGCTCTCATGCAATGCTCATGCAACGCTTCACAGCGAGAGTGATCGGATTGTGCCCTTTAAAACCTTATTAGCAGCATCCATGCCAGTCTTACTTTGAATCAGGGAGTAGTAAAATACAGGGAGGTGACACGCCACTAATCGTGATTTTTGATGGGTGCCTCGCGCTTGTTTTTTTTTCTTTCGCAAAAAAAGATGATCTGCTGAATCAATCTTGAGTATTTGTCGAAGAACTAATTCCGTGAAAAGGTCTATCCATCTCATGGAACAGCATTTGTTTTGCTCTTGTGATACATCTGTATCATCGTCATATGGAAAGGTCCCACCCTTCCGAAATTCGTCCCGATCGACGGCATGGAGCAATAGAACGAAGGTGATTTCCTTGAGAACAATACGTGTACGATTGGAGATGAAAAGCGAGTGCACCGATTTCGAAGTCGAAAAAATCTCTAGGACACCACACGATCGGCACTAATTTCTCCTCAGTTGTGATCAACCAGTGCTTCTCTACCTTCTTTGTGATGATGAGCATTTCATATTATGGTATGCTGGAGATTCGGGAGTTCACTTTTCGGAATGAAATGTTTCTAAGTTTGTCAAGGATTGAAATGCGGGCTACGTCGTCGTAAACAGCTTGTATCGACACAGGAATAATCTACGGCACGCAGGGATATCTCCCAAAGTGATACCACTCTTGCTGGACTTCTATCCTGACATAGTGGTAGTTTGGTCGACTACCAAACTTTGTGAAGGCAGACAATTGTTGGAAATTCTCAGCGCTGAGTTTCTACGGGCTGCAGTAGGAGTCTCTTTGGCGGTAGGTATTTTACTACTCCCTGATCGAGAGAATCCTGATCCGCGCGCGTGTCTACACACTTCGGTACCCATAGTACTGTACCCCAATCTCACCCGCCGGGTGAAAACGGTGCTGAGGCAATCGTCAAACTGGCCATACATGCTCGTGTCACCTCCCTGTATTTTACTACTCCCTGCTTTGAATACTCGAGTAGTCAGTTGACCATGGGTGTTGGTGCAGTTCATTGCTGGTTAAGATGTTTGTGCATGCATCACCACATTTGCTAGCAGTTAGCAGGGTATACTAATTATATGATCCCTGGTACCAGCGAATCGGGGCGTCATGATTCGCAGGCAAGGTCACGACCACTCGGCCACTCAACTGGTGATTACAACATGTACAATGGCTTGCTGTGTATGACATATTCGAAGTGGAATTCAGCCCATATGGCTACTTACCGGCGATTTGTCGGGCTATGTCCAGCTGCTGATGCACCGCGACCACCGCTACCAGGCCCTCGGCTACGCGAGGGTTTGTGCGCTGAAGATGATCTTGATGAGGCAGGAGTAGCTGGAGTCGTAGCAACGGGCACTGCTGTTGCCGTTGCCGCAGCAGCTGTGGGGGTTGCCACGGCTGCGGGAGCACTGGCAGGCTGTGATGGTGTTGGACTGTCTGTGGTGGTGCTCATGATGGCTTCCTCTGCAACCAACCCTAGTCACTAGTATGGAAGATCCGTGATGATGCAACCACAGTGTATGGGAGTAGATCATAACACGTGTGCGCACAGACACACGCACACACACATGAACACACACACACACACACACACACACACACACACACAAGCGTGCACAAGACATAGTCCGGGTTAATACACAGCATACATTCCATGTCGCAGATAGCAAGCCACCATAACACACGCAGTTCTCACACAGCATGCAAACACCAGTCTTCAAGTACATGTACATGTACATCAGAGTGTCAAGAGCACACAAATCCATGTGTGGTCAACTTCACATTGGAAGGCAGAATTAGTCTTTTGCTCAATTTTTGGAGTTTGGGTACCGTAAAGCTGGTGCAATAGATGGTATTCGTGCAGGCTAAAACTACAGTCGCACGTTCCATAACTCACAACAAATGGCAAACGATAAATTCTGTTTTCCAATCTCATACACACACTTTAAAATGTTAGACAATGTGTTTCATTTGTACTTGTGTGGGAATACGGCATCAAGAGAGAGAGAGAGAGAGAGAGAGAGAGAGAGAGAGAGAGAGAGAGAGAGAGAGAGAGAGAGAGAGAGAGAGAGAGAGAGAGAGAAATAGAAACTTGGAGATGTACAAGAATGCATGCAATCTAGAGTACATAAACAAGAGTGTACATTTCCGCATATGGATTAGAGGCAGAGTAGCTCGTGGCTTATGTCATTTTTGACTTCACTGTACGGCAAAAAACGGTGTCACGAGTCCCCAGGCTGCCTGCGAAGTGGTTCCAATGCATCTACGCTCTACATGTGTCTGTCATACCCGTCTGTCATACCCGTCCGGCATTGCGGCAAAACACTACTGTCATCTACAGTCCATTCAGAAAAAGATGATTTCCTAGCTTTTGGCCATAAACGGGTCAAATTTTGAGTTTTTGTCACAATTTTTTTGGCAATCCCCCATGGAATGCTCTTCCAATTGTGTTTTTTAAGTCTATTTCTCCAAAAAGCAAGCCATAACAAGAATAGGATTTCGGCCAGGTTTTGCCCCCAAAGCACTCAATTGGGTAAAAACCCTGAACATCCAGGCTGTTCACTCCACTTGCATAACAGTACACTTGCGGTTCGAACCCCAGTTGAGGTGCCTTTTTTGGACCCTTTTTCAAGTTTCGAATCGCGCGGCACTGCACAGTGTACCACAAAATCGCCAAACACGGGAGCTCTCCAGAGCCAGCGCTCATCCTTTTCTGAATAGACTGTAGCGAAGGTGACTAAACTATAGTCTGGTCCTCAGGCATTCAGCAAGTCAGTCCCCTCACGCACCTGAATTCTATGCATCTCCTGTTTACAGGGGAGGTGTAGAAAGACATTCGCAACAACCACTAGGGCTGCGTTCGTTTTTAGCTACCTGGTAGAGTAGAGTAGAGTCACTCTACCGAGAGGTAGATGGTAGAGCCAAGTATACGAACGCTGTTCTACCGGATTTAGTAGTTTACACGATGTGTACGTGAAATGTTCCTTTTTTGGATGGAGATGTGTACAAATCCTTGATCTTGCTGGAAATCCCGTAGCTCTAGAGCCCTACCAACTTCTACCAGATTCTACCAACTTTTTCCTGGTAGAGCCGGTAGAGGAAAGTAGAATCTACCCTTTGGAGTAGAATATTTAAAAAAAAACGAACACTGTGACCTCTACCGAAAGAAGTAGTTTCTACCCAAACCTGTAGATCAAAAACGAACGCCCCTAAGTCTCGTACCGATATTGGCACGCACATCGAAACGATCTAAAAGGGAAGCTAAGACCAAAAACCAGCTGAACTCGCGGTCTTTTGGATACGGAGTCGAGAGATCATGGTTTGAGGAGGCTGGGATGCATTGTCTACTCTAGATTGCGGAATTTGAGCTGATGATGCGCAAGTCACGATGATAACTGCCTGGGACTGAGGTGTACCGGGCTGAGGTGTGCTGTTGAATACACATGTATTGATAGGCAGTCGATTGTGCTCGGCCGCGCTGTATGTACTCGTCAGTGTATGTATTATGAACGGAGTAGTCAGGACAATAACGGCAGAGAACACCAACACACATCTGAACTGCACGAGTCGGCGCCCAAAGCACTACGTGACAAGTCCTCTGAGCCACCAATCCTTCATCTCTGGGATCAGTTACTCAGTGTTGATCTCTAGTCGCTGCTGTGACCTGGCTCAAGGTCTTTCTTTTCATGACTGATAAGTTTCATCACTGAGGTGACCAGCTGCTATACAGTACATGTACCAGGAAATACACAATCTTGTAAGCTGACACGCACGCAAAATCCCGCATCCAGTAGAGAACAAACCCCAAGATGTCAATTCACTGACCACACAGCGACCCTAGAACCAGGCGCAACCGTCACGGCCTCAGGACTCATTATTATTATTATTTTGACTCAAACCCAGTTCAGGAAAGAATGATACAGTAGTCATGTATTCAGCCCTGATTCGAAACTCCACAGCTGCAGCCAGAGGAGTCCCAGGTCAGGGTCGCATGAATGGTTAGTGGGTTAGACGAACAGGAAAGAGAAAAGAAGCAAGACTGCCGGCTTCAGTGACGACGTGTGGCAGTCCTCATCAACTCAATGGTCCCAGGCCACACGCACTCACATCATCAGGAATCATCTGATCCACGTTCCCGACAACATACTGCATACCTTTTCAAATCTGGGCGACTCAAAGCACACCAACCACCACTGAACTCTTGCGCTCCCCGGCCAAGGCTTCCGCTGAAGGAAAGCTCAATGTCAAGCTTCTCAGGCTGCTCCTCACCAAACCTAGCCGTGACCTCTAAAGTCTAGAAACCACTTGGGCTGCACTGGGAAGAGGACACGAGAAAACCCACGCGCGTTCCCAAACAGCAGGCAAAACCAGCGACAGTACACGCGCAGAAGGCAGTTTACGGACATGCACATCCAAAAGCGAGTCAAGTGCATGCAACTGAACGCAAATGTTTCAGTAGCCTACGAGACTCGTAGTGCAAGCTGCTGACAACTCCAACACAGAAGAAGTCCCAACATGCAACAGAACTGCACTGGCACCACCACGCTACCGGTAGCCAATTTACTCAAGCCTGTGTTGCACGAAGAAACCGCTAGCTGCTAGCACCTCTAGCTCTGCAAAGCAAGGGTCAAGCCCTCAAGGATCTAGGAGTCGGAGGCAGACCATGCCATGACGGCATGAGTTCTTTCACACAAAACCCTAACTACACCACACACAGATAACGAAGTAAGCGTGATTATGCCAGCATGCGACTATACAATAAATACTTACCATACAAACCCGTCTGACTTCACGACAAAGAACGGCTGGCCGAGGCACAAGTATTACACAGGAAAGGTGCTCTCCCACTTGTGGTGCTTCTTTTTAATGGTTCCCGATGACCTGTGTCAAGCTAAAGAGAACTGCTAGAAACATGCGCTCCTGTTGCGGAAACACCAATCTGAACCTCCAACTACCTGACGAGTCAACAAACGCACGGGAACTCCACTCACTCTCGATCTCAAATCCTGAGTCGACTTGTCCAGTCTCCGCATAAGCAAGTCGAGAGCGCATGCGCTGTGGTTGAGCAGTCGCCCAGGCAGCACCGCACGGGGCGACAACCCAAGTCCCAAGGCTACCGACACAAAAAGTCTGGTTCGGCATTGGCAGGTCAGTGGGCACATCACACCCGCCGAGTTGTGGGTTTGTTGTAGATGTACGAGACTGTGTTCGGCAGATCCGCATACTCTCTGCCGAGCCGATGCTCACCTTATCGATATCCTAATGCTGGCGAAATGAGCAGACATACCCATCGATTCGTTGCCTCGGCACATCAGGTGTCTGTGAGCTGCCAAGCGTGAGGCTGTATGCGTCGGTCAAGCCGCAGCAGCCTGGGAATGTGGGATGCACGGCTGATATCGGTACGTAGATCTACTACTAGTGCCAGTAGTGGTACAATTATTATGACGATTTGTAGTGAACAGGTGAAGGCTATTCGTGTAGAGCATTATCACGGTTGTACTGAGAGTGCCGGTTGAAGTGCGGTAGTGCAGCCCACAACAGCACTCAGCACGGCGTGTTGGCACTAGCACTGTCAACCACGGCCAGCACTGGACAAACCCTGACTCTGTGACAGCCGAGTTTGGCTGGAGCTGGTAGTGGGTGCGGGTCCAGTTGGCAGATGGCGCTACTCCTGTGTGACCCCTTTCAATGGCAGCAGCCCGCAGGACAGAGCGAGACCGAGGCCGAGGGCTGATCGAGTTTCTGCCACAAGCGCAAGGAGCGCGCGCGTGTGTGTGTGTGTGTGTGTGCGCGCGCGCGCGTGTGGGTGGCTGTGCGCGCGTGTATCTGTATGTACGTGCGTGCATGCGCGCGCGTGTGAGTCAATGTGCGTACATACTACATGTATCGAGACACCTCCTACACTGTTGTGTACGCCTCTGCCAGGCTCTAGAGCTCTGGCCTGCTGGGGACAAGTGCACCGCCACAGCCTGGCAGTTCCTGTACGTAAGTCGTTCACATGAGTCATGACTCATGAGAACTACATTCCGTGAACACATCTGTCAACAGGTCGCATTTGTCCCAAGCTAGGCCAAGGGGAAGCTGAGCACTCTGGTGTTCCGGTCCTCTGGACTCGATCGTTAGATTGTCAGCGTTCTGCACTACATCAGGACGTCCACCCAGGACTTTGGAGGATAGCCCCGCGGCCGTTTGACATCATCTGTGTTCAGCAACTTCAGGGTAAGCAGCGAAGCCTTGTGTGATGCTCTAACTGGTCACTCCCCGTCCCGGATAACAATGATCGAACCAAAGGAGGCGGCGTTTGCTGGAGGCGGTGTTTGCAACAGGCGGATGTTCAAGTACTAGTAGTAGTACAGTAGTTGTGACTTGGCTGTGAGGTAGTCTACACGAGCACTTGAAAACACCTCTCTCCGATAGCGTTTCTAAGAGAAGTATTGATCATGTTGGACTTGTGGTCATTGTAGTTTAGCAACTGAATACTCGTTAGCACGCTACGTGTACTTAATATTGTTTCGCTCCTGGATTACTAGTAGTAGTGCATTGTTGGATAGTCACAGCGGGGTCCCTGTTGCAGGAGCGGAAACACAGGGTGGACGAAAAGAAGAGGACCGATGTGCAATGGGGTTGTTGGCTCGATGCAAATGTCCCATGCCTAGGAAAGGCCTCAAAGGAGTCAAACGGACTTTGAGTCTGACGAGAAAGGAGTGCGTGCAGGGTATCGTACATACCACGGACTCCCTCTCGTAATGAGGGTATGTGCAGCAAAGTACCGCACATGTAGACACTTGAAAGGTAGGTTACCTGGTAGTGGCACTACTGTTGAGCAGCATTGATTGCTAGAGCTCCGGGCTGCAGGCAAGCGTCTAGTCACCACAGAGGGAGGGAGAAAGGGAGCGAGAGGGTGAGAGAGGGGGTGAGAGAGAGGGGGGGGGGGGAGGAGCATACATGTCCGTCTCGTGCAATGCAGAATTACACTTCGGTGCACACTACGGGCATCAACACACTCGTATCTCGAGTCACACGTCATGTACTCGTATGGCCACGGAGGGGCATACAGTCAGTACGTGGCTGGAAGTGTAGATCTGCATGCACCGCAGTCACTGAGTCAGTACCTTCCAAGCTGGAAGTGACTTTAGTCAAGACGGATTACCCATTATTATGGCCATGTCGTGGTTTGAGTGCGACTCCTAGACTTGCGCATCCGACAACCAAACTGGCAAAGTCTTTACCAACGTTCAACAGCAGGCGTCACTGCAGACTCTCCACTTCCCACAAATGCGTATTCGTCAAAGAACGTTATCGTTGTTCTCTGCATTGAGGTCACTACACTACACTCCACTCCACAGCACTACACTCCACAGCACTATCCGAATTGTTTTATAGAGTACCATGAGCCACATCAGTCTGCACACCCAGCCATCTCACGTGGGACGCCAGTGCAGTGCCAGTACAGTGGGCACTGGGCACTGGCCCAGTATTGACTACTATTGCAGTAAGAAGAATATTTGTCATTACGTCATGTACTGTGTGGTGTATGCTGTCCACAATGACAGCATTGCAATTACCGGAAGAGAATAGCACTGGAAGCCAGTTTGTCAAGTAACTAAGTTAGTTGTACTTGTAGCCTGCAACAATGCAATGCTTAGAAAGAGTACAGTCAGTGTACAGTGATGAGCCGTACCTGATTATGAGGAATCTGCATCACAGAATCTAGCAATCAACTTGTACTACTAGTACTTGTTAAAAATATCAATTTGTTATTTGTTAGCCCTTGATTGACTGCTGAGACCCATAGTCCCATACTGTAGCTCACGAGAAGGCGTTGATAGGTGCTAGCATACAAAGAAGGGAGGGGAAGGGGGAGGGGAGGAGGAAGCGGAGGTGAGAAATGAGACAGGAATTGAATAGTTACAGTGCAAGACAAACAACATGCCTGGAAGGGATATGATATGCACAAACATGGAATCGGATGGGTGTCCGTAAACAGTCTGCCTTGTCAGGGATAACAGAGGGTTACCTGTTTTGTTGTGTCAAACTGTACTACTACTCACTGCCTGGTGTCAAGTGCCCATGTGAGTGGTCGCACTCATTTCAAGGTGTAAGAAGCAATTTTATATCAGGTACCGGTATTGTATATTCGCACTAGGCATCCATCGTTATGTGAACTAAAGAAAAGTTGCTGTTTCTGCGGGACACCTCTCTGCAGGAACCCGATCCTTACACCGACTTGATACAGCGCAACCACCACACCAGCGTAGCACCTCCCCAACACGTGTATGCACATACTGATTAGCACCATATTCACTGGGAATGCCCCCGAAAAGTGCCCAGAGCTTGATGCACTAATTCCAGAAGCATGCCGTATGACGCAGGAGAAGAAATAATGGGCATGGCATACCTAGCTACCGTACTGGGAGTTTGTTGCTAAGTTAGTAATCGCCAGGTAGCATAAGTTAAAAACGTTAGGCACAGTGAATATTCTGTATAAAGTACCCTGGATAAAAGGCAAGTCTTCTCATTGCGGTACATGTACATGTACTGGATATGAAATGCTTTTTTACAGTTTAAAAAAATTGTAAGCCAATGAATACTCATTGGTCTGAGGGAATGAATGAATAAAAGAGCTTTCAACAAATTAGATAGCAGATGTGCCTGGGTGTTGCTGCAGTGGCTTCTGTAAGGACATGTCAAGCCCCTCCTGTTAGACAAGCCATCGGCCGCAGCCTCCTTGGACCAAGACATCTCAGTACAATCAAGAGTCCATAAATAAGAGTATGCGACTGTGGTTAGGGGTCAGTATGCTTCGCGCTGCCTTCCTTACGTAGCATGCCTCCATCACACTCTGAAAGCAATGTTTACGGACTCTTGGTATAATTATGTAGCCGTCTGGGGACTTCTGATTATACTACAGTCAGACCTCGCCATCCGGAAGAAAATCGCTGGTTACCGATGTGCAGCGTACGTTGCGCATACAACATAACCGGACCTCGCAATCCGCACACCGGTGCATGATTTTGTGTACAAACTGGTTGAAATGTGTACACAAAGCTTCGTTGTATCCGGTTGCACGTGGCTTGCAGAAGCTAGAATCTTAATTTTTTCTTTAATTATTTACTTTTTTTACCAGGCGTGGGCCATCCCCTGATCATAGGTGCCAAATATTTTACGTTTTTCAGAAAAAAGTATAGAAATTGGGAAAAAAAAGAAGCTAGAATCAGGGAGTTGTACTCGTACAAACAATATGAGGTCCTTGACCTGCTGGATGCATGCGATTAGCACTCAGTTGCATGCACTTGTCATTTTTGTCGCTTGTTTTACATATTGTGCACGCTAGTTGTACTGCATAGGACCCGTCTACATGTATGTACGATGTCACTGCTTTTGATATGCCACATACAGATACAGTGTGTGTGTTCAGTTATCCGGTTCCCTCGCCTATCCGGATATTTTTGTGGAAAACGGATGTGTGCGGTTATGCGAGGTCTGACTGTACCTTGTAGGAGAATTACCGGCCACTGATGGCGAATGGCGGTGAAAATGAGGGTGAAAGTAAGTTTGCTGGTTGCTCCTTTGAAGGAGACAGAGGCGAGTAAGTTAAAAGAGTTGTTTTGTAAGAATGCACATGCACATCGAGCTCTGCAATGCTCACTCCACACACGATAGCTGCTGAGGAGTTGTACAGCCGCTGCTTCAAGCCGTGGGCAGGGATAGCTGAAAGGTACTTGGCAGACCTGTACGGTTGGCATAGCCTTGCCTGCTTTAATAGCGGAATGGAATGAGCAAGGGCGGGGAGACTCTACTTATTGACCTTGGCTTCACACAGGATCGCTAGGGACATGTCTTAGTCCTCCAATGTCCTCACAACAGCCAGCAGTGTTTGCCGAAGAGTACATAAACTTTGTTCTTGTTCTACAGCTTTTCTTTAAAGTCTTGTGCAACACAGGAACAGAGGCCTATTTAATTCGCACAGCAAGGCTGTGTATGTGTGTGTGTGTGTGGGGGGGGGGGGGGCAAATGAAGTGAGCAGGACAGACATGCGGAGAAAGAGCAGAAACATATTGCCAGCACCCAATAGACTGAGTGAAAGCACTGCGATGTCACAAGACATCATATTCTGTTGAACCAGACTGTGTACTCAGTTTGAAAGCAGAAAGAAAATGTGAGCCGGCGGGCAGGGTAAAATGTTCGCATACACCATTGCCAAAGTCTTGAGAAACAAGCCGCGACCCAACTGCTACAGTTATAACTTAAGCTTTTCAGCACTTTCGGCCATTTAACTATATTATCCGTTCTGCTGGCATATTGAGATACCAAACTACCTAAACCAGCTGAAACCCAATTTTGAAAAAAAGGCGAAGGGCTCTTTTTTTTGTTTTTGCCCTGCCAATTCAAAAGC